CTTGAATTATCTAAGGTTTTAATTTATAATTACTATAAAATAAAGTTAATAACTTTGGTTTTATAAGGCCTGAAAATATAACTAAAACTATAAACTTTTATTAGTAAACTCGTAAATAGGTATAATTAAAACTACTAAAACGCCGAGCTTAATTTAAATCCTAGCTTAATATCTTAGCTAAAGCCTTAGCTAAAACTAACTCGTAATATTTATATAATATTAGTTATTATAAAAGATATAAGCTTTTATATATATAAATTATAAATAAAATAAAATATTTCTTCTTTTAAATATATTATATAATAATAATAGGAAATAATATAATAAACTATTATTTTTCTTTATTTATAAGTTTATATTTTTTATATTTTTCTAATAAGTTAAATTACTTTTTAAAAGATATATTATTATTAAAAGCTTTAATTTTAGCTTATTTTAAAAAATAATTAAATAAAAGAAAAATAAAATAAACTTTTAAAAAAAGAATAAAAGTAATTAATAAAAAAGTAATAAGAAAATATTATTTAAAAAAAAGTAAAAGAAATTTATAAAAAAGATATAAAAGTAAGCTATAAAAAATTAATAAAAAAACAAATAAAAAGAGAATAAAAAAGCTTGAAATAAGACCTAAAAGTAAGCTATTAAAAGAAAACTTATTAGAAACAAATAATAATAGCTAATAAAAAAATTAAAAAAGACTTATAAAAAAAGTAATAATAATTTATTAAAAAAGAAAAAAGACTTATTAAAGAAAAATAAAAGTAAGTAATATATATATAAAAAAAAGTAATAAAATAATAAACTTAAATAAAAAAAAGTTTAATAAGAACTGTAACGGCTGGTGTCACATGATTAATACGGACGTGGTTTTAGCCAAAGGGGTTGGTTTCAGCTAAGGTTCCAAGCTATGGTTCAAACCAAGCTCGCTTCCAAAGCTCGGCGTTTCAGTGGTTTTGGCCATACCTACTTATCCACTGCTACACCTCACTCCTTCTCTCCTTAGCTTTAGATTCTGTAAGACATTGGAATCATAGATCTTTGAGTATCGTTCTATTACTTTATTCCTGCCGTTATAAGAACTAGTAAAAATAAAATTAATTTAAGTTATTAAAAAGCCGAAATAAAATATAAAGAAGTTTAAGTATTTTAATCCTATAAAAAAAGACTAATTATTTAATTTATATTTAAGACTTTTAAAACTATTAAATCTTAAAAACTTATAAAAAAAGTATATTATTTTAAATTATAACAAAAAGCAAATATTTAATTATAATAAATTAAGAAGTTATTTGAAATCTTACTTATAATATATAGTTTAGTATTAAATCTTTAATAATTAATAATAGTATTTTAATATTTATCTTAAATAAAATACTAAAATAAGTTATTAATTTTAATAAAAATCGAGCTATTAAGCTATAAATAAGGGCTTGGGTTTACTTATTTTACTTTTTAATTAAGTTTATATATTTATAAAATATAAGATTATTAAGAAACTAAAAAGTGAATTCTTTAAAAGTTTAAATAAAACTCAAGATTTATAATTATATTAGTATTTAGAAACTTATAAATACTCTTTTTATTAATTCTTTAAACTTATCAAAAATAAAATAAAAACTAATATATATATTTAATATAAAGTTTTATATATTAATACTTTAAATAAATTTTATAAATATTATATTTTTTTTAAAAAAATACTTTAATTTATAAATGAATTTAAAAATAAACTTATTTATTATAAAGATTAGTTTAAAGAATATTAAAGAAAATAAAAAGATTATATATAAATATAAAAATAAGAAATAAAAACTAAAAATAAAACTTATAAGTAATAAATTTATAGTTTAAACTCTAGTATTTTATTTAGTTTCTTTATTAAATTTTAATTATATTTAAATTAATAAAAATAATAAAAAGCAAAATAAGCTTTTAATTATTTAATAATAAGAATTAAATAAGCTTATATATTTAAATTATTTAATTATATAATCAAAAAAACTAAAATAAAGTTTTAATATATATTATTTTAATTATTTACTAATTCTTAAAATAAATAAAGTTCTTAAATTTAATTAAATATTAATATAAAGTTTTATAAAACATTAAAGTAATAAAAAGTTTTTATATAAATTTTATTAAAAGAAAATAATAAGAAATATTTCATTTTTTATAATATATTATAACTTATATTATATATAATAATACTTTTAAATAAAAATAATATATTATTTAGTTAATTAGAAAAGTAATAAATATTTTAAAAAGTATAATTAAAAATCTTTTAATAATTTAATTTATTTTATAAGTTTATTTATTATAACTTTTAATTCTTTAAGTCTTTTATTTCTAGTATTATTTTTCTTTTTTAATTAGAATTTAATTAATTAATTTATATTATGAATATAATAATTATATTAAATTTTTATATTTAATTAATATTTAAAATATAAAGAAATTTTAAAAATCGAGAACTTAAATATGAAATATAATATTATTAGCTATTTTATATAATATTATATTAATAATAAATAATAAAGAATTTATTAATTTTATAATTTTTAAGCTTAATTATATTATAATTTATTAAAGTATATTTATTTAAAAACATTTATTATTTATTATTAATATAATATTATATAAAATAGCTTATATATATAAGCCTCAAATACTTTAAATTAAATATATTAATTTCTTTAATTTCTTAAGTTTTTCTTTCTATTAATTAAAGTAATTTAATTTTATAAAATATATTATATTTATATTAATTAAATTATTTAACTTTATAAAGTATATTTTAATTATATAAAATATTTAGTTATATAAGGGGCTTTTAATTAGATTAAATATATAGCTTTATAGCTTTTAGCTTTAAGATATTTAGTTTTATTAAAGGCCTTAAACTCTTGATTTTAATAAGAAGATTTTAATTAATAAGTATATAACTTATTATTAGAATATTTTAAAACTAAGCTTTAAAGTTATATAAAAATGCATTATTTTATAATTAAAAAACTTTCTTTAAGTCGAAAATTAAGTCTTTACTTATATATATACTTATTATTTAAATTTACTAATTTGCGAGCCTAATTACTTATTTTATTATATAAAACTATTATATATATTACTTTTAAATTAGTTGTACTCTAGTTTGAAAAGGAAATATTTCTTTATACTAATCTTTAATTCTTAAGATCTTTATTGAATTAAAGCAAATAATGCAGAGAAATTAGGGCTTTATATATATGATATTTATTCCTGAGGTAGCTATTAGTACAAGATTAAGACACCTTATACTAATTAGTTATAGACGGGTTTCAAGTAGTTGAAATCGAATCCTTCTGGGAAGAAAGTCTGGGCGCTCGCTAAGTGACATGAGATCGGCCCGAGAGCGACCGAGGATCCTACGAAAAGCTGCAAGGATCAATCGTCCAAGCGAGATATGAAGATTTAGAGTATTTATTATTTAACGATTACTATTCACCCCACTAAAATTCGCCTGCACCTATAGTCGGTCCCTCGCCCCCGACCCCTCCCTAAGCCACTACTATTACTTATAATATTTGCTCTCTTTAATTCTTTTCTCTCTCTCTCTATACATAAGTATAGGGGTAAGAGAAGGGAAATATTAATAGGGGGAAAGAAGAATAAAGGAAAGGCAAGGGAACTTTACTAAAAACCAGTATTATACCTTATAAAAAGGTTAAGTACTAAATTTTTAATACTTATAGCCTATGATTTAGTAACTATAGCCCTGTAATTTAGTAACAAGTGGCCTATAGTTATAGGGCTTCCTTTTCCTCACAACCTATAAGTCTCAAAGTTTACTTTTTACTTCTTACTTTTTACTTTTTAATTTTATTTATTTACTTTCTTAATATACTCCCTTCTCCCTCTCTCTTCCCTGTTCCCTATATCCCCCCCTCTCTCTCTTACCCCTATACTTATATATAAAGATAAGAATTAAAAAGAGCAAATAAATATTTTAAGTAATAGTAGAGGCTTTAAAAGAAGTGAGAGGACTAATACGAAAATTAAAAAACTAGAAAATTAATTTTATATACCCGTTTTATTTGCTAGCTATAAATTAATTTAGTAATACTATTATTATTATTATTATTATTATTATTATTATTATTATTATTATTATTATTATTATTATTATTATTATTATTATTATTATTATTATTATTACTAAGTACTTAATAGCTTTACTAATTCTTTTATTAATTTATAGATATATAAGCCTCTAAAAACTAGAAATAATATTAGTATACTTATATTATAATATATAAATAAGAAAATATAATAAGAAACTTATTAATTTATTTTATAAGTCTTTAATCCCGCTATATAAATATAGGCTTCTTTAAAATAATTATTTTATTACTATTAATAAAAAGCTTTTATTAAACTCAAAAGAAAATTAAATCTTTAAGCTTTATTTTATTACTTTATTTAATATCTGAATTATTAGAGGGTTTCCTATATTATTTATTAATAGTTATTTGAATTATAGCTTCTTTAGCTATAGTAAAAACTATAATTAAATTAAGAATTAAATTAATTTACTTATATTTCTAAAGGCTTATAGAGATAACTATTAGAAGTAGTTAAAAAGAGTACTTGATTGGATTTATAGTTATTAAGATATTAATATAATTATAGAAGAGCAATTAACTTAGAGAAATAGTTATATAATAACTAAAGTAAAAAAAACAATTATATAAAATGCGAATATATTTGCTCGCTTAATTACGTGTATTACATTTCTTCTAATAATAAAGATATTATAATTTGAGAACATAGAATTAATTCCTAGACTATATAGTATAGTTTTAATTAATACGATTTATATCAATTAGTATTGTAGTGATTTTTATTTTTTTGTCGCTTTTGGATCGGACCGACTGTAGCCTGCTAATGGCCTCAGTAAATGCAGGTTCGATATCAGACCACGTCAGATGGCAGCAACCGATGCATGGCGAGCACCTTCGAAGATTACGTCGACTTTTTCCGTACGATCAACATAAATCTTATAGGCACCGTTTGGACGGCAAAGTATTTCGTACCTCTCCTCGCCACCAAGAAGGACGGCCCGCAGGCATTCGTTGGCATAACATCCCCCGCGTCGCAATTTCTGCCCTAACACCCATGTCATTCAACCTCTCGAAGTACGCACTGAACACACTGTGCGAAAGTATTAGCGTATACTATCATGAGAAGGCTGGCGTATGCTGTTATGCTTTGGGTCCAGGCGACGTAACGACTCCAGGGAGTGAGAACCATCCTGGAGAAATTTGGAAACAAAGTAAGACTTTCTTTATATTTACTAAAATGGTTAAGATAAATACTAAATGTAAAAATCAAATAGCCTTAACAGATGATCCCGGAATTTGTGGTGGGTTTTGCGTCTGGCTAACGTCAGAACGTCGAGATTGGTTGTCCGGTCGGTATGTGATTGCCAGTTGGGATGTAGAAAAACTCGAGGCAAACAAAGACGATATTATAATAGAGGATAATCTGAAGTTTAGGATGGTTGTCTGACGGGTTAGGCCAGTAAATTGGGCTTAGTTGTCTTAAGGAAGGCAATGTTAGAATAGAGCCGGTTTCCATGGACGCCTAGCGTGTTCGTTATGCCCTAATAGGTCTCACACCTCCCAGTACTTCTGCAAATTTACCAGAATGTCTCGCAGCTTTGCCTTTTCACTTTGTTATTATGAAAGCCACAGTTTATTATATATACTATACTATAGGTATACAAAAGGAGAAGTGTAAAGGCCATGTGTTATATAGTTAAAACACCTTACCTACTAACCTTTTCTCTTTCGTCTTCTATTTTTCTCTTTAGTTAATGCAAAGCAGCGAAAATCGTATGCACATCCCTCCGTCAACCCACCAGAACCGAAATCACAATCCCAACAACCAAAGTCAAACCACAGACTCCAATTTCAACGCCTTTAGCACCAGACTTGTTTCCTGTCCCACTTCCAGTCCCAGTACTGCCATTTCCACCCGTTCCATTCGCACCAGAACTAAGATCAGTGAAGTTTAAATAAACTCTATCAATCATATCCCAAAACTCGCAGAACGAGTAATCGACCGTACCAACAGTCGTCCCATTCACAATAGTAACCCCCATGCTCGAACTCTTATCCCACTGCGGCCACTGCAACCCCCCTGACACGCTTGGATTCCCCGTCTCAGCCATAGCAGTCCACGCTGCTACCAAGCTCTCGCTCAGCACGCTCTCCTGGGCGGTGAAATTGCAAGTCCCGTTCGGCGAACTCAAAGGCTGGCCAATACCGTTGCCAAAGACGAACGGGATCTCAGAAGTATGCGTCGCACCTACGAAAGGGATAGCTGGCGCGGGAAGGGATGGCCACCATTGGCAAGAAGGGATATGAGAGTTGAGGTATGTGTAGACTGAGATGTTGTTCGCTTGCGCTTTGAGCATTGCTTGGTATGCGGGGCAGGTGAACTGCGCTTGTGTGATGATTGTGCTGATTGCTGTGAATGCCGGGAAGCCGGATTTGTTGAATGCGGGGAGTGTTAGGGGGTATTGTTGGGCGACTAGAGAGGCTGCAGTGCCGAAATTTTCGTTCAGGAAGATGGTGTAGTTTTCTGGGGAGATGATGGGGGACATGTAAGTGCCCAGAGCGAAGAGACCGCCCTCGTCGGCGTTAGAGCCAAAGATCATGGGGACTTTTGGGCCAACGCCCCAGGGTTGGGCGGGAATTGTGACGCTGTCGACGTACGGTTGGAAGTCTAAGGGGTTGAGATTGCTGTAGATGATTACGAGGCCTCCTTCTGGTGCAGTGTCTTGTAACGTCGTTGTTGAGACCGATCTGAGGCAGGCCGCAACCTGGGAGGTTGTCAGTCTTAGCAGCATTCGCAGGAAGGGGGAACATGCAATTACTTACATCTGCATTGCTGCAATTGAGTTTGGTTGCATATGTTGTTCCGAGGGTGTTAGCAACGACCGGAGTAGCAAGTTGTGGCCCAGCTCCTGATTCCCAAATAGCTGCGTTGAAGAGGGAAGTTGCTTTCGGCAGCGTGCTAAGGATGAAGACATTTGTAGCTCCCGCTGATTCTCCGAATAAGAGAACCTTTTTCTATTGGGGTATAGTCAGTATCAACTTTAAAGTCAAGGGCCGCGAGAAACTTACTGGGTCTCCTCCGAATGCAGAAATATGTGATTGGACCCATTCCAATCCGAGAATGAGATCTTGAGTGCCAAAGTTCCCGCCTATTCCAGCAGCATCCAGAGTGAGATACCCTAACGGCCCAAGTCGGTAGTTGATGGAGACTAGCAGAGTGTCGTGTGCTGCGAGGTTGCAGCCATCATATAAGGGATTCTGGATTCCGCCACCTTGTTGACCACCACCGTATACCCATACCTTGACAGGAAGGTTTGAAGAACTAGTTGCACTTGCAGGAGCCCAAACATTGACGTAAAGACTTGCATTATTCGTGAGCTTTGTTCAAGACATGGGAGAGAAGAGTAAGTACCAGTCTTCAGACTCTGTTCCGGGGTCGGAAAAGTCTTTTCCAAACTGAATGCATATGGGACCTCTCGTAGTAGCATTGTAGCCATTTTCTGGGAAGGTTTGGTTGTATGCCTGTGGTGATGTCCATCGGAGGTTTCCAACGGGTGGAACGGCAAACGGAACTGAGAGGAACGCACTTGCCCCGTTGGAACACGTTGCGCCTTGAAGTGTTCCCGCTGGAATAGTGACGGTAGGTGATGCACTGACGAGTGCCAAAGCAGAAGTAGCAATTGAAAGAGAACACAAAAACGAATGCATCTTCGAGGTGGTTTTTCGAACTTTTTAAGAGACTGGAGAGATGAGTTGAAAGGCTAAAAATGGGATACTCAGAGACTGCACAGTACCTATAGAAGCCCAAAAACTGGATTAGTTTCCAACTCTCGAGGCTCGAGCTGATATTTAAAGATCCATGATCCGTATGGGCGGCAGAGCATTCTCTGCGAACCTGTGGGAACCGGATCCTTGCCTCCCTCGCTTCAAGTGGCCAGACGAATTGGATGCACTTTTACGCCCTTTACAGAGATGAGTGGCTGAGTTGGAAACAAGGAGAAGTGTGGTATTAGGTGATTCCAAATGTCAGGGAACTGGGTGCTAACTGCTTTGGGAAAGCTCGATGTAGGAGACCTTACAAGGGTGAAATAACCAATAAGAGGGCCCCATTTATGGGGAAGATTACCGCAGAAGCAGGGGAAGGGTTGGAAGGTGTACCTAAGCATTGGAATTCATCCTTCTACTCCAAGAGTGCTCTCGGGTGAGGAAGAAGGTTTGGAAGAGGCGCAGCCCCGCGTGCCTCTAAACGCTGACACTTTGCTTCAACAATTGAATTAAAAATTAAAAATTGATGAATACATCTATCTCTGAACAGACTACTGTAGATGTAAGCTTAGTAAAGGAGTGTATTAATTCGTCGAGTTCCTGAGAGCTTGCCTTTAAGAGAAACGAGTTCTTCCTTCTAACAGCCAATCAAATATCTTGTTTTGCTTCCCTGTATCCCTGGTGTGGCCGTTACGTAGGGCTGTGAGCAGCGATCTGAGACAAAGTTAGATCTGCTTTGCCCTTAATTAACCTCGTTTCGGAGGACGACAGAATCAACGCAACGCCTGAAACTCGCGGACCTTACCGCGTGCTCCCCCAGACTCCCTACCAGCTGGAAAATGTGATATCCTAAAGTCCCATACAAATGTCTGATTGAAACAGCTTTTGCGACCGACGTCAGTTGCAAGGATAAATCGGAGGCTGCCGAGTCTGTTTACTGTCTCCACCTTGGTGACACAGGACGGAAAACTTCCAATGGGATCAAGCATAATTTTGTATTGGTCCTTCGCGAGTTGAAAACGAATTACCTTTGATCGAGTCGGATTTGCTGAGATTGAGACTGCGAACCAATAGTTTGAGGACTCATTAGTTGAGACGATTACTTGGATTTGAATGAAGCCATTTTCGAAGACCGAAAATATTATATAACTGAGTGCTGAGGTTAAATTTTCAAATATGGAAATAATAGGTTTTTAAAGAAATTGAATTAGGGTAAGAGTATAGAGAGCGAGGGGTTCTAAAAGGCATGGGCTGGAGTCAATAACATCCTTAATTCCTATACCTTGAACTAGCTACCTTATACTCTTTTATCCAATTGAAGTTGAGATAGCAAAGTTCTCCTCTGCACGAGCCAGGGCTCTCTTTCCTCAAGATGTTAAGGGTGGGGGAAGGGGGTTGAAATTATAGCGGGCAATTGGAACAATAAGCGAGCCGCTGAAAGGGGGGCATATCAACCTTTTTCTTTTTTTTCCCCCGCAAGCGACTGAGACTGGCATGAGCCTACAGTGACTACAACAAGGCTGCGCCTCCCACCTGAGATAAGTCGATTCTCTTTCCAACTCAATAGATTCTCCAAACTTCAGATAACTCCATCTCCACGTCGTATTTACACAGCTAGCCAGGCTAGACAGAATCCACGAAGGAAAGTGGTTGGTTAAGATAGCAGTTGCAGACACTACGCTATACCGGCCCCTCAATAGTGGGAGAATGCCCATCCTAACCATTAAAATACAAGCTGGCGACGATTTGCCTATATCGTGTTCCTTCCAATCTCTGGAACTCGGTGAGATCAGAAACCCACCCTTCACTGCCTTGTTGTCGCGCGCGGGCCACGCAACCCAACCGCGTCGATCTTAGTTAACGGCTAATTGATTTCGGTTCGAGAGACTATAGTTACACTTGTTGTCGATACGCGAGAGGATAAACAATGGGACCCGGGAATATTGCGGCTCGCAGCTGCTTTGGATGCACTAGCTTGGCCAGACTATCCCGATCACTGGGGTCAGTGTCGCTTTCGAGTAGTTACGAGCCTACTGGCATAAGTCTGTGTTTTTCGCGTATTTCGCTAACGAGCCCGCGCCCGTAAGTCTGTCCATTTCAGGCCTGAAGCCCCGCAAAGGAACTTTAAACCTTCTTAATTCCAGGGATTTTGTTTCTAAATTCAAAGCATAAAGACATCAAGCATATTTTTCGCAGAAAATTACGTTTTATAAGGTTTTGTTAAGTTGTTCTTGCGTACTACTTAATATTAAAAAGCGCTGAGCTTTCTCTGCGCGTGAGAGCCCTCACAAAGGTTATACTCTGGGGGAGTAGGACTTGCTTGGAGCAGCTAAAGACTATGGAACACAACCACCCCCTACTCCCCCCTACTTAATATTAATACTGCAACTTTTGAAGAAGGGGCCAAAATTAAGCGATAAAACGAGCCTAAAAAGGACAGACTAACGGGAGCAGACTCATGGCAAAAGGGCCCAGAAGAGAATTTCAACAATTTTAACTTATATCGTAATTTTTTTTAAATGAGTTCTTAAAACTCAATCTATCTTCTTTTCCTCAATGCCATCGAGTTTTGAGGAAATCCGTTTTACAGTTATTTAATTATCGTGAAGTGAAGTCGATGACTTCGCTGTGCGGAGGCCTGAAAACATCGTTAAAACACAGACTTACACCAGCAGGCTAACATGGACATCGAGTCCGCGTCAATTGTATTCACTTGGCACGCTTATTTGCATGTGGCCAGAGCAAGAGTGGGAGAACTTGAGGGACAAAGTCTTTCGAGCTTTGGGCTTAGCGTCAGCATGGAATGACGAAGCAGGCCCTATTTTGGCGGATTGTACCGGAACGATAACGCAGCTCTATATAGATATTTTAGAGCAAGCTATGCCTTATTATGCTCAAACGACATCCGCTCGGGAAGGTTTCATGATATGCTCGGGGAGATCTAGGCATCAAGTCTGAGAGCTTGACAGACCAGGTATACTGGCAGTACGAACTTGCCTATAGAGAGTCCCGTGACCAAGGGTTCTAAAATTATAGAGCACTATAGGTATTTTTTGCTAAGGAGAGGTGGGGGAGGCATTCCATTTAGATGGTGCTGACAAGTGCAAAGACTCAATGTCCAGATTAATCAGTACGGCTTCAAATCCGTTGTTCTTCTGTCACATGCACGTCTCCTTGTTTGATTTACAATCCTTTAGGCAGACAATTACGCGTGTGCTTTTATTCTTATTTTGTACGTTTTAGTGCTCTCCATAGTCACTACTTATCCCCTCTTCGTTTCGCCATCAATCAATTGCATTAATTTAGCTTATTCTGATTGAAAATTGTGTCCTTCTCTCTGATGAAATCATTCTGAGCTCTGGGAGTAAGAGTGCAACTTGCAATTCGACTGAAATCAACAAATTTCCCTGGTATAAGAAGACGGGAGAGACAACTCTCGTGCAGTTGAGCCCCTCGGAGAAGCGCTGACTTCGATCCCTGTCACCTCGCTTGTCACCCCAGATTTCGGCACATCGTCGCGCAAAAAGAAACTTCACCTCCGCACACGACTCACACTCCGCCTCACACTCATCCACCAGATCAATCCTCTCTCCAACGGGGCGTACCTGAAAGCGGTAACCAGCCGCACATACGGAGTAAATTTAGCTCGCTCCGAGGCTTCGGAGGTTGCGATGACCTGCAGGCGCGGCATCTCCTCTCGCGTAGTGCCTCAAACACGCAAATCGGACGACACCTCACATCCAACCTCCCATGCACCTCTCAGATCCAGCAAGGTATGACGGTACCGGAATCAAAGCACCAGCGGTCCAGGAACAGATCTTCCTAGTTTCTAGAACTCGCGAAGAATAGTTGTTGCTTCATCACGGTGATCGAGGAATGGCGCCATACCAAACCAGCGTTTCCATTACGTTTAGCTCGGCTCCCCGCTTCTCGTCCTTCCACAGCATCAGAAAACGTGCCACAAAAAAAAAATTTGTCCCAGCCTTACGGTCTGCATAAATTCCTCTTTCTCATTATGTACAAGAAAACAGCCTAGGAAATAAATTCTGTCATGGAATGGTCTCGTTGGCCCAGGTTCAATTGCGAGGGTGGTTGCTTGGGAAGGCCAGGCGAGAGAAGGTCGCTTGATGGCGCCGAAAGTGACGGACGCCATGTGATGGATGATGGGATTTTCATTGCATTACATACTGGAATACCTAGCTCAGGCTGGCGGGCTCTTGGCTCGCGCGTTGCAAGAGGGCAAGTGAGGGGAATATTTCCCCTCCGTGGCTTTTCGGTCCTTCTTGAGTTTATACACTTTGCATTCGCGTCCTTCATACTTTCTGCTGCGCGCCGCAATTTCCTGGTCGTGTCACGATTCACGGGGAGGACGAGGGCGAGTACAAGTACGCACGTTTCCCAACTTCCGCAGGAGCGACGGGATTTCTTCACCTTTGGAATCGCGATTGGGATTGAGTGAATTTGAGGCTAAGGTTGCGTCGACTCATCTCGCGACCCCTCTTCTTGCTTCAACCTTCAACCCTCCACCTTCCACCGCCCCTCTTCCTTTGTTACCACAACACAACTCAACTCAACTCGTAACCTCCTTCTCACGACCGATTCTCCGCCCACAGCAAGCAAGCAAGAAAGCAAAAATGGCATCCCTCATCACCACCACCGACGAAAAGGGCCGTCGCTCCTCCTCTTCATCCCGCAAGGGCCCATTGAGCCATGGCCGCGGTGGCGCTGGTACGTCCCCTCCTCCTCTCCTCTCCTCTTCTACTTCATCCATGGGGGCACGCCCCCAAACCCCCATCCTCGCTGCGCTCGCACTCGGGTTTGCAAGCCACAAGCACAAACACAAGCTAACGACGAGACGGACTCGCAGGCAACATCGGCAGCACGCCCTCGGACGCCGAGCCCGTGACGCTCGACACGCCGACGCTGAAGGGCGACGTGTACACGACGGGCCGCGGCGGCAGCGGCAACATGGCCAAGAACTCGGACCCGGAGGCGGCGCGGCGCGCGCAGGACGTCGGCGGGCACCCGCGGCGCGAGTCCACGCACAGCACGCACGTGGGGCGCGGCGGCGCGGCGAACGTGTTCCGGCCCAGCCAGGCGGAGGTCGAGGCCGCGAGGCGCGAGAACAGGGTCTTTGAGGAGGCGGTGGCGGACGAGAAGGCGGAGGGCTGGGCGGTGAAGGGGTTGGCGGATCGGGGGAAGGAGTTCTTGAGTGCGTTGGTTGGGGGGAAGAGGAATTGATGGATGGATGGATGGATGGATGGATGGATGGATGGATGGATGGATGGATGGATGGATGGGTGATGGAGGGTGGGAGGTGGGGAGTGGGGGATGGACCTTGGGGAGGGAATGATATCCGGCGTTGCGTTTGGGAGGGGCGGTCTGATTTTGCGTGGGTTTTCACGGTCGGTTCTCATGATACATGGATGCGTGGCGTTGACGGGAGAAAATCAATCAATCAATCAGAGATCTGATCATGGGGAGCTTGCTTACTTGCTCGCTCGACGCAAGCTTTTCCAAAAGAATAATGAATAAAACGCGTTGATATTGCAGCCATCTCCCAAGGTAGATTATGGATGTGAGTTTGAATAATCAACAAGGAGAGGTCGGGCGAGGAAAGCGGTTCGCAACTACGTACCCATCTGTTAACTGGGTTGCAGCAAGCATGCTCGGCCTTTTCCGTCATGTTTAAGTACCTTGCACCAGTCTCGACCTTCATGCTTTTTAGACAGCTGGTGCGATACCGTTCTTCCTTCGGTCTATCCATCTCCTTGGAATTGGCGTTCTAAGTTTAGGTATCGATTACCTCGCGCGGAGAATGCGGGAGCTTCAATGGACACTGTTGATTGTAAGCTGTTTCTCTTGCACCGGAGGCTGGTTTTCCCGTAAAATGGATGCTGGTTTTTGATAGCTAGGCACGCCTGAGAGGAGCATTTGGGATCTGGAGACTGCAAAGTAGCCTCCGAATGACTAAAAATAACAGACGAGCAGCCTACCTAGCTAACAGAGAAATCGGGAAAGGTTTCGAGATCTCGGCAGCAGGATAAATAGGTCGGTAAGGTACAAGCATTCTTGGGAATTGTTTGGAATATTTCGAGATTGTAGCGACGGCTTTGATCAACCCATGATATGTCGAAAGAAGCAGACGAGCAGTCTGCCCACCACCTGATGCAGCCGGGTGCAATCGTGGATTCAAGCTTTCAAATCCCGGTGACAGGATGAATAGAGTCGGAAAGGTGGTGATGTGTCAACTTAAGATTGCCCGTGAGGCCGCTGTTGGAAAATTTGGGAGAAGATAGGACAATGATGTGAAAGAGATCTCCCTTGACAATTTGTTTCTAGCCGAAAGACTAGAAACGAAGGATGCTGATCGGTAGACTTTATAAGAAAGGGCTAAAAAATCGTCGTCTTACTGAAAGCGTCAAGATGTGCCATGAAGCAGAAAGCAGGCGTTTTGCTGAGTGGCCAGCAGCTGTGTAACCGCTGGATCACAAACTCCAGGCAACATTCATCGTCGTACCACAAGGCTGCAGGGAACAGTTTTCGATTACTAGCCAGTCACTTGCCATCAGCATAATATTCGTGGCAATGTTGGTGGTGGCCCTGCATCTCAACAATTCACGCTGAGACCTCGAGCTCAGGAAACATGAGCTGCGTTCGGATGATTCTTCCGACCCAGAGTAAAGAATTACCGGGCGGGTAAGGCAGATCTTGATCCGTTAGGCATCAATGACGACATGCAGGGAGGAAGCGAGCGGCTGAAGATGGTGGTGTTGGTGTTTTGGGGCTGAAGGATGGATTGAATTTGTTCGACATCCATTCTTGCAAGGCGGACTCTCTTTTCTTAGCGCACATTCTGGAAAAAGTGATAGTTGAAAATACGAAAGGGGAAGGGGAATTTGGAGAGTGTGCAAATTTTCGCCCCCTGATCCAATCTGATCCAATCAGAAGGATGGAGAGGGCATATGGCCTCGTGTTCATGTCGCGATGCCGACCCAACACCTTGCAGTTGGGCTCCCCTCGGACCCTCCCGGGGCACGAGGCCCCAGATCCCGGAGGGCGGGCGCATTGGGGATTGGAGGGGATGGGAATGCAGATGCAGATGCAAGACAGCTGTGTTGTGCAGGTGGGCGAAACCGTCCCACCGCCGCCGCTGATTGGGAATAAGAGATCATCAGATGGGCTTATCGAGGTGAAGTGCTTGGATGGGTAATTTCGGGCAGGTTTTCCGTCATGCCGGTTGGTAAGAGGGAGGAGAGGAGTGCGAGGGGGAGGTTGGCAGACCGCCGTTTGAAGGAAATGCGATTGGTAGGGAGGAAAGGAGCGAGGTTCAGGGGACGAGTGACGTTGGGATTCTGGGAAGTGAACAAGAAGACACAAGACACAGGACGAGGGGAGGGGAAGGGAAGCGAGGGAAGCGAGGGAGGCGAGGGTTGCCAGAGGGCAGAGAGTCCAAGGGAGCCGGGACGGAGGCTTGGCCTGCCGCTTCGGTACAGCCGCCAAACCCAAAGAGGCCATCATTGCGGGAGGAGCGTCAAGGACACACTTCACCAGAGTTGTACTCGGATTTGCAAGTGAGGGTAGCTAGCTATCAACGATGATTAACGATCCAGCTGAAGGATCATAGGCTCATAGCATTCTTATACTCCGTAAATAAGTCGCCTTGCTCGATAACATGTCGAATAAAGGCGGCTGGCTTTGTATAAGTGGGCTACAAAAATAGACCGCCTGGCAAGGGCACGGCCAGGGCACGGCCAGGGCACGTCACACAGGGCGTCCACGCCACAAGCGACCCCACACAGACTTCTGTGCGCACGAACATCTGGAGTCTTGGGCCGTGAGATCCCTCTGATCCCTCTTGACTCGACCCTTTCACACTCGCGATGTGATACCGAGATTGCACCTCTGCTCTCCAGTAGCAGCCAGCTGCTCCCGGTGGCTGGAAGCCCAGTGAACGGATTCCGCCCCTCTCCACTTGGCTCTTCCATCGAGCTGCATCGCCGGCAAACGTCCAACCCTGCAGGACCAGACGGGCGGATTCGCACGGCAGACCAGCATGGGGGAAGTGCGCGTGAGGCGCAGAAAAGCCCTCCCACTTCCCCAATCACGGCCCACCCATGACGAGGACGGGCCCCTTTCGCTCAGGTGCCGCAAAAGCGAGAGCTTCTGCAACAGGGAGTTCCATCCATGCCTGGACCGGCCGAAGAGTACGGAGTGAGGGAGTGAGCAGTGAGCAGTGAGCACTGGGTGAGCACTGGGTGAGCATTGATGAGCATGAGTACCTTTCGTACAACGTCAACACACGCACAAACGGCCGTGCAGCGACAGGTGCATGTGAGGGGCTTCCAGACCGGCGTGCGGGTAAACACACCCAGTCCAGCGCACGGGAACAGACTCCCAACTGACAAGTCAGCGGAAGAGCCGTGTGCAGAACATTCAGACCAACCGCCGCCCACAGCGTGCATGAGCTGGGGCGAAAGAGGCCGAGAATATGCTCCGAGGGCTGCACTTGCAGGTGTATGCCTGCACACTGAGAGTCGAGGCTTTGGGAAATTGGGAGGTTTAAAAGCTGCACCGCTTGTCGATATAAGTCTTGATATACTGGTAGCTTCGCAACTTCGGCAAGACGCTCTTTCGCAGCTCTGCGCCGTCTGCCACCCGCGCGCACCGCCTCCTTCAGACTCCCGCCCCGGGAGATCGTCATCCTGGGCCTGGCCCGGCCTGCCCTACCCTGCCTTGCCTTGTCTTGCCTTGTCCTGCCTTGCCTCCGCTTCGCACGCCGCCCGCCCTCCGCGCCAGGCGTCTCCCGAACTACTGTACTAGTTCTCCGTCCAGGACTGTACTAAAGTCTTGACGCACCGACGCCCGACGCACTGACGCCAATTGCAGCGCTGTCCGCACGCCCCAAACCCACTCCGTGCCCTCCTCTTGAGCCACTGCCATTCCACCCCCTCCCATCCCATCCCATCCCATCCCATCCCATCCTTCGCGGCGTCGGCCTGCCAAACCTTCTTAGCATTCATAATCGCAGCCGCACCCGGAACTCTCCAAGACTGACGTCGTACAGCGAGACACAGTTGCCCTCTCGCTGTTGCAGACGCAGCGTCGTTGACATTGAGAACGTTACGTCGGGGGCATCTATCTAAGACAGTCGCTACAGTACTGAGGAACCAAGCTTCCGTCACCAGGCAGGGCCACACAGCCAGAGCCAGAGCTGCACCACCACAAGCACGAGTCGACTACCTCCCTCGCAGCTTCCCCTCGAAGCTCGAGCTCCCCCAAACTCTATTCCCGAGCTGCGCTTCTTGCAGCGCAACTCGCCAGGATGAATACCGCATACGCACAGCAAGGCTCACCGCCGCATGACATGGGGGTCCATCGAGATATCGGCGGCGAGGGCTATCGCCCTGGTGTCCCTGGCGCGCCTCAATATCCAGTTCTCCACACGATGCCCGTGCCACAGCAGTCGCAGATCCCTCAATCGTACGGCAATCCATACAATCCACTGGCTACGACCAGAGCTCCTATACCAGAGGGCATGCAGATTCAGGAGGCTGGACTGCCCTCAATACCACAGCCGGCGATGCAAGACCCGTTGCCTCGTTCTTGTGTGGAGAAGGGATGGAGATACGAGTATGTGGCTTGGGGAGATGGGAGAATAGCTGCTAATGACTCCCAGACTCCATGTTGTGCAGCAACCTCGCCGTGCGAGGATGTGCGGTTTTGGAGATAAGGTGCGGAGACATGCAGAGCCGCAACTTCTCAAGCTGACCTAAACAGGATCGCCGTCCCATAACTCCCCCGCCTTGTGTTCGCCTCATTATTACAGATGTCTCCACAGGAAAGGAAGTGGATTGCAAGTGAGTTGTACAATCTCCCCAGCAAACATCAGCTAATAGCAACAGTGACGTCGACCACGGCATGTTCGTCCTCAACGTCGACCTCTGGTCCTCCGACGGCCAAAGGGAAGTCAACCTCGTCCGCCACTCCGCAACCTCCCCCTCCATCTCCTGCACGACTCCCGTCTCCTACGCACAAATAGATCCCACCACCAGCATGGCCTACTCCTCTATATTACCCACCTCAAACCCCATCAAGTTCGAAGGCGGCCACCAGCAAGCACCATACAACCCCTACCCAGGCCAACCCTCCGTAACGCCCTACGCAGGAAACCAACCGCAACAATACGGAGGCCAACCCCAATACCAAGGCTACGCACCGCCAACGAACGGCGCCCAACAATACCCGCCTCAAAACGGCTACTCTCAAACCCAACCACAACCAGCATACTACACCACGGGCTCTGGAATCCACGCCATCGGCCAACAAGGCATCGACTTCCCGCCTCCTCAACAGCAACTGCCATCTCATAGTCAGTATGGAGCCCGCCAATTCCCTGGCTCTGAGATTCCGATTCATAGAGTACCTGTTAGCAGCACGGCGCCCCAAGGAATGTTCACCCGGAATCTGATTGGTAGTCTTGCGGCCAGCGCGTTTAGACTTACGGATCCGGATGATAGGATCGGTATCTGGTTTGTGCTACAGGATTTGTCTGTTCGCACTGAGGGAAACTTCCGGTAAGCTGGCTTCCCCAACCACTCTCTCCCCCTCCGACACCTTCTGACAGCAAAAAACATAGACTCCGCTTCTCGTTCGTCAACGTCGGCGTGTCCGCCTCGCCAACAACCTCCAACGGGACATCAGGAGCGATGACGGCCGTCAACACGGGCAAAGCCCCCGTCCTCGCAGCCTGCTTTTCCGAAGTGTTCACCGTCTACTCCGCGAAACGCTTCCCAGGTGTGGTCGAGAGTACACCTCTGAGCAAGTGTTTCGCGACGCAGGGCATCAAGATCCCGATCCGGAAGGATGGACCCGGAAAGGGGGATAAGGAGAAGGACGACGACGATTTCTAATCCGAGTCATCCATCCCTTTCTTATTCCTCGTGCCTGGCGTCTGTGGCCCGACTTTTGCGCTCGACTAAAGCCGTGCGGAAAGAGATTGGGTGGGAAGACTCGCAGCATTTTCTCCGGCATCGCCCTCGTTTGGAGGATGTCGAGCATTTGAAATGGCATGGACGCAGAAGAATTCTGGTGCTCGGGTGGAGTTCCGCTTTTGTTTATTGTGTTATCACTACACTGCACTTTGCACGGACGGGGGGGCGGGAGGCAGCTTTGTTCTATTGCTATTCAAAAGACGGCTTTCCTTTTTCTCTGGCGGGAGTGATGGATTGTCGAATGGGGTGGGTGTAGGTAGTTAAATGCGCCGTTGGGCTCACAGAACCCTGGGATTACCGGGGATGGGGTTGGGTTCGATGGGAAGGGATCATCGGGATGCTGGCTAGACGGTAGATTGTATATATCTGCCTAATAAGTGATCTTGACCCTGGGTTTGTCTTCAAACAGATGGTGTGATGAGATCCTGAACGCCGACTCCGACTCCGTGCTCTATGCGTACATGGGTACAGCTGATGTCACATTCCTCCACCACAGGTACTCTTACTCTTACACTTCCTTCCCTTCACTTCCCTTCTCGGCCTTTCCCTTCCAGGCCCTTCTCCCATTCATTCATTCATTCATTCATTCATTTCCTATCTCATCATTCTAACAAACCAAGCAAGAATTCAAACAAGGAAAGAGATCAATCAATCCTCATCCGAATTCCCGCCCGAGTAATCACCAAGCAACACCTCTTCCTGTCCCAGCAAGCCCTCGCCCCGATTCGCCCCCATCCCCAGGCCCCTCACCCACTCCGTCTCGACCCGGAGGAAGATCCACATCCAGCGCCGGCCCACCTCCAGCGCCTCCATGACGAAGATGCCGCTCTCGAAGTCGGCGAAGTGGTCGAGGTGCGGGCTCAGCTTCAGGCTCCACGTGAAGCGCAGCAGGAGGTCGAGCGCGATGGCGGAGTAGTAGATCGCGGGGCGCGGGAAGACGAGGCGTTCGCGGAGCCCGAACGGGGTGGCGGGGGGGTGGGCATGGGGATGCAGGGTGGGAGATGTGCCGGTGAGGGTCTGGTGGACGGAGGTGAAGAGGCGGAGATCCCAGTCCTTGGCCACGTCCCAGTAGAAGCTGTACATGCTGTTTATGAACACGGCGGCCAGCCAGAGCCGATAGAGCGTTGTTTCCGTGACGCCGATGTCCTCGTGGTCGAGAGAGAGGTTTCGCTGGAGTGCGGAGAGGATGATGACCGGGAAGGCGGACGCGTATTTCAGCGCGTTGGCGAGGTGCTGGCCGCCCCATCCGGTTTGTGCGCTCATGCCGCCGTTCTTGATATTATGGTTTCGGACGCGCACGTATTCGATGAGGCATTGACGGAGCCGGATGAGCGAGGGGATCGCGATGATTATTGGGACGAGGTATTGGCCTCCGCACCCTCGGTCTGGACGCGCGGTTGCGGAGCCGTCGGACCCCGAGAAGAACATGCATAGGGAGACGAACAGGTCGGCGATTATCTTTGCGTAGGAGGTTAACACGTCTGCGAGTAGTATGTCCCCGAATTTCCCCGCGTTTGAGGGCGCGAGACTGCCGATTGAGATTCGTCGGAGGGTGGTGAGGAAGCGTGTCCGGCCAGAGGAAGAGAAGCGGCGGAGAGGGAGGAGGAAGAGGGAGAGGAGGAGCACGAGGTAGGCAATTGGGAGGTAGTCGTAGTGGATCACTAGGGCAGGATCACGGCGGGATAGGAGCCAGAAGAGGAGGAGGGAGAGGGTTAGTGGGATCGTGAGGAGGGTCGCGAGTCGGTAGGTTGAGAGATGGTGTGGGAGGTCGGTTCGTGGGGAGGCTCGGGAGGGGTAGTGGAGGAGGGAGGGGACGTCCTGGACACATGTTGTTAGCTGGTGGTTTGCGATTGGGAGGGGGGAGAAAAGGGGAACAAACGATTTTGACGAGAGAGAGGTAATGCAGGTTTGCGCCCCATGCCCAAACCCCTGATTTGATCTGTCAGTACAATTATGCCATAGAAAGAGAAATGGACGGGGGCAGGGGAGAGACATACCAAGAACAATGACCAAGGCAGCTCTGTATGGTAACGGGAGCGTCAAACTGAAGGAGTCCAGTTCGGGCTCCACGCTCGGGTCACCGTCCATTGCTATCGTAAAAAGGAACGCCGCATCGAATGAGATCGCACGCGAAAATGAGCAAAGAATGAATGACTGGAGTGAGAGTGCGCGGGTTGGAGATGTATAAAAGTACGTACAGTATGTGGAAGGGAGAGGGTTACGTAGGGGTTAAAAATAATTTGGCCTTGCGAAGTGTGGCTTGCTGTGGCTCGTGCCTAATTTGGCGTGCCGAGGTCAATCGCGTTGACCAGGAGCTCTTCCTCTTCTATATTGTCCTACGTTCGGACCACCCTAAGCGGTTGGCTCCCAGTACTCCCTGGAAAAAGCGGGTCACGTGAGGAACACCAGAATCGCCCTCTTCTAGGGAATCGCGCATCGGAACGCGATTCCGTCCAAATCCTTAGGGCTGAGCTTGGGATTAGAGAGGAGATGCTCAAGTACCTTTCTCTCTATTTTAGTGGTTCTGGAATGCGAGGGGCTTTTATTACGATTTTTTAAAGCTCGGGAGGGGTGGGATAAAGGGAATTCTCAGGGCTCTAGCTAGCTCTCGGGACTCCCTAAAATCCAAGTTACGTGAGGAACACTAAAACTCTCGCATATCATATACTACTATTCTAATACCTAGCAAGCTTAAGGGAAGTTCTATAGGTATAAGAGAGAGCTTTATAAATAAGAATAAGGCTATAATAGCAGGAATAAAGTAATGGAATAATACTTAAAGATCTATAATTCTAATATCCTATAGAATCTAAAGCTAAGGAGAGAAGGAGTGAGGTATGGCAGTAGATAAGTAGGTATGGCCAAGACTACTAAAACGCCGAGCTTTGGAAGCGAGCTTGATTTGAACTATAGCTTGGAACCTTAGCTAAAATTAATTCCTTTAGCTAAAACTAATTATATAATACTAGCCATTATAAAGGCTATAAGAGTTTATATAAGAAAAGAGGGAGCTTTATAAGCTTATTAGATAGCTTAGAAAAAATAATAAATAAAAGAAAGAGCTATAATAAGTTATAAAAAAAAAGAAAGCTTTATAAATATAAAAATAAAAATTAAGAAAAAACTATAAATAGAAATATAATTAATAAGAAACTTATAAAGGCAAGTAAGACTTAAAAAGGCTTATAAAAGAAAAAGAGCTTTATAAGTAAAAGCTATAATAATTTATAAAAAATAAAAATAAACTAAATTTAAAATATTAAATATAAGTTCTTATATATAATTAAAATAAATAATTAAAATAAATAATTAAAATAAATAAATAATTAAATTATAATTAAATATATAATTAAAAATTATATAATTACAATATATAATTAAAATATTTAATTAAAATATATAATTAAAATATTATAATTAAAATAAATAATTAAAATAATATTAATAATTTAATATTTAAAGAAGTTATTATTAAGTTAAAGTTTAAATTTATAAAATTAAAATTTAAAAAAATTATATATTTAAAAAAGAATTTTAAATTAAATTAATAAAAAAAAAATTAATTATTAATTAATTAAGTTAATATTATTATATAAAGAAATTTATAATTAGATTATTTTATTAAAAGTAATTATATTATATAAATTTTATTAATTTATAAAAATATTATAATTATAATATAATAGCTTTTATTTTTAAAAAATATTTTTATACATTTAAAGGGAAATTATAGAAAAATTTATATAAATATAATTTAAATCTATATAAAGCTTAATAAATTTTTTTTTTTTTTTTTTTTTTTTTTACTTATATTATAAAAAAGATTTAATTTTATAAGAGTTTTTAATATATAAGTATTTTTTTTAATATTTTATAATAATATTTTAGATTTAGATTTATTATAATTTTTATTATATTAAATATTTTAATAATATATAAATTTAATTAAACTTAAAATTTAAAAGAATTATATTAATATATATATTTAATTAAAATATAAAAAGAATATAAGAGAAAAGAAAGAGCTAAGAAAGCTTTATAAAATAAATTAAGTTTAATATTTAAGAATTTATTTTATTAAATTAATTAAATAATATATTATATAAGAAATATAAGAAATATAAGAAATATAAGAAATATAAGAAATATATAAATTAGATTACTTATATAAAAAAATATTAAAATATTAAAAGTTTTATTATAATAATTTCTAAATCTTTTATATTTAAAGACTTCTTTTAAAATAAACTTATATTAAATAATATTATTAATTTATTTTAGAAATTTAGAAATAACTTAAAATATTATATAATTTTATTATATAATATAATAGCTTTTATTTTTTTTAAAAAATATTAAAAGATTTATTAAAATATAATTTTATATTTAAATAAAATTAAAGAAATATATTATTTAATATTAATAAATAACTTTTATTAGTTTATAATTTATATATATTTAAATTAATTTTTTAAATTAATTTTCTTTAGTTTTTTAAACTTATTTAGTTTTATTTTTATTTAAAATACTTATATAATTAATTTTATTAGACTTATATTATTAAAACTTAAATTCTTTTAATAAATTATAAAAGACTTAATTTTATAATAATATTTTAATTTTAAATTTATTAAACTTAATATTTAAAAGAATTAAAATTAAAATATAAATTAAAAGAATATTTTTAGCTTATTTTTAAGTAATTTTATATATTTATAAGCTATTTTCTTTCTTATATAATTTATAAACAGTTTATTATTAAGAAATATTATTTAAAGCTACTCGGGACAAGTTTAGGGCAAAATTATTACTAGCCCCGGAGCTTGTATAGGGCCGCTAGCGATAATTTTAGCGAAGCGGCCCTAAACTCGTCTATATAATACTGTCGTACGGTCGGACCACCAGTTAAAAAACTGGTCATATAAGGAACACCAAAACTTGACCCTAAGCCCCCCACGCGTCACTCGCTCCAGGAACACCAAAGCTCTCTGCCGCTCCCCACGCATTACTCGGTCTTTTATTTAGCCTATAATTATACAAATATGAATTCTTCCCTATTATACTATTATACCGGTTACAGACAATACTTCTAATATAGCGGGTTTCCTCTAAATCTTAAGGGGGACCTGTATAAGACGTATTTGTAATACAAGGTCTCTTTTCTCTTTTGCTCCCCTAACTTACGTACTTGGTTACTAACCTTCTTTAGGCCAAACGGGCTGCAAGGTGCCTTTCTCTTACAGATATCGATCTGAATGCCCTGTAATAGACCCGTACCGGACCGATACGGCCTCTTGCAGACGAGGATAACCCTCGACCTCGAAAACGGATCCGTCGAACTTATAATAAGCTAGATACGGCCTGTAGCCAGCCCGTAGGGGCTCCTCCTCCTCCTCCTCCTCCTCCTCCTCCTCCTTCTGCCATCTTGCCTATTAGCTATCGTTTGCGATTCCGGGACCGGCCCGTTTATAACCTTGGTCCGATAGATACGGAGTGCAAGGATTATATAGCGAGGCACTGGGTATCAGAGGCAATTGCGGGTACGGATCGAAAGTTTGAGCTCTATTACAAGAGGGGAGATATAGCCTTGGACGAGTTACGGGCATCTCCGCCCTTTTTACAGGCGCTTTTTGAGGGGGATAATCTGCAAGCCCGTAACTTTTGTTAGAATATTAGGGCGTATAACTCTGCACTTGCTTTTATGTCCGTAAGCTATACCAAAGATATACGTACTGACCTTTCTCGCGGTCTTTACTACTTTCAGATCCATAGGGAGCTGTTTCACTACCAAGGACCCTTAAAGCCAGGCTTGCAGTAAGTTCCGGCCTTTGCCTAGTTGTTTTTTTATGATCCAGACTATACTACGAATCTCCGGGTATAGTACTGCCTGCTACTCGATCATATAATTCTTTATAGCCTCTACGAGATGCTTACGGATTATAATCCCTTTATACAGATTTATAAAACAGCCCGGGAGCAATTAGCTAGCCAAACAGGTCACTTCCGGATCCTTCTCAGCCCGCAAATACGCCTAATCCTCTAGTCTGGGGCAGATTATTACCGCAAGAACCTTCCCATAGCTATAGAGCTAGCAGGAATCCTCCCGGACGAGTTTACGGACGAGAGTTAATATAATATCCTTCTTGCGGTCCGCGAGCCTGGCCATTAAGGTCCGTAACTCTACCAGGTGGCCGTTACTTATATAGCATATATGCCACTTTACTACGTACTCCTCTTTCCGTATGGCAAATACGGATAGTACTATAAGATAACCTTGCGGGATGCCCGTTATACCCGTTAACGGACCTGTTTGAAGCAGTAGCCCTTTTACTAGTTCTGTTTATATACCCGTAATCGCAAGGTATCCCCTCTCTTTTACGCTTGCCGGCTCTTTTAGTAATATATTATAGATGCTTTTGTTGCCTGTAAGACTACGTTCCTTGATTGGCTCCGTTCGTACCAAGATAAGATCCGTATAAATATATATAATGGCTTAGTAAATATTCTTATCCGCAAAGATATCTTACTAGCTAATCTAGGCCATTAATTTGTTCTTCCTTTCTCTTTTACGGGCGGGGATTGGTTTATATAATAGCTTTTCCAGGACTCAATAGCTATTATTTATTATTTTGGAAAGCCTACCTTTTTTATTACCTTTATGGCAAACCCGTAATGGCCAGAGATTATCCAGGAGCTATATGGCTTATAACCTATAGACCGGCCAGATCTAATTACTTGTATATTTCGATTTAAGGTCCAAGAGCTTCTTACGGACCTAAAAAACCACATTTTCGGACGGTATACGGGCCATATTTATATAATTGAGTATTAGAAGCAAGGGCTCCTATATTTGCACTTGCTCTTATTCCTATAAATGTCTGTAAAGTTTGATATACCTGAGTATATAGACGAGATCGTATATACTGAGCTACCAGATCCGTTATAGGATCCTATAGGCAAGCTCCTAGCCTTGGTTACGGGTAATATATCCTATAGTCCGTATAGGGAAGACTATATACGGGCCCCGTATATGGTCCGTAAAGAAGCTCATAGCCCGTTAGTATACTCCAAGAGGTTTCCGAAGGCTTTTACGGACCGTATTATAATTAATAAGGATAGCTATTCTAAGTACTATTATTAAAATAACAGGTAAATATTTACGGTCCGTAAACCAGGCTTCCCAGGCCAGGAAGTTATCCGTAATAACCGCTGGGTCATTCCGTATAACCCGTACCTTCTCTAGAAGTTCCGCTTATATATTAATATTAAGGTTTATATATCCATATAAGTAATTAAGTATATTTACAAGTATATATATAAAGAAGCAGACCGGATAATAGTTATAGTTACGGCTACGGATAATAAGATTACCCGGTATATATATACCCGTTACGTAAGTCTATATAAGGCTATTTGGCGGCTATTCGAATTCCCTATATATTAGGAGTTCCCTCCTATTTAGTATCTCGCAGTTTACCTTAAAAATAAGTAAATAGTTTACTTTCCGGATAATATCTCTCCTATAGCTCTAGCTATAAAGACTGCAAATGCCCGTTCAATCCTAATAGCCTTCTTTGAGTATAATACTATATATAAGAATAGCCGGGAATACTTATATTCCGAGTTTCCGGCCGAGTTTATATGGGTTCCAAAGATCCGGGAGTAAAAGTATTACTAGCGGGGCAAAGGTAACCGGATTGGCCGTATATATTACTATAGCCCTGTTTCGGGCAAGCGGTACTACTTACGGCTCTTATTTATAGTTATTTGCGGATTACGGTCCTTTACGGATCTATATTTTATTAAGGGCATTCGTTATTCAATATACCAGGCTACCTATATTACCTACAGCTTGGCAGAAAATAACCAGGAATAGTACTAGTATTTTAATAAGGCTATCCTATTTATACCTATAGGTAGTTTATAGATATTATTCTTGACTAGCCTTTACTAGTAGCTAATTACGGACCCGTTAGTAATCTGGAACTAGTATAAGTACTACTTCTATAATAATCTCTGGTACTAGCTTATCTATAATAGTGGTTTCCTATTCCCGCTTCTTAACCTATATTACGATTACGGCCTTTTCTTGCTTACAAGTGGGCTTACGGACTAGTAGTAGTCGCTTGCGGACTACGGGCTCCCGTCTTTTATCTGGGATTAGACTAGTAGGTACCGTTCCTTATTTGTATTATATATTCTCGAGGACCAGGTATTACTTATAGTTATAATACAAGCCTAGCTTAATCCTAATTAGTAATTATACTTTACGGAAATTATTATAACTATTAAATCAGATCCGTAAATAGCCCACTTCTACTTGCAAGGGCCAGGAGATATAGGCAAGACATTCTTATATAAGGTACTTTACTATTACTTTTATAGGCAGGAGCGGATAGTTCTTTATATAGTATCTACGGGTATTACGGCTCTCTTATTACTAAACAGATATATATCTTACTCCTAGTTCAAGATTCTAATTAAGCTTTACGAATTGTTTATAAGTTCTATTATAAAGCAGAGTGCCCTTAGATAGATCCTCTGGTCTACGGATCTTATTATCTGAAACGAGATACTAATATAGTACAAGTACTATTTTGAGGTTATTTACTAGCTCTTAGTGAATTTACGATCTATAGCAGATAATATTCTCTTTAAAGGGATACCTGTAATTCTTAGTAGGGACTTTGCCCAGATTCTTCTAGTTATATTATATGGTTTACGGGCTAATATTATTACTATATACCTTTAATAATTATTTATTTGGCTATGGCTCAAGTAGCTCTACTTACGGACTAATATACGGGTCTATAAAGGCGAGAATAGCCAGGAGTTTATCTACTAGATTAGCAAATTACCTAATAACCCAGATCCCAATATAATAGTAGTAATTCCGGACTATATAAACTAGCTAATATTAATTACGGATCTAATTAGCTATATTTACCCCCCAGATCTTCTCTCTCGGGCCGCTATAGATCCGTTAACCTTCCGCAGGCGGTACCTCTTAACTATATTAAATACTACGGTCTCAAAGCTTAATATCTATATTCTTAGACATTTACTAGGCTAATTACAGATATACTAATTAGTAGATTCCCTAGATACAGACAAGTCTTCAGGCAATAACTTATATGAGCTACCCGTAGAATAGCTATAAAGTATTAATCTTTTTTCCTTACTACTATCTTAGTTTACTCTTAAGATCAGGGCTCCGGTACTACTTTTACGGAACCTATATTTGCAAGAAGGTTTATATAATAGAACCCGGATAGTAGTTATAAGCTTATGGGTATATTATATCGAGGCCCGCTTACTTAAAGGGGATTTTAATAGCTAGTTACGGGTAATTCTATGAATTAAGCTATCTGCTATAGATACTAGCCTGGGGATTACCCTTTCCTAGAAGTAGTTCCCGGTCCGTTTATACTTTATAATAACTATTAATAAGTTATAAGGTTAGTTCTTTTATACTATTAGTTTAGATCTATAGATGCCCGTATTTGCTTACGGGCAGTTTTATATAGGGGTTTCCCGTATATTATTTATAGAAGGCTTAAGTATCCTTTTACTATATAAGAACCTGTCTAGAATACTTAATATAACTTATCCTAAGGTCTTAGCTAATTTACTTTAGTACTTTATCTCTTACGGGTACCTTACGGGTACCGGGTAGCCTTATGGGTCGGATTAAGGGGTTTAGGGGTCTATAACTATCCGTAACTATCTATAAGTATCCGTATCTATCTATAAGTAACTTGCGATTATTACTTTAAATATTTTAGGGCTCAAACGGACCGAGAATACCATACTATTAGGTATTAAAAGTATATACCTCTCCTAGGTAATCCTTTATAGGATTTATAACTCTCTCTCTCTCTCCCTCTCTCTCTCTCTCTCTCCCTCTCTCCTTCTTCCTCCCCTCTTCCCCTTACTCCTCCCCATCCTCTGTCTCTAGTACCGAATAATCCGTCTCCTCCTCCTCCTCTAGTATCTCCGCCTCCTCTTTATAAAGAGCTACTAGCTCCCTATAGAGCTTAGCAAAACGGCGTACTTTCTAAAAGGAAGTAAGTAGGCGGCGGCGGCGGGCGGCGGCGGTATAGCGGGCTATTTATATATTAGTTACGGTCCGTAATAATCCGTAGCGGGTATATATATATAAAGATAAGTTGCCAGGAGCGACCTGGTTACTTATACGACTACCGGTAGCGACCCGGGAAAGCGAGGAAGGATTAGCGGGGGCAGGGCCGGCAGGAGTAATACCTATAAGTATCTATTAAATTAGTTACGGTCCGTAAAATATTATATAAAAGTACTTACGGAAGGAGTAGCGGGCACCCTTACTGCCATAATAATAGTTAGTATAGCTTCTACCAAAAAAACCAGCTATAATCACATATACCGTCTATATACCCGACCCGCTAGTATAATATATATACCCGGCAGGGTGAACTTAACTAACGAATTAGCCAAGCTTAGCCTCCAGGTTAGCAGGCCGGGCGGGGTTGGTAGTACGGCCGGGCCGCAAGACAGGCATACGGCGGACGGCGAGGAGGGAGAGGGAGGCCATGGTACGGGTAGGGCGGGGCGGGAGGGGCGGGCGGCGGCGGCAGGCCAGTAGCAAAGCTTACTGCCATAGTAGCAGTAATAGCAGTAGTAGCGGCGGCGGCAGCAGATGGTAGAGAAGACATTCTACGGACCGTAAGGAGCGTTACAGGCCAGGGGCAGGCCCGTAGCGGGTATGGGGGTTGACTTACGTATACGTATGTATATATATATTTATTAAAGGAAAGAAGCTTTGGAATTCGAAATTAAAACCTACCTTATTTAGCTTACCTGGAAAATTTTTAGCCTTCAAAAAGTGAATTTTCAAAGTGAATTTAAAGTCAGTAAAGCTGATATCCCTTAAATAAGTGCCTGAGGCATCTAATTAATCTCGAATCGAGATCAGGGCAAAATTAAAGACTGGCCCCGAAGCTTGCGTAGGGCCGCCAGGCTTTAATTTTAGCGAAGCGGCCCTGATCTCGTATGCCGACAACAAGCTATCTTCCACGAACAGCGATCGCTGGGAATACCCTCGACATGGCAGACCACGTCTCTGAGAAAGCGGCAGAGAAGCCCACATATAACTATCCCTTCGCCGCAGCACCAGACATCATCCGTGCGCATCAGAAAGACTCCTACTTCGAAGGAGTACTCCTTAACCATCTCTCCAACCCTCTTCGTCGTCTGTATGGCGCACGATTCCTGCACACGTATACCTCAGAAGCGCGAACCTTTTCCGAGCTTTTGTATCTCGGCTTGACCACATTCATCGGGAATCGCACACTGGGAGAAGAATACTGCGACATCATCCAAATCGAAGACGACACGCTCAAACTTCCTACGATCGACCGGAGAGCAGGATACATCCTAACCAGCATCCTCCTCCCTTATTCTCTCACCAAAATCCTCCCCGGCTTTCGATCACGCATAAGAGCAAAACTAGAATCGAACCTCCGACGAATGGTGAAGAACAAACAACAGAGTTCAACAAGCTTTAAATTGCAATCCTACCTCCTCACTCACCTATCCACAATCACGTCTCCATCGCCAATCCACGCGCTTACATTAACGATCTTCTATTTCTCGGGCGCGTACTACCAGTTGTCGAAACGGATATGGGGGCTACGATATATTTTCACAAAAAGGATTGCGCCGAGCGAGGCGAGGGTTGGGTATGAAGTGCTCGGTGTGCTGCTTGTACTGCAAATGAGTGTTCAAAGTTGGTTGCACCTGCAAAATACCATAAATACACCTACGATCGCCAATCCGTCTCTCCTCGAAGGCTCCTCCGCAATGCTGGAAGGCGGGATCGAGATTTCGCTCGATGCTCCGACCACCTCACCCGAAATTTTGTTGGAGTCCGGAGGCATCCAACACAACAGCATAGAAGTGGGTAAAACTACACATACAGAAGTATTAAAGAAACCGAGATATGATTTAAGAATTGAACGCGTGATGCCGTGGATCAAAGGACAGAATAGGAAATGTACGTTATGTCTAGAGGAGCTGAAAGATCCGAGTGTAGTTAGTTGTGGGCACGTCTTTTGCTGGGAGTGCGTTGGGGATTGGGTGAGGGAGAAGCCGGAGTGTCCTCTTTGTAGGAGGGCGGTGGCGATGCAGCATGTTTTGCCTCTGCGTGCTTGATGGGAAGGGGAATGGAAAATGCAAACTTGGGACGCCAGGTCGTTTCCATGAAGCGATCTTATTGTAAGAGCCCCTATCGAATCTCGGCGTACACCCCCTACATCGCCAGAAGATATCACAAAATCTCGTACATTGCGATACCTCTAGCTTAAGGCTGGGAATTTGAACGTACAGCATTTCGAGGGACACTCTCAAAAGCAGACCTTGATGAATGTGCTTGAACCCTTCCAGATTGAAATTATCTGGAACTATGTTATACGAGTAATGGCAGTAGCTGTTACTCAAAGGAAGCCGTTGAAGTCACGGTTCACCTTTCGGAACCGGTGTCTCATATTGCATTCTTTTGTGCTGCGAACGTCGATTCAATAGCATTGTTTTCGTCCCGAATGCGGATTTGGTTTTCTTCGTGTCGGAAACCGACCGAAAACACGGACAAAGCAACGAGTGTTGCGACACACATTTACTCTCTAACACTCCGCACATTATACTTCATTTTATGGTCTGTGGTTTCTACAACTCAATCGTTCAACATGGCAGCCAACGATAGTGCCCAAATCACAGCAGATGTTAACTAGTGTGGGCAAAGTATAGAGACCCAGATCCCGACAACCATGTGGACTTGACTCCTCAAGAAATGCAAGCATACTATAGGCTTCAAAATTATAAGCGACCAAAGCTGGAAGATCTTGCGGTTGCCGAACCACAGTATCGTGACCTGTGTCCTTGACAACCTCTATGAATTCATGCTTTTGCAAAACCTATACGACAGACAAAATATAACGTCTGCGACCTTTTTTTCTTCAATCCGTGCTCTACAATCAAATTTCAAAAGAATGTTAAAACCTTCCGAACCCGATCTTAACCTGAATATTGTTGGTTGTCTTTCAGAGCTGAACATTGAGCCTTTTCTCTTATTCAACGTTAGGCATACTTGCAGACTACACCACTTCGCCAAGAACGGCACACGGCAATTCTTTTATTAGAATCTTGATGGGAGTCCAGCCGCCGAGTTCTTGCAATTTGCCTTCTGCCGTTTTGACAACCCGTGTCCCATGAAAAAATCTTCATAACATTTGTCACCTACTCACAGAAAATCACACTTCTCAAGTTTAAGAAAGAAATTGAGACGGATGATCGAGGTCAAGCAAGCCTTCCAAACCTGTCCAAGGATGTTGTTCAGAAACCCATGTGACCTCAGAAGATGCCCCCTCTAATTCTCAGTAGCATTGGCCTCCATCAGATTATGAAACCGCTCCAGAATTATCTCCCTGCCGCCCGTTCTCATTGGTCATGATTGCCTACTACCAGTAGAAGTCACTCACAACCTTCCACATCTGCGGCGAGAACGGGGAAGACCGCCTATATGTCGTCGCGATGCACACCGGCTTTAGCAGGAAGAAGCTACACGGGGCAATGCCTGATGAGCTTCTCCTCTACGATGGCAATAGTAAGAAGGATCCTCTCCTCGCCGCAGCCGGCCCCGAGCCAAGTGATTCCGCACTTTAAACAACAGGAGCATCATCTTATTGCCTGCACTGGAGCCTCGGGAGAACCAACTGAAGCACGAGGACATGGCGACGGAGATCATATAAGGCAGGACTACAACACGCCATGACGTGGCATGTCATTTCGCCATTACAGTTAGCGAGAAGAGGCATAGTGTGAGCTCCGCGTAGCGGAAATCAAGAAACGTGACGAGAAGAGCAAGGTCAACGGGTTCAGACTTGCCCCAATCTCTACTGCCTCCAACGATACTCACTCTGCAGGCATTGCCGAAGCAGCGACAGCAGCCAAGGATGCTCCTCATCCCCAAAAGCAAACGAAGGAGTGACTTTGGCGCTTCTCAAGCGGGCAAATGCCTCCAATTTGAAACACATTTTGAAGCTGGAGCTGTGCGGTAGTGGGCAGTCGGGAGTACTGAGGCAGCACTTGACGTTCATGGCTGTCATCACGGCGCTCAAGGTATGGGCAACCCATCACAGCGGTAATACGAATATGGCTGCTGTTACGATTGGCGGGGCGAGCGGATCAAAATAACATGTCGGATAAACTTGAAGAAATGTGAGAAGATCAGGCGCGTGGACATGACCAAAGAAAATTCCGATGAGCTGCATTCAAATGCCTGCTACGTGCGCGTCCTTATTTGATTTCCCGCACTATTTTCTATATTCTTCTTCTTCTTAATTATAATCAAGAACTACTAGTCTTAGTTGAATATTATGTTCTTGATTATTAAAGAACTTAGAATATAAAGTCAATTTTATAATTAGTTATAAGATATATACCTAAGTCTTAATTATTCTTCTAGTTATATTAACTAACCTTATCTTTATAATAGTTGTATATTATAATGTACTTCTTTCTTCATATCGAGGAGTTATTGTAGCTGCGATATTGAATTATTTCTCACATTATATAAGTTTTCACATGAGGTGATTCGGATTCGCAAACCCGCCCCGGAAAGCATTTGTTTTAGATTTCCATACCTCTTTACCAGAAACTTCGGTTCAATTCCATTGTTCTCACTCCGCATGCGTCGTCGATTTTCTTTGTCTTAGTCAATGACTCGACCTATTCAAAAATGTGGACAAAGGAAGAGGTAAAGCGGCCACCAGTGAGTGTTGCCAGCACAAATCTTTGAGAAATAGTACGCGTTGTACCAGTTCCCTAGCTCTACTTTCGAAGACTCCGCCCTACGTGTTTCCACCTCACTCAAGCCAAAATGGCAGCGCCAAATATTACCAGAATCACTGCAGATGTCAATTTCTGGGCAAGGTACAGATATCCGGATCCCGACAATTATATACCATTAGATGAGCAACAGGTCCAAGCCTTCTACAGGCTTCAAAATTATCCGCAGCCAGCTGGGCCAGCGCCCCAAGGTGCCGCTCCGGAGGATCGTGACTTGGGTCCTGGGCAACCTCTCGATCGGCCCCTAGCACGAGATGACAGCATTGTACGTCGGGCCTTCCTAGATAGGAACCCAATGCCTCAGATGCAGGGAGATCTTATGCAGACTCCTCTTTGGCAAGGTATAAAGTTCCTGGGGGAAGGTTTCAGTGCCAGGGTAGGACTATGGGAGTACAGTGATCCCGATCCCAACGCCGATGTACCTGGAGGCTTTCGTCAAATTGCTGTAAAAGAACTAAAGACGACCCTAAGAAACCCATCTTTTTACGATCTACATCGAGAAGCTGATACCCTTACGAAACTCAGACAGAGCGGCTCTCCGCATATCGTACATTTACTCCACAATCCAGGACCCGTCGGAGCAAACGAAACCCTCCCACTGGGGCGGTGGGATAACGTGGTTCGGCGAATCTTCCTTGAGTACTGCTCTCTGGGGTCTTTATATGACCTTCTTGATAGACGCATTAAACTGCAAGCAAGCCATTCCCTCATGTGATCCCTTGCTAATCGCATATATGTTTAGTGCTGCTCCCTTCAGTGAGTTAACCATCTGGAGATTATTTGACTGTCTCCTTGACGGGATAAGCGTTTTGGACTACGGCAACGAGCTTGTACCAGACGGGGTCACAAACGAGTTCTACACCCCACAATTGAGGTCCAAAGAAGAAATTGTTCACTTTGATCTAAAGCCGGCCAACAGTACGCAACCCTCCTTCGAACCCATGGATCTGTCTTAACATTGAATAGTTCTTCTGTCTGACAAACGATCAATTCACCCTGTTCACCCTCTCTGCAAGGTATTTACTGGCATACAGATATATTGAGCAAGTGCTGATGAGCTTCAGATCTCTGACTTTGGACTCGCGTCGGAAATTGGACAACCGCAATGGAGGAGGCTGGGGCAGAGAACCCAGGAGTGGCTCGATTATTACGAGAGCAAGAGGAAGCGGGGAACAGAAGGTTATTTCGCACCGGTATCAATCCCACACCAAGTATCGTGAGTCGGAAGCTGATTTTTAACCAGGAACAATTCACAGAACGTTGGGATTACGATGACTGGCGCCAGCTGCGGCCAGCTGTCGACATCGCGGGAATGTACCAAAGTACCAACATCTGGGGAGTGGGTTGCATGATGGTAAGGGCAACGGGACTCCTTTAATCTTTGTTCTCGTTTTCTGAAACACGCCGTCCTAATATTGCCCCCGCACTCCTAACACGCTCCAGAAGAGTTTTGGTTTGCTCGGTTTACTCAGTCGTAATCCTTAAAGATTCTGGGATAAGAACATGCTGACTCCCCTGTCATCCAGTACCAGCTCATTACAATGAGCAGAATGCCTCCAGATCACAGAGACCCTTTCATGCCGCAAGACAACCTACGTGGACGCCCAGCGCTAGGAATAACATACGGAACTGATCTCCCAACGTATCAATTGCAATACAGTAAACTCTTGCTGGACCTAGTCCAGGAATGCCTCTACGAGCTGCCATCCAACCGGCCTTCGATATCAGAACTCAAAGAAAATGTGGGCTTTGGTTCTGAATCAGCTCTGTCCGCCAACCCTGATCCAGAGCCTTGGGTGGATTTCCTTCCGGCTGAACCCGTCCCCTCTTTCAACCCAATTCCTCCAGGTGGCCCAACGCAGGCTCAAAAGACTGCGCGAAGGCAAGCGCAAAGAGCTGGGAGAAAACGAGCTAGGGAGGATGAGGCACAACAAGCTCAGCCTAAGAGGAGGCGAAGAATCGCCATCAGACAGAGGTGCCGGTATTTATATGATGACGATACCCAGTGTAAGAGAAACTTTAAGACGACGGTGGAGGGGATGGACATTTATTGCACTGAGCACCGGGGGTAGCATTCTCAAGCAAGATTGAAACAAATACCTTTAAAGATACCTTCCGGCTTTCCTCGCGAACCGTGGTCAAATAGAAGCACGTTAAATTGAGACTTTTCTCCCAAGCTGTTCGCATTTTCTTTGTATTCGCAAGGTGATGCCATCTCAGGTATCAAAAATGGTTTCAGATACATCTAGTTTCATTCCTTTATGTTTGGTGATGTCGTTTTCAATACACTTGTACGTGGAGGACAAATGCATTCTTTCTTCTTTGTTTTGAGTTTGCCGAATGCGGAAGCGACGAAAGGAGAACCTGCTGTTAGTTTTCGCATTCGATTGTGATCACTCCCTCATCAACAAAATCCCGCACAAGGTCCAAAACACTATAAGGGGGCTAAGCTATCACGATTTCTTCGCATCGTTACATTAAATCTATTTTCGTATCTCACCGATCAGAATGGCGAATTTGGCGAATCAAAGAGTCGCCAACGAATTTCGCGAGTACCGCGGGCAACCAAAATGGAGCGATCAAGAATTACAAGCTCACTGGCGAGCTCAGGATTATCAACAGCCTGCTCCCTACCAACCTGCCGAACCAGCTTTGAATCCGTGGCCAGCTCCTCCGCCACCCAAAGCAGCTGTCGCCCTCACACAGCTGCAGAAAGATTTCCTGGCTTCCACAATTCCCGATCTGGAGAATGCCGAGAACACCGCTTTCGCTGGAGGTCCTGGGTATTGGACTGGGAAGAAGTTCTTGGGTAAGGGTGGCTTGGGCATGGTTGCCTTGTGGCAGTATGATGGTCCAGCAGGGGATCAGAACCAAAAATATCGTCAGGTGGCTGTGAAAGAAGCTACCGGTGACGCTGCCCGTCACATGAATAGTGATAACAATATCCATAGGGAACTCACCAAAACGAAATCGCAGCATATTAATCATTGCCTCATCAGGGGACGCACTGTTGACCCTCAAGCCGAAAATCTTCATCCAGATTGGAAAGGGAAAGTGAAGAGACTTATTTTGGAGTATTGCCCGTTGGGCGATGTGCGTCAACTGATAGAAAGGTTTCAGAAACTGTAAGTGGGGGGTAAAGCTTTTGGGAGCAGCTAGCTCATTCTATGCAGAGGGCGACCATTTAAGGAGACTACTCTCTGGAAAATTTTCGAATGGTAAGCAAACCTATTTCTTTTCCCCATACCTCAAGCTCCCAAATCGCCATGTTTCAACTTCTCGGCTACATAGAGGTCACTTTTCCTCAAAATAATATTGTGCTAATTCGCAGTAGTTTGGTCGATGGGATCAGCGTCATGGAAACTGGATATGAGTTATCCTATCCGAGTCCTACTTATGAACCTTCTCGCAGAGACCGGAGAAATTGGGATCCTATAATCCACTTCGACATGAAGCCTGGTAATAGTGAGTAACATGATCCAACGACATGGCCACCTGGAATCTGCCCTCACACCTAGTAGTTTTCTTGAGCGACGATAGATTTTCACATTTTGCTACTCCAGTTTGCAAGGTTAGTCACTTGATAGGAGAGTATAACAAATTGAGGGTTAATACATTATTCAGATTGGAGATTTCGGATTGGCAGAATTTGATTGGAATTTCTTGCTAAATGGCGATGCCCAACACGACGATATCGTGTGGCCTCAAATACTTCTGTTCAGAGATAATGGTACCCCGGGCTACTTTGTACCGGTACGTGCATTGGAAGTCCTCATGTATGGTAAAGCTTCTTCTAACTTGTCGTCCAGGAGCAATTCACAGAGGAATGGGAATTTCGTAATTACAAGAACAGCAACATTGCAGGAAAATAGTAAGCATTCCTGTTCATTCTGTTCACAGAGCCTCCTTGCGTTTCTTAGTTTCCGTAACCACACGGTACTGACAAGACAACAGTAGCTACGCAACAAATGTATGGGGAATCGGCTGCATCTTGTAGTAAGTAGCTGAGGGACAAACTATTCCTTTTTCTGCAGAACCTTAAGTGCTGCACTAGGCTCTCCTTCAAACACCTACTGACTCCTATTTTCTGATAGCCAGTTAGTCCTCCTCACGCATGGTGCACCAGACCCAAAAGTGCCTTTCACGCCATCATGGAACTTGAATAGGGACATACCGAAAGGCAGGACTTTTGGCCTCCCTTTACACGGTCAGTCTCGGTATTATAGCCGCCAATTAACAGATCTGGTCCAGGAGTGTCTGTACGAGGTACCACAACACAGACCAGGGCTCGAAGACTTGAAAACCAGAGTACGAAGTGGTTTCCTGGACGCATTGCAGGTTGATCCTATTCCAGATCTTTGGATGGATTTTGAGCCACCACCGCCTGGACGTGCAGATGGTCGCCCATACTGTCGGGGAGTAGTGAAGAAAACTGGAAAATCATGCGAGAATGCAGGCCTTCATGAACATGGCGGATATTGTGGCCTCCATAAAAAGCAACGATCTCAACAAGCTCAACAGACTCCACAGCCTCAAGCTCGGCGAAATCCACTCCGAAACGCACGATGACGGCCTTGATATTGAAGATTCTCTTAAGGAATACAGTACAGAGGCAGAAAGGTGCCCCACATCTTTCCAAGTGATTGGACAGGGAAATTGGAGGCTGATTTGTCCCTTTATCGGCTTACATTCTCCCGATTGGGATAAAATGGGAATTACAAGGGCTCATGCTGTCATCCACAACTAACTTTCCTTTTCCCTATTGTACACCCACTTTTGCGTATTTGCCCCGCATGTGGTACAATTGGGTTTATCATTTGGCGCTCACGAGTTCAAGGAAGACCTGGATTGTGATTACTCTTCCAATTATCGAGCAATGTTTTCTCCACATCTTGCCAATGCATACCTTGGGGCGGATGACAAAATTCTGCGCTTTGCCACCTATATTCCCATTTGCCTCACTTATTCCAGACGTAGAAGTATATAAAATGAAGTCAAAGACCTCTCTCCGAATTTCACCTCCATCATCTCTGCTCTTCCTAATCTCCAGCAGCTTCTCTGCTAGCTTCTAATCAACATTCCTCTCCTCGGAAATTTAAACTCGACATAGATCTGATATGTCGCTCAGCTTCAAGACTTGGACCGGCACTCTCAGTGGCCCTGTCGTTGCTAAGACAGTTACCGGACCAGCACTCACTGGCCATCAAGTTTTCGTAAAGACCACACACTCGGGCGTCTGCGGAACGGGTGTCCATTGCCATCATGAAGAGATTGGAATGGGGCACGAAGGAGCTGGTGTGATCACTCAAGTTGGTCCTGAAGTGACAAACCACAAAGTCGGAGATAGAGTCGCATGGGGATGGGTTCGTGGCACCTCCCTTCCTGCCAAACAGGCTACATAGCAATGTGTGAACGCTTGCCTAAGCGATACGGTCAGACAGGCTTTGATCAAGGCTCTTTCTCCACCGGTGGTGTCTGGGATTTCCGTTTCGTGTACAGGATTCCAGACGAGATGAAATCTGAAGATGCAGCACCACTCCTATGTGGCGGATGGACTGTTTGGAATGACCTAATTGGTTACGATCTCAAGCCAACGGATCACGTTGGCATAGTCGGGATCGGTGGGCTTGGTCATTTTGCCATCCAGTTCGCAAACAAAATGGAGTGTGAAGTTACAGCATTCTCTGCAACCGAGAGCAAGAAAGCCGATTCTTTGACACTTGGAGCACATCACTTCGTCAATACGAATCTCCCTGTAGGAGAACGTCTCAAGGTTGCAAGACAACTCGACAAATTGCTCGTTTGCACCAACGTTCACATTCCTTGGGAATTGTTCACACCGATCTTGGTTGGCAAAGCGACTGTTTTCCCACTGTAGATTCCCAGTGATATGGCGAGCAAGCTTTCGGTGCCTCATATGCCGTTTTTTATGAAGAGTATCAATAATGTTTATTCGACGAATGGACAGCATGATGCTTATGATAAGTTGTTGGTATTTATGGCGCTACATAACATCAAGCCTGTTTCTGAGAAATTTCCACTTACGGGAGAGGGGATTGAGGACGCATTGGACAAATTGGAGAAGGGTACAATGAGATACAGGCGGGTCCTGCTTGCTAAAGCTTGAAAGGTAGAACAAATGATTTTAGAGATACGCAGGAATATTCAAATGTTAGTATATCTTAACTCCGAAGTTTGCATTCTCTTGAAGTGCTGATCTAGAGCTTTATACTCTAAATCGTTTCCCACGTATGTATTTCTGCCCCTATTTAGCTGCCATAATATAAGTACGCTCGATTTGGAGCTTCGAGTACTGGCATTAAAGCAAATAGCATAAGCGCTAAGCATTCGCACTCATCAACTCAAATTCGGCGTATCCGTGTTCGAGTATGTTTTCTCATGATTATGTGGGGGTATCGCCGAAAAGGGGATGCTGTGAAGCCCCTGCTCAAGAACATCCTGCTTTTCTCCCGTGGTTTGCATAGCGGTCTATGTAGAGAAATTTGAGCAGCAAGGCTTTGCTGAACCAGACTACGGAAACGACAATTGTTGCAGCGAAGACTCTTTCGAAAACGGTAAGCCAATGGCCTGTACAGTGTTGATGTGTATAGGAACACATATGGGGTACAAATGCCCAAGAGCTAATGGACCAGAGCACAAACAGTAAAGGGAACTTGAGTTTCCTGGCGAGACAATCATAGTTTTCAATATCGAAGATGTCCTTTTGGCACAGCCGTTCAAAAAGCCAACCGAAGGCCTATGAAACCAGATGTGTTATCCACACCGCGACCCAAGACAGTTCGAGCCAAATTGCTAGTCCAAGTGCTGAGACACTCTGGCTACTGATATGTTGGAATTTTGTGGCAATTATCACGATCGGGATGACCAAAAACAAAGCCACGACCAGCCAGTTCCAAACAAACCTTAACCCGCCCAGCTTCTCGCGAGTTTCGAGCCATTTCCCCCCGGCCCGGAAATAGAGGTGTTCGAAAGTCGATTGCAGAGGACCGAATATGTGCCCAAGAGAAGAAAATAAATTCTTGATTACGACGGTCTTGCTCGCCTTCTTGTTGCCAAAAATAAGGGGAAAATAGCGTGTTCAGGATTCGCGCTCCATTTCCCCAAGAAGGTTAACTTCAGAGTGGCATTCTAGCTTGAATTGGAAAGGTTTGGGGTTCATCAAGCAAAAACGAAACTCCCGGATAATTCACAGATCAACGACGAGACGATTGACTGCCGGCTGAACTGGTTGAACTGTAGCTGAGCTCACAGTCGATGAAGAAACTAGAACAAAATTGAGATACCTTTTTCTACGCAGTTTGGCGAAGGGGCGCAGATTATTCAGAATAATCCGCCCTGGGAGGGTTGACGAGCACATTTAAGAGCAGTTAGTTCCCCGGGAAAGCAACGCAGCCGCCCACACAGCTAAACACAGATTCCACTTATATTCTGCGATCCCGAGACAATGGCTGACAAGCAAGTCCTGCAATATGACAAATTGCCGGCTTCTACTATCTAGCTCTAGGCTTTCGGGGTTTGGATAACAATGGAGCAAGTGGCTATGGGGAATGCTAGTCTCGATTCAAGGGTATATTGGCGATTTCATGTAGGACTTTATCTCTTTGAGAGAGCGCGGCAGTCGTTTCGTGGCCCGTTGTGTTACACAAAGCAAAGGAGGCGGCTGATTTCCCTCGTGGTCTCCGATATGCATGAACGACGCATTTCGCAACATGAACTCGGCCTGGCCGTCATTTCCGCACAAAATGTCCTGCTTGCAATCTTGCGTTGTGACATTGCTCCCTCAAATGTATCTTGGCGATGTTGTCTTGCCTGCAGGCGCAATGAAAGCTCATGGTCCATTGAAACTCGTTAAAATTTGAAAAAGCCCATGTAAGTCGGCGACTTCAGAGACCACACCACATCATTGTAGAAGCCCAAAATTTTGAGCACTAGGAGTCGAGTGGTAAGTTTGAGAAATCGCCCAGGGTAGCCTCCAGCCATAGTTTAGTTGCAGCATCGTCCAATTCAGCCTGCCACAGAACGTCCTTCAGAACTCCGTTGGCCGCCTCCCAGTCATTGATATTCAATTCATCACAAAGTGCCCTGAATTTGGCCACAAACCAATCTCGCTCAAGTTTACCCTCCGCGGCCACACCGCCGAAACCTAGAATCCAGAACATCACCCTTTTCGCCTCTCCATCGGCGTCAGAAGAAAGGTTTTCTTCATACTCGACAATTGCGGCTTTCAATCGAGTGACCGATCTGGCAATGACCTGGAAAGTAAATGGCACGTCGCGGAGACAATGCCCGCAGTACATGAGCGCAGCCATCGCACATAAACGATCCACAGGCCTGGGAGTGTTCGGGCAATACACGACCTCAATAATGTTACGCTGGAGGTAATAAATCTTATCGCTGTACCAGATGTTGTCTTCTGGTAGATTGGTAAGTTTTCGAAGCCCTTTGAGTATCTTCGATAAGTCTCGCACGCCGGCTAGTAATCGCTGAAGACTATGGTCCTGCATGCCTCTCTCTGTTGAATCACCCTGGCGAAACCTCGACGGGTCACTGGGGTTGGATATGGATGGATAGAAAAATTCTTCGGGCTTCTCTGTTTCTGGGATATTGAGAGGGGGGAAGCGAGGTCTCTTGAGCATTGCGGTTGCTGCGTGGTAATCCGTCCTTGAAGCTGGGTTAGAGACTCATTTTTTGAAGAAAATCTATCACATACCATGCAATCATCCGTTGGACTATCATAGGAAATCCACCAGATTGAATACCGCCCCGCATTTGAACCATCCTCTCCAAGCCATCCACATGAACCAACATGCTATCGACGGATCCATTCGAGGACTTTGTGAAGGTGGGTCAGCGAATGGAAACCAGAACTTTAAACAAGGCTCACCTCGAATGCCGCCATATTGGCGACTGTAGCAACTGTCTCATTGGTCAAAGCCTGATTCGGGTCCGCAAGCCTTTCGTTAACAATCTTTGCCGCTTCGCTGGCATGATACAGAGCCTCATCCCTGTTTCCGGTCCGAAAATGCACATTGTAACTTCCGGCGTAATGGCATAGGAACGAGTGAAACATTGCTGCATCGTTAATAGCAAGAGAGAAGAGCATCTTCCTCATAGGCATCATGAGCCAAGCTGATTGGAGGCGATCGCTGACTGTTGAATAGCCAAATAAGCAAACCATCAACCTCAAGTTGGCAAATAGGGCGAGTATCTAGTCTAACTTACAGTAGTGATGAATGAGGACTTGTGTTCTTGGGGTGATAAGTAGTGAAGTTGCAGCAAACGGGTCCAGGAGTCCAGTCCCAGGTGAGTGATAAAGAATCGACGTTTGTATTGCGAAATCGAGACTTGACAGCCACTTGTCAGCAGAAGCTGTAGGGGGTCCAGTTTCACTGAAGGACATGGATGCAAACTCTGGATCAGGTACAGTGGAGTCCAGGGAAAGTTGACCCCCATTAACCGAGGAAGCGCTTGGAACTTCATGAGACCTGTATGGATTCAATGCCTTCCCTCGACCGCTTCCTGCATGTTTTCGTTTTCCTGGAGGTCCTTTGACAGGCACCCACGGTCGAAGACCTTTTTCTCTTCCAAATCTGAATTTATTCGTTTGGGCTTTCGCACTCGGTGGCCTCGGTGGAGGGTCTTGAATTGGGTTCTCGCTCTGGGTTGCTCTTTGAACTCGTCTCCGGTGATAGTCTCTCATGACTTGTGCCCGAACTTGAGTCCGAGCAGACTCACCCAGAGCCGTAGAATTTGTAATGTTGATGAATTGTGGTATTGTGAAACTTGGCTGTTCGGCATTCTCGTTTTCGGGGCTTGACCTTAGCCCTTTGGACAGTTCCTTAAGGGAAGCATCTTTCTTCAAGACTTTTGGAGCTAGACACGATCCCTGTTTAGTCCATGCAATAACCTCTATAAAAGAAACCTAGACTTACTTTGAGACATGATTGATCTGGATATTCTAGCTTTCCATGAGAGTAATGTTCACGAAGGTCATAAGTTATAACCTCAATCCCCAGACTCCTCTTTTTAAAGCTGAAGTTGCCTTTCGGTACGGTGGATGCTGTTATTATTACAGGTCAGAAAGCACGATACCATTCTATTGCATGCTGATATTGTTTCCTCGGATTTCAATCCTGTGGAGGTACATTGTCGTTGGAGAAGGCAATTCGAGAATGGGTAACTTGTGGCTTACTTCAGCATACTGCAGCCTCTAGTCCGGAACGAGGTTCGCGCATCCGCCCCCCTTCGGATCGGTAAAACCTCTCCCTGAGTTGAGTATACCACTGGATGTTGGCTTTGGTGAGCTTCTTCTACCATAACTCGTATCTAGTACCAGGCAAGTCTGTCTAGCGTGGTTTGGATCTGGTGTCGGGCGTCGCAGCTGATGATTTGTCAAGGGAAAGCTGTTGATAATTCGACCACAGTTTGCCGGGTAAATGGGGTTTCCCTGTGGCAGATATCCATTTGCATACCCATTGCTTGAGATCAGACAAACAGCAAGTCTTTTTGTCAGCTATATGCTTCAGTAGGTTGAAGAGGCCCGAGGTTTGCGATTACTGATCACCGCAATGCCGAAAGGCTGAAAGGTTATCCCCCCCCCCAAATTCAATCGCCATCGATCTCTAGATATCCAATGGGAATTGGAATGAGAAAGGTATCGCAACCCCAACTGGATCTCTTCGTTTTGAGCCTGGTTCAGCGTTGCCTGGTCGCCGCTGAAGAGGCGATTGCCTGTTTGAGAACTGACATTTAGGTCCACAGTCGTTGTAATCCAGCGCATGTAGAGTCTTGAATTTCCATGCCGACTTCCAGGAATCGGTGCTTCGTCCCTTCCCGATTCTCGAGTTGACTGTCAAGTGGACCTTGGGAGGCGAAAAGGAAGAAGAGGTATGTATATATGTCCATTATTCATTGAAATTTGGAAAATTCTGAAGTAGTTTAAAGGAGAACAATGAAGGGCTTAGAGTCTTTTAATCAAGAGAGTTGCAGTTATGATCCGTTATTATCGGTATTATTCGAGTTTGGTGCGTTGTCCCAAAACGGCAAAAACGGCAAAACTTTCTCGCGACACCTTTCTCAGAAGAGGCCTCCTGCGCAGGCCGTTTTTAATTGGATCGAAGATACCTGAGAGGGTAGGGTGGCCTTAGGCTCGCCAGGATTTGATGCGAGGCCCCTATTTTAGCGAATAGCTATACGTGACCCCCAACCCCCCAAACCCCCATTTCTAGGCTTTTCGGAACTTCTACGAAATTTTTCTCACACGAAACCATGTTCTACTAACCGAGGTACCTTCAAAAAATAGTGAAATGGTTTAAGAGATATACAACACACTATACGACCTTGAAGGAATCGAAAAAATGATACGAATTCAGGTTCTTGTGAGGAATATGGAAGACCGGTACCCAGCCCTGGTCAGTGAATATACCTCCAAAACTTGATCAACCCATCAAGTCGTTTGTGCCAATTTAGGAAGAAGGATGGCTACTTCAAAATTCGTTGTTTAGCTTCAGAACCAGTACAGGAACCCACATGCTAAGACGTCGCCCTCCCGTCCATCCTAGAGAGTGTTAATCCACAGACAACTAATCCAAACCAGATTACAACTCTGTTCGTGTTACTCATTCGGTATCAGAGAGGCGAAATATTGGATCTCAGTGGGTAAGTGATGTTCTCGAACTGTCACCCAACACGATTCCAGAGTCACGTCCCACGAAGTCTTCGTTCTCCTTCGCCGTCCGCAGTTTGGATTCATCTCGTCAAGCCTCGCACCATAGTTGGTATTTGGATTGTCCATCGGGGTCTTTACTATGCACTGCACTTTGCCTTCCAATTCACCAATCCGCCTTCTGGCCTCTTCGGGGTTTCCAGCTGCCGGAATTGAGGTAGTGGCCGTCCCGGCAGGGTTTTAGCTGATCCCTACTATCGCCCAAGCTGTCCCCTACTATATTTCAGCATACGCTCTCCTTATGCGCGAGCTGGGAGGGTTGGTGTTATTCCCGAGCTTGCGAGGGGGCTTAGGGCTAGGGGTTTAGGATTCGGGTTAGTCCCGGGGATTAGGGGGCGGTGAGAGCCCCCGCATTGGGATATATTAGAGCGTGAAGGCCCTGCTAGCTAGGACTAGTATATGCCGAGCATATGCTAGGAGCATGCCTGGCGGGCCGTTAGGTGGAGGTCGAGGAGGAAGGAGTTAGACAGAAGAGAGGGGTAGTATTCCTTTAGTAAATTAGGCATTTATTATATCTTAAGGTCGAGCATATGCAAGAAGCTAATTACTACTATAGAAAATACAAAGATATTTGCGCTGATTGATAGTAGGGGACAGCTTAAGCGATAGTAGGGCTCAGCTTCCGGCTCCGTCCCGGCGGAGGAAGACAACGCACTCTTGTTCCGACTGTATGTTACGCTAGAAGATACCTTATATGCTCCATCTCCGGAGATGGCCTTTGAGGACAGGTTCGGTCGGCTCAGGCTGAGAGCATAAGCTTGGTCCGAGCGGGAATGTCGTCTCAAGGTTTGAGTTGGACAGGCCTCAATGGCTTGCTAAAGAGGCTGATCCGCGAGTTTATTATTTTGATCAATTCTTTCAATCTGCAGTTTATTTGAAATCTGTAAGGCCTACAGTTGCTTGATGCTATCCCTCAATTCGAGATTTTCGGCATCGCGCACTCTGAGTTGCTCTCTCTGCTCCTAGACTAGTTTGAGTAATGTCACTGTCTCGCCTTATATATCTCCATTTTCCATTACTGTATCGTTCACAGGTGATGAGTGGTTGTCAATCGGTTGATGGATTAAAATCTCGTGGTTCTTGGTCAGAGGCTCGTGAGTAGCATCGGGACCAGAATGGAATGGCGATGTATAATTTGAATTAACTGTGGAAGAAGAATATGCATTCCCTGCTTACTGATATTTTCTTTGGAAGAAAATGAGTTCAGCTACTGTGGTGTGCAGATCCGCCAGGAACTGATTGGGCAACAGCTCCGTGGAGGTTAGACTCAAAATGGCGTTGATAGTAGCCTTGTTGAGCTACTCTCAACCTGTTTGCTGGATCGAAACTCGCCGAAGGCTAGGGTTGCAGCGGCAAAACAGTAGGGTTAAGCCCGCTTTCGTACGGGACATCGAAGGTTATCGCCTCCCGCCCTGTTTTCATTCGTTATCACCACGATCGGCCTAGCTTGCAACTTGTGAGACAAAACAGGAGTTAGTAAGGAACAGGGCCCAAGAAAGAAGTCTAACAACGGAAGACGCACCAGTTGTGGCATCTTCCTGAACGAGGGAACTTGGAGACTCTTGAGGCCCAGAAATTCCCGACGGCAGATGAAGGCAGTCCAATGAGTCCTGGGTACCGGCCTCAGTGAATGGGAAAGACCGAGCAGTAGCTTCTGTCTGTCGATAGGCATATGCTGCATCCCCTTTGCCCGTGTGGGAGTCCACAGGAGCTGGCCATTGGCGTTGAGCTCAGGGGAAGTGCCATTGTTACCAAAAGTATACACAGGATTGCGGATGTGAGAATTCTAGAAAGACGCATTTGGATGACATCAATTGGGTACCATTTCTCCATACCCATAGCGGTTGTTTAGAGCTGCTGTTGAAACCGATGTCCGACAGTAGAAGGCTTCCCAAGTTCCGCCTGGAGTTGACGGGTTTCCGGTGGAGCCGCCATCGAATTTTGAGCCAGATAGATGAGATACGGAAGCTGTTCCGTCGAAATATCCCTTGATCTTAACCTGAAAAACGCGAGGTCTTAAGGCGCAGCGGTTAGCCAAAAATATCCCTCTGTTGACTAAACAGAGAACGAAGCAGGGACTTACTAGGCAACTGTGACATGCAGCATCCGATTCCGTCTCCGTTCTGCTTTCTCGTCAGGAGCTCCCTTGACCCATTTCTAGCCCCTGATTCGCTTGAAAATTTTCGTGCGAGGATTTCTTTTGCTTAAGTCTTGAGCAATGTTTGGCTCTGCCAACCGCCGTTTGATTTCAGGTATGTAATATTCAAACTCCTGGTGGACAATCGTATCCGTATATTGGTGTTGTGTTCCCATCCCATGGCTTCAAGGACGTTCTTCCACTCCTCCTTGTCCAGACCATTCCCGAGAAACTCATCAATGCTTATCACCAACTCGTTAGCTGAGGTTGTGTTGGGGCCTGTCAATATTGCATTGTGTGGTTCATTCGTTGACATCGCAGGCTGCAAACAGCGGTTGATTGAAATAGAAGAAATCAAATGCTGCCAACATGGTGTTTCAAAAGTTTCTCCCGGGCTACCGTTTCAATGGCGCAAGGGCAAATGTATAAAGAATGCTTGTCGTAATGCCCGAGTTGGCGGCATTCGAAAGAGGGTACGAAGGTCGAAGACACCGAAGATCGAGAGCCCGTTGGATTGGTATTTGTCACACAACCCGCAATCGCTTCCAACTATTAATGTCAGTCAACCTTCCCCGTCGAGTTGAATTACTCTTGATATTTAAATCAGGAAGAGGTTATGCCGAGAAAGAAGAATCAAAATTCGTAGAACGCCGATGACAGAACGAATGGAAGGAGGGTTTCGGAAGAAAGAGTAGCTTCCATCGCAATAAAGGCGAGGAAAGGAAGATTAGCAACAGGCAAGAAATCAGTGAGCAAAATCATAGGCGTCTAGCCTTACCTACGTGGTAACCATAAATAACTAGCTCTGCGCGACCTTCCAAAAGGGAATCAACTTGCCATCCTTTTAAACAAATATAAAGAACGAGTCTGCCGTGACCTTCGGCCCTTAACGTTGTCTTGGTCTAATTTCTAATAGTGCTGGCAACGCCCGTCCCAGTCCGTGGAGGCTCAGCGAATCAGTGGGCTCCGCTCGAATAGTCGAATAATTCGTATTCGACGAACTAGATCAAATCGTATTTTCTATCTAAAAATTTTTGCGAATTTTTGCGAATCGAATCCCCCTCCTAAAAATAGCTCTATTTGTTATATAATATTGGTCTAAACCTCATAAATTTACATAAATATTATTAGTGTTCCAAAATCCTTACATACTGTATGCCGCCCCCACCCCTAGAAAGGGCGCAGTCGCCTCAGAAAGCGGCTCCGGGCACCACCCTTGACTTTGACAGATGAGCAGCAATTGCTGATAAGCTCAACACCGACCGAACCAATGGAAAGAAAACCTCCCCCGGGTGGAGCTCCCAAAGTAGAATAGCGTGCATTTACACTTCCAGTGCACACGGAGTTAAAAGCAGGCGCATAACCAATCTGTTTGCCGTGATTAGAAAGAAGTTGATGAAAGTAAATTAAAAACAGGCAAAGCCCTCCCAAGCGACTATCTGCAGGTGCTAGCTCTGGCTGACTTCAATGCGTTCCTCTCGTAAACGATGACATCTCCAGACTCCAGAAGACCAAGAGCGGTAAGCAAGGAGCAAACGAATGTTTCTCACCTTGACTTGCCAAGATAGGTCACTCAGGCGGCGCCGTCACGTACCTGCGAGCCGAGCACAATATTACTAGAAATCTTTACATAGGATCTTGTCGATGATCAAACTGTGGTCCTAAGTTTCCTAGTTCCTTCTTCCTGTCCTCATCGATTCCATGATAGAATGTTGGTGCGTGCAGCATGCGTGCACGTCGTCAAAAAGCAAGTGTGCGCGCACACCAAAAATGCCAAAGCTAGACATAAGTTAGCTTTCACAGGCCCTTTCTCTCGCTGACTTTCAGTCTTTGCCATCTCTGCAAAGTTTCACTAAGAGTCTTGTCATGGACTCGCTCTGGTGCACTGATCCTCTTATTTCTCTTACGAATTTGCCACTGCAGTCAGACTCGCCACCCCGAGGGCCTCTTTACACTTTCTTCGTTTTGGCATACCTCCATATCCGACCGCTCTTCGATCTGTACTGTCTTAAAGTGTCCCGGACCCCAGTTCGACTTCTAGTATTCCAAGCACTTTCCCAAATATGCCACAGAATCCACCCAAGCCACCTCCCACTCCATCACCTCCACAACCCGGAGACCCGTGTAAGCTCCCCGTCTCTTCAGACTGTTTCTTTTTCGTGACTTGTTGTTTCTGGTGCTAACTTTTAGCAGATATTGGACGTTGATATATGTCTGAGAAGGATTCGAATCAGCTCATATGGCATCAACCGAAAACTGAAGACCGATTGTGCCACTCCACTGCGACGCCAACATTCCAACAAGCCTTCCGTAATTATTTTCGGTTCTCCGGACGCCTCTTTTCCGCCCTTCTCTTCCTTTAGCTTTAGGGCATCACCAACGCCTCGGTTTATTCTCCATGTTCGACTATTGGCATGGCAGAACCAGTTCGTGTCGACCAAACTGCACCGACTTTTAGACGTTATCTTCTCCTGTAGGGGGGAACAACAGTTTCATACAAATATCTCTTGTGATTCTTAAGGTTAGAGGAGTTGGCATTCAAAACGTTATGTTTTCCGAAGCTTCTCGTCAAGGGAGAGAGTTGGAATGGTGACTTAGTTACTGCGGCGTTATTAGTAAAGTGATAACTGGATTCTGGCAATGGGGTAACAGGGTAACTTACTGCAACCCGCCGCTCAGACGAAACATTTTTCAATTGGATATCTAGACACCTCATGGTACAATGCAATACAATCACGCTTTCTAAACCTATCGTGCGGAAAATCTATACTCAAACGGGCCCTCATCAAGCTCCATTCCCTTCCAATCTCCCTCTCCCTCTTCTGTAGCGCTCTCCATCCCCTGCGCAACCTCAAAATCTGCCCAAAATCCCTCAGTAACCTCATCCGCATACAGCCTCGTCCAAAGCCACTCCCTACACACCATTTCCACGTCACTCACTCCCACCACGCCCACCGCTCTCGCAGCCCGCGCCAGCAGTCCTGCAAACCACATCTGATTTTCCGTCCCCGCGCCCCCAAGACCCCCCATAACCAACACCCACATCAGTAACTCTGGATACTGGATCTGAAATACACTTAGATCGACACCTTCTAAGGAATCTCGGATTCGGTTTGAGAGGATGCGAGCGAAGGGGAGGCGACGAGCGGATTCCCGCATGAAGATCATGATGTGGATCAAGGAGGCGCGGCCGAAGAGGGAGTAGATGGTGTGAATGGGGGTGAGGGAGTATGGTTCAAGCAGCGGGGATTGAATGATGGAGAGACAGCGACGTTCGAGGGACTCGATTGTATGGGCGCTGGTTTCGAAGTCTAGTGGCCCCTGCGAAGCGTTGGGGCAGAAGCAGATGGTGTCTTTTAGTGCTGTAATGGCACGCAGGGCGAGGTGGGTGGAAATTGTTTCTTCGGTGAGTGAGGGGAGGCCGGTCACTTCGGATAGTTTGGTTTTGTAGCAGTGGGCGATGGGGCTGTAACTGGGTTCGGGTGGTGGTGGTGAGGGAGGCCAGAGCTCCATGAGTGTGAAGCGCGGCGGGGCATCGAGTGCAACGGCCGCTACTGTATCTGTCCTATATGCGATTTCAGTACTGTGTCTTCAAGGGTAGAGACATATTTGCTTGCTCACCACATTGTGACTTTCCTCGTCAATGGGTGAGATTCTAGACCCTGTATACCACCTCTACTCTTGACGAGTGCTTCTAGTCCGTCCATATGAATCTTGATACCATTTAATTCTCCTGATAAGATCTTTAATAAACGAAAAGTCAGCTTTCGCAACTTAGGTGAAGATGATGGCTGAGGAAACAAACCTCTAGATGTGTCATGTTTGCAACAGTGAAGATAGTCGCATCGGAAGCAACTTGCTGCTCAGGATCTCTAAGCCGGTCATTGATCAAGCGTATAGTCTCGCCTTGATGGTATAACATGTCCGGATCTTGCTTAAGCTGTTCTATCCCTCGTAGATTCAGTGCTGAATGGACGAGTAATGCATGAAGTGAGGCGGCATCAGATAGGGCGAAGCTTAAGAGGTCTTCCTTTCGGAAGAGTGGTGCATAACTCGATTTGAAGATAGAGAAGTCTGTGAGGATGTTAGAAAGTTGGACAACCCCGAAAGTTGTGAGAAGAAAGCCACCAGCTTTCGGATGAAATTCATTCAAATGGGCTTGTGAACGCCACAGCCGAAGAGGACCGTTCATGAGGGATAGTACTCCGGCTGAAAGACGGAACTTACAATTATGTATCAGAAACTGTGTTCCTCCAATCTCGCTAATAGGTAATGTTAAGAAAGGATCGATCAGACTATTTTCAAGTCCAGGCCATAAGAGTGCCTGCGGAGTCTTTAGCGGAGTTTTCGGAGTGACAAGACCACTTGACGTCGGAGTTGTCGTTCTGGATCTTTCTGAATCCGTATCCATGCTACTTGCAAAGCAACTATTGGAGCTCTTCAATGCAGCCTGGGCATCTTCTCCTTGCTTCTTTCCCTTCCGTCTCGCTTTTGAGCGGATCAGGTCGCGGAAGCTGCCATGCGGTCTAGAAACACCTGTCTCGGCCACGAATTGCAGGCCCTACAGGCAGTGCGTATTAGCATCTCTTGCTTGAGAGAATTATTTCTTCGAGGCTTGTGGAAATAGTGTAACGCACCAACCGGGAGCCAGCTGCAAATAATCGAAAGTTCTGTTAGCCGACGCTACATGGTAATTTAGAGCCAATTGAGAAAATTGAACACTTACAGTTTGGATCTTCTTCAACCCATTCAAGTTGCGTTACCGGAACGAGCTCTGTTCCGAGCGGCTTTTTCGTAGCGTCACCGGCTTTTCCTCTTCCTCGGTGGGGAGGATGTAACTTGCGCATGAGTCGAAGATAAAACCCCACATTGACTGTATGTTGCACAAGAGCCGTTTGCCTGACAAAACTCCACAAGACCAAATAAGCCAGCAATGACCCAAAACAGGAGCGCCCACGATCCTGTTATCTACTTTGCAGAATTCTCAGCCGGGCAGGTAGTCTGCGTTCTGTTAATAACCTGCATATAGGCCTAGCCAATGATTCGCTGCCAAGAGCGCTTCAAGGTGGTGCCAGGAAAAGAAACCAGCCACGTTCTTACCTAAGCTGCAGCTGAACAATCACAACCTTTGTACCTGGGTATTTAAAGAATGACTTAGCCTTGAAATAGATAACGATCACTGGAATAGAACAGTGTTTGACCGTTGAGAATATAATTCCGCCGAGCCAGTTGCAGTGATAAGGCGGCGGATTCCCGGAATTGGTTCTGGGCCGTGACGTTCAGGGGTATTGCCCAGTAGACGGGAAGGGCGATAATGCTGGACTGGTAATGGTTGCTATACGACAAGCGAGAAAGGGGCCCTGTAGGGCTGAGGAACTTCGTCTCGTGGAGCCGAACGTGATCTGGTCCCGCTCTCCCCCTCTACTCAAATACGAAATCGTACCCCATTGGATAGGACGCCAGAAGCGGAGTAGATCTGAGTATGCTTGGGCCCCACAGCTACAAAAGGAAGGCGGAGAGCAGGAAACACTCACCAGATCCCTGAATCTCAAGCGGCACAGCATCTTCCAGATGCAGGATAAGAGGCTGGGACAAATCTGGACCCCACAACTTTAAACGGAACGCAGAGACTTGGAATATTCCTCAGATCCCTGAAACTCAACCCCCGTTAATACGGCAAAAGATCTCGCGTTGGATAACGGGAAGCCCCACAAGATTTGGCACCACAACTTTAAACAGAGCGCAGAAGGTGGGAAGGCTCCGCCACAATAGCCATATACGAGCCCATGCTCCTCATTTACTTCTCCAAACAAGGCGGGGAATTGATTGCCGCCTCCTATTCGATAACGAGACGCCGAGGTACCTGTGGGCGTTACGGGAAGAAAGGGAGAATGCCTGACCTGACTTCTCCTCAGATCCCTGAAAGGCTGAACTAGTGAGCCGCAACACAATAGAAGATCCCCCATTGGATAACGCATGGCCCTGCCAGATTTGACATCACAACTTGCACCTGCTCGAATGCGCTGATGCCATGCTGGTTCGTTGTCAGCCAAACTTCTGTTCCCGCCTTGTGCATACCAAATATTTGAAGATGTCGAGTGCCTACCCGGCCCCTGCCCCTCAGACTTAGCCACACCAACGTCCTCAACGTATTATGACAAGAAGTGGGAATTCTCATCAAATGTCTTCCGCACACACCCATTGGAGAATGTACGAGCCGTCAGTCCTAACCTCAAATCATCGAAACTTTAAAGATTTTCAAACTTTGAAATGAAGCAGATCTTGGGAATTTTCATCTCTTTCACCACGCAAAAGCCTCACGCGCACTCCCATAGGAGAACATACGAACTCGCAGTCCTGGACCCGAAGTCTTCAAAATGACAGCAGAAAGTGGGAGTCCTCCCCCGCAGCGTGCAAAACTCCCTTGGTCAGCCTCCCGGAATCAGCGAGAAGTTATTCTGTATCTGTGCCAACACTTCACACAAATCCACTCAACATCTCTCTCGTTCTCCATTGCGGCGAAGTCCTTGTCCTTCCTGACCCGCTCAATCTCCATCCAAGAGACCTCAACCAGATACCGACAGCCACCACCAAAATAACAACCACAATCCGAGTCTGAATCATATTGCGGAAAAAGTTTTCCCGCGGACCCTTAATATCGAGCTGGAAAACCTCTCCTAAAGCACGCTCACTCCACCCACCGTCCACCAAGAGGTTTTCCTGAGCGGCCGCCTTTGCGAACTTTGCCACGTTGATTCCTGCCTTAACGAGCAGCTCACGCCACTTGATGAACCGCGCAGATGTCAGCAGAGAGCGGGAGGCGATTGTATGTAGGAACTGACTCGTCATAGTGTGCCGGTGATTATTCGACCGAGGAAGCACCTCGTGGTCATAGCCTGAATCATGTAAGTCCGCCCCTTTTTCGGTCAAGAGCAGAGCAGAGCAGAGGGATAGAGTTCCATTTGGATGCACAGGAACAGGGCGGTATATCTCCCTTCGTCGGGAATCGAGTCGAGCTTATCGCAAAACAGGTCTACGACGTATGCGAGAAAGCCATTGTCGATTTTATTCTCAACTGGTAGGGCGCGGTATGACATGTGATACACTAGAGCTTCGTATCTCTCTATGTCGGGTTTCAGCTGAAGGAGATTCCAGAGCCAGACGAAAGACGACACCATCCTGCCGAAGATGTCAGCCTTTCGAGCGGAGATGGCAAAATCTCAAAGTATGTGCAGCAGTTCTCACTCATCGATATCCATTACACCGAGCCAGAATCGAACAGCGTCGATAGAGGGCTTCTCCCAGAAATGGATTTGCATTCCGAGTGGAGTTCTGATCGAGTGAGCGACGTTAGGACAAGTATACCAAGGAGGAAGCTCTCACCAGTTCCAATTATCCGTGAGGTTTGGATCTGAGCTTGCTTCGAGAAGGCGTCTGCAGAGCCCTATATCAGGTAGCGGCTGTGATCTAGCGCCGTAGTCTCTGTGAGCATTCCTATGTTTGGGCGGGAAGTCCGAACATACCATCAGGCGGGTTCTCTCCTCATCATTCATATCCTAGATCGATGCTTTCCTGTCGCTAATCAGCTCCCACACAGCCTCCTCATTGTCCCGCTGGACATTCTTGAATATCTCGGCATCTTTTGGTACGGGTCTCAATGTTTGAAGAGTGTGCTTCTAGGACGTACTCGTCATGTGGACGCCGTATTTGAGACCTGCTGCGGCTACCCATGGTGCCGATCTGACTGTGACTCAGGATACAATTTCTTCCTTCTCTGCGGTTCTGTTTGTACATCCTCGTAGCGTTTTCCGTTCAATCCTGCATCATCAGGTATGCAGCCGAACCGAACCGAAGATCGTACTTTTTGCCTCCACAGACTTCGCGATTGGTGTCCTGCTCATCCGGTGTGGATCTCGAATCGACACTGACTTCTGTCCGGGCTTATGATAACTCTTGACGTGTCCCCACGAGTCTATTCCCATGGAGAAGCTATTTTCTTGTGACAAATTGTTGAGTACGTCCGGGATCACCTTTCTCATGCTGGTCTCGAGGGCGGACTGAAGCGATATTGATGTTATTGTAGATGTGTGGGCTGTTGGGCTGGTAGGTTGCAAAAGTGGAGAAGCAACATTTTCTGTGACGCTGACTAGCATTTGTCTGTATTCGTAGAGACATTAATGAAGTGAAGAACTTAGCAAAGTTAACAAATATGATCGAATTAAGCGCCACTTATTCCGGTCCGGTGAAGATTGCCAGGCAAGTAGAAGAGTAGTCTTAATCTCTTCAAGAGATTGCTTGAATGCTTTGATGTTGTCTGCAAGCTGGACTGCATTGGTAACGACGGCGAGGACGCTGGCTCCCGAGCTGAGATCATCCATCTTCCTCTTGAATACTTGATATTATTGGATTAGAATTGAAAGCAGAGAGAACTGATTAGCAGAAGAGGTTCAGGGCCCTTGCCCCTGAGCTGAAGATACAAGGGAGCTGATCTTCAGGTTTGTATTGATTATTCACCGGCCGTTGTTACTGTTTGCAGGCATTGCACTTTTGCAACAGGCGAATCTGCGTAGATAGGAAAGAAATAAGGCACTTGCTTTCATATACACGGGATCTGATAGCTGTGACTGAGAAGCACATATCGGAAGCGTGAAACGAGCAAGGGGAGGCAAAGTGACCAGGCAACCACCAGTTTTGAAATTGAGGGCGATTAGTAATAGAAACAAGCCAAAGACTCGGCTGCAGAGAAATGCTCGATCGGTGTAGATCTCAATCTAGCTTGAACCGTAATGGTGGGATGCAGAACACTGGTTTACAGGGAGTAGGGTGGGTGGTCCGATGCGAGTCGTGCCACTTTTGATGCAAGTCTCGATTTTTCGTCTTTACCACCTCGGTATTGCAAGTTACACATGGTACGACAGGAACATAAAAAGACAAATAAAGACTCTCAAGATGTTCGAATTACAACGAAACTCAATTGTTGATAGCGGTTTGAACCTTCTGTCTCAAATAAAATTAGATTCTGACGTCATCAGCTGCAACGCGTCTTCCATTTCTTTATTTTCCTGCCTTGGACCCGGACAGCACACCAGTCAGCCCTACCTCACCAAAACACCACCAGTCCACCGTTCCCGTCGCGCCTGCCATGGAGGACAAGCTCTTGTCCTCCCTTTCTCCGATTCTACTTCCTCTCCCATAGTCCATCTGAAGGACAACTCGCAACCATGCCGCAGGAAAGGCTCTTCCCACACCTCACCGCGACGGGCCCGGCGCCCTCCTCGAGAGAGGTGATGGCTGCTTACCGGACGGCCTTCAACGCCCGCATTGCAGAAGGCTCTCTCCGACCGTTTGTGTTGCCATACCATCTGTACGGCATGTTCCTCCTCGTTATCTACCTCCTCATTCCGCACACGAACAATCGGGTTATCTATGAGGCAAGATGGGTAGTGCTAGCGGTGATTTGTGCCTGGCAGTGGAAGACATTGGAGGATGCGACAAGTGTGAGTATGGCGACGGGCTTTGCAACGGGACTGATAAGTGCTTGGGGTGTGGTGTGGGCTTTCACTTGGCTGGTGTGGATGAATCCACAGCGGGATGCGAAGAGAGTTCAGAGGAGGAAGGTCGCTCCGAAAATTGAACACAATGGAGTGACGAATGGAAGTGCTGGGGGCAATATGGGAAACCGCTCTGGAATTTCGGTTCAGAATGGAGATGCGGAGATCAGAAAGAGGACACAAGCAAACGGACATGCCAAAGAAGAGCAAGGCAATGGGCATATCTCAGCGAAGGAGGCTGCCAACGCCTTAGCTTCGATATCTGCCAGCGGAGGGGAGGCGGGCGTGGAATATTACTGGCAATCCTACCCTTCCACCCTCCGAGAACGCTTCCCCTGGGTCATCGACCTCCTGGTCAACTTCAGAGGGCCAGGCTGGAACTGGGCAATCCCACCTCTCCCCGCTCTCCCTCCACACGTCAAAACACAATTGGGAGAGAATATCGACGCTGCCTCCTGGACAGGAGTCTCCTCCATCGGCCTCCGCAGATTCAACACCCGCCGCGAACTGTTCTTCTCTCGAGTCCCACGCTTCATACTCGGCTACCTCGCTCTCGACATGCTAAAAGTCGTCATGAAAACCGACCCCTACTATACCTTCGGCCCCAACGCCTACGCCTTGCCTCCACACCTCCAAGGCCTCTCACCCATGGCCCTCCGCTTCCTACGCCAACTCATATCCTCCATCCCAATCATCATCTCCCTCGAAATGGTCTTTTACATCGCCCCTCTCTTAATTTCGCTCCTTTTCGGCCCCCGCGTCTTCGGTCTCCGTGCTGAATCCTGGTACTACCCCTCAACATGGGGCTCTTTCTCCAATATCTTGACCAAAGGTCTCAATGGGCTGTGGGGGAGTTGGTGGCACCAGACCTTTCGCTTTGCCTTTTCTGCGCCAACAAATTACTTCATCCGAGAGGGATACTTCTCCCCTAAATCCACAACGGCAAAGATCTCAGCTATCTTCTTTGCGTTCGGGATCTCGGGGTTTCTGCACTCTGGTGGATCTATTTCCCAGCTCCCGGAAACACACCCTACACACGCCACTATATTTTTCATACTGCAAGCACTTGGGATCCTTATTCAAAGCACTCTCTGCTCCATCTTCCATCATCATATCAAGAGGTTGCCAAAGTCCGTAAGGAAGGCTGGGAATTTACTATTCACCATAGGCTGGCTCTTCGAGACGGGGTACTGGTTAACAGACGACTTTGCTCGCGGTGGGATCTGGCTTTATGAGCCGATTCCGATCAGTATCTTGAGAGGATTAGGATATGGTGATGAAGGGGACAGCTGGTGGTGCTGGCAGCATATTGGAGTTGGGTTATATAAGGGACGACGATGGTGGGAGAGTGGGATTGCTCTTTGAACCGATTGCATGTTGGTTATGACGATAGTGATGAGGAGTTTAGGAGCTATTAGATGTCTGCATAGAATTGCATAGTACTGCTTGTTCATAACGTGGCGTTGCAGTTTGGCGTCGATTATGATACCACCCTCTTGCCTGAACGGTGCGGTCAAGGGCGCTCTCCCGTATTTGCTCATAACCCACCATCTCCTACCTCTTCTCCTCGCTACAGCCAAAGTCTCCGCCTCTGGCACTGCGAATTGGTACGCACAATCAAAATGGGGCAACATCCTGCATGCAAAGACATTGGATCGACTCTACGGGTCACAATCTGATTTTACGAAGGCAGGAAATGAGGCTATCTGGACTGCGAACGTGCAGCCTGGGGATGTAAGATACGGACGCAGCTTCATGGGAGAGCCACGGGGGGATAAGTGAAGGTGGAGGAGGGGTCTACGGGCAGGGTGAAAGTCATACGAGAAGTTTATGCAGGGCCTTGTTCGAAATTAGGAGTCGATGGCTCTAGAAGACTTGATATCAGAGAGTTAGCACGAAGTGACATGCTTCAAACACCATCGGCCTCAAGCACAAACTTCCTCCAATATCAAGTACAATTAAACACAAGACTTAGACAGCATATACCAAAGCCTTAAATAATTGCAAATGCTGATTCACTTATTCCTATCAGAATATATATAATGCTATCCAGAGCATTCCTGGCTATTAAGATGAAATTTTTTTTCGTCCCAATACTAAATTAATATAATATTCATCCCACGATCTAATGAAAATGCTCTTCATGCGTATACCTATCTCACTTTAGTCCCGCAATCCCCCCAATTCATTTAGAGCAGAAACCTAACTTCCACGATTTCACTCTCAACTACCAAGCACAAATCCTAATGTAACAAATACTTCAGGACATTAAAGAGACGTCTTAGAAAGATTTCCAGAGTGAAGAATGAGTCTAGAGACCAAGATCTAACAGATGAAAATCTAAGAGTGATTCAGCATCTAAGGTAAATCCCAGACGAACCCTAATGTACGAAAACAATATGGGACATTTGAGTCCATTGTGCATTAAAAGGTTTCCTAGTCAAAGAGGCGTATTTGCCGCAACAGTACAGCCTGGACAGAGTCAAGCTACTCGAGAGGTTCTATAGTACTTTATTCGGTACGACTAAGCGCTTTTTCTCTATATGCACCTTGACTATGCCGCCCAACTAGCTCCGCTTTCGACCCGGAAGGTTCTCTATTTACGGCGTAACTGTAACCCATAAAGTCATGTCACATCACCCCCAATTCATCAAAACCTGCTTCTTCCCTTTATTCCCCTTCTTCTTGCCCTTCCCTGCCTCCTCCTCCACTTGCTCACCCCCCTCGACAGACGGTGTGCTAGCCCCACCGTTCCCCCATGCACTAGCCACGCTTGCTCCTCCTCCACCAAGACCATCACGTCTCACCATGCCCCTCCCGTACCCGAAGATCGTGCTTTGCGGTTTAGCAGCTGGCGGCAGCGCCGGGAACTCCGCTCCCCCTCCGCCTGCTCCCCGTCCTCTAACCGGTCCCGTACTCGCTGGTCTACTAGTTGGCGGGGTAGGTCTCGCACTCCCCGGATTGCTGTTATTTGCCGAAGAAGCCTGCGGAACCCAAGGAATGGTGGATACTTTCGTTGAACTGGTGTTTTGCGGACGGGAAGATGTGGGCGGTGGGAGGGTTGGGAAGGGATTGTTGTAGCTATTGTTTATTAGGGAACTCGACAATGACGAGGAAGATATGGGTGGAGATGCGGTGCCCCATGAGCGGGTTTGCGAGACGGCGGAGCGGGATGATTGTGCAGTGCTGGATTTCAGCTTCAGGACTCGTGTTGACTTTGTGTTCGTGTTTGTATTTGCTGAGGCGGAAGGGGTGGAAGAGGTTACGGCCCAGTTTAACGGAATCGAGGAAGATGAGGAATCGCTTGCTGCTGGTAGGGAGGGATAATCTTCGTTGATTGCGCGCCAGTTGTTCCATGCTGTTCGTAAGGTATCTGCTTTCTTTGCATCATCATATAGGTCTGCTACCTCTCTTATCAACGTACCCAGTGCACTGGACGTGGTGTCAGTGAATAGGGCGAAGAAAGAGTCTATTAGCAGCGGCGCGGAGATCGCATTGTTCTTATAAGACGAAATGGAGTCCCGGAATCGAGTTATTTTCATGGGGTCATTTTGTAGCAGCAGGCTCGCGCGCTCAATTACGTCTCTGTGTCTGAGATGGCGGGCTTGCTCTTGTGGTGTGAGGTCGATTTGGGAGAGGTCGAGGCTGTTGACTGCTTGTGTTGCTGCTTCAACGCTTGCTGAAGGGCGGGGGACGGACATCGCAGCCGGAGCTGGTGGTCGAGCTGCTGCTGGGGCAGAAGCTGGCGTCAACTGGCCTCCAAAGGTCCGAGTCGAAACCGACTGAGCGCTGTGAATAGCCATCTGCCTCTGGAAAGCCTGCTCATCTCTCCTTAAAGGCTGAGCCGAGGAAGCAGGAATAGGATCCGTATTTGGATCTCGTCCTCTGCCTCGTCCTCTCCCTTCTCTCTGTTCCCTCTGACTGCCCCCTCCTCTCCGCTCCTGAACATACGGAGCCCGATAATCAAAGCTCGAGATATCGACGACCCTTGCATCTCTCCGGACATCCTTGCTCAACGTGTTGCCATGTTCCTGCAGCTGATGTGCCTTCAGATCAAGTTCCGAATCAAACGCAACCAGCTTCTTCTCCAAACATTCTCGCTCCTCGCACACGAAGTGGTCTTTCTTTAGATGCGCGTACAGCGCCTCGTAATTGAGGTAATACTGCGGCTGCCCCCCATGCAACCGATCACAGATAAAACACCGCTCGTGTTTCTCCCTACAATGAACATACAACTCGTCCTCCCCATAGAACCTCAAACCACAGAATGAACATAATGGATGTCCTTTAAATCCCGTTTGATCGACTGCTCCCGGATTGTCGTCTCCTTTCCGCATATGCTTCTGCAATTCCTGATCCGTAAACAGGTCGTGCTCGTGTGTAAACACTTTCTTATGTCTCGAGCACAAATCACAGATCTTCTTGTGGTGCACTGATCTAACATGACGATGCAGATCCGGCCAGCCCAAACAAGCAACATCGCAGTCGTCATCGGGACAATTGTATCTCAGCAATAAAATCGTATCCTCTCTAATATCATTACTCTCATACCGAATCCCGATGTTCTCGTCCGTGCTCGCGATATCCCTATCCGTGAAATCCTCGTACCGTTTCGTAGGATTGTTGGAGAAGATAACGTATGGTGCTGGTGTCTGTATTCCAAATTAACACCTCACTTCTCTGCAGAAAGGGAAGGGGGATATACCCGACAATGAGCACAATTCTTATCCTTGTACAGCGCTCTCATCCGCAGGCAGCAAATATGGCACGTCCGATGGTTACACGGCGCAATACTCTCATGCACAATCGGACTCGCGCAAATCCAGCAGACTTCCGCCTCGACCTCGCCTTCCTTGGGCTTCTTCCCTCCGCCTTCGGCCTTCTTCTCGGTACCCGCTTCCCTTCCAGCAGCAGGTCTCTGGGATGCGAATCTGGCGCCCAAATCCCCCGCACTCATCGCAGCAGTATTCGCCCCACCTCGGCCTCCCCTTCCACCTCTTCCCCTGCGCACCTCGGTGGTAGAAACGCCCCGTTGACTTATATGCCCATCGCCTCGCCCTCGCCCTCTGCCTCTTCCTCTCTGTGCTTGTCCCTGGCCCTGGCCCTGGCCTCTCTGCGATCTCTCTTCTCCCACTATTCCTCCCGTCGCCTCTGCACCTTGATTGCTCGCCATTACTTCTCCCTTTTGTCTTCTTTCCCTTGGAATCTTGTTTGTATTGCAGTACTTAGCGCCCCGTGAGTGTTAAGTCAAAATCCGCGGTCCAGGAGCTCTGTAGCGGTGATTGTTTTGTGGAAAGTGGAATGAGCACGATGGCGGGCCGGCAATTTCAGTTGGGTGGTTGCAAATGAAATGCGGTGCGGAAGCGAGATCGACCCCGCTGCAAGGCTGACCAATTCTTCGGACCAGGGACTGAACTGAGGTGTGGCGGCTCAGCCTTCTGACTCTTCGCCGCTGAGGAGTCACGGCTGCATGATTCCAGGCATTCTCTCTTTATCTCGTCTCACTCTAGTAGGATTTTCTGTAAATTATATTTATATATTATATGTTTTAGGGGCTGTGATGTGATTGGCCTTGCTTCAGCCTGTGCTTAGTGTGAGTCAAGAATATAAGGGACAAGGGCAGGTAGGAAGAGACACAGGGAAGGAAGGAAGGGATTCAGAAGCAACGATCTCAGATGCGCCACTAGATTACAAACAGCTGAGAGAAAGAAAACTCGTTGCTTCATCCCATCCCGCCCATCCCGCCCATCCATGCCCCTCTGATAGAAAGCACCGCAATTCCATGCCAGAAGCAAAGTAAGCCAACCCCCATTTCACAACGCCTCTCCCCATTACAATCCACAATTATTTCAGAAGCACTTTTATATTCACCCCTCGTTCCCTGTTCCCCATCAACCATGCACCCATCTTACACCATGACCGTGATCTCAATTCTCAGATCCCCAAAATCGAAGCAAAGAAAAGAAAGCAAGAGAGGCAAAGCAAGGTGCTGGAAAGCCATTACTCTTCCTCAACATCATAAAGCTGCTTCCCCAAGATCTTGTTCATGGTGAACATATGCACCTTGTCCTGCTTAAACACCAATTGCATCTTCTCGTCGCACCGGATCTGGCGTTTGTCGTTCGGGTCTTGCAGGTCGCGCGCTTTGATGTACTCCCATATCTTCTTGACGGTTTGGGGGCGCGAGAGCTACATCCATAAGCTTTACTTCACAAAAACTTAATAGAATACAAATTGAGATTACTCACAGTCGGTTCCCCGACCAAATCCGCCAACGGCGCACTCAAATGATAAAGCTTGTGGAACCCTCCCTTCTTAACCTTCTCCTTCACCTCCCCATCACTCCCCACCTCAATATCCGAATCATCCTCGGCCTTAACCTTCTTCTCGCTCTTCTTCCGCGGCTTCTTTGGCGTTTTCTTAACCACTTTCTTATTCCCAGCCCCTCTCGTAGATCTACTAACCCTACTATTCTCTTGCGCTTGCAGCATCGCCGCTAACTTGGCGTCCGAGTCTTGCTTCGAGATTTGCTTCCGCTTCTTTTTTGGGGGTGCGATATTGTCTGAGTCGGATTCTGGCTCGGACTTGGCGACTGAGGCGGAGGCGGAGGCGGAGGGTGTGGAGATTGCCCGGAAGGAGGGAGGTGTGGATTCGTTTTTTACGCGGGCGTGGGAGGGGAGCTCTGCTTTGACATGACCATTCGTAGCTAGGGGTGCGGATTCGATGGTAGGAAGGGGGGCATCTTCTGCTTCCGCTGCTGCATTATTGGCATGATCGAAGCGTTCGAGGATGAGTTTTTGGACCGCGTCCTGGGTTAATGTTAGCTGGTTGAGGGAAGAAGTGGGGGAGGAAAGCCGGGCCTTCTTGTCGGAGATGTCATGTTGCAACTCTTGCTGGAGGCTCTTCCTGATTTGCTTGGAGGAGATGGTTTGCAGGTCGGAGGAGGCGAGGATACCGTCGATGATGGCAGAGTACTGCGCATGTTCTGCTGGGAGGACTGGCGTTCGTTAGCTACTGCTCTTCTTGCTTGCCGTTCTCTGCGGGTACTCTGTAGAGAGGTAATAGCAAAGGATAACTTACGAGACATCTTGCGCTCAGGCAACTTCGTGGTAAACAGGATCGTATTCAGCTACCCTCTGCAACGTATCTTCCAGAAGAGCAACAACTGCGCAAAGCCTTCTATTGGCGAAAGTTGTTCCTCTCTACCTAGGTAACTCCTCTGCGAATGCGAAGCTGAGAAGGTACTGGGCTTCCCAGCTCTGGTTGCGCCAGTCCCCTCTTAAGAGCAGCGCTCGTAAAGAACAAGAACAGTTCCTCTTTCGCGCAAAGCACTAGCAAATCGTTCCTTTCCTACTCTCTTTCCGCTGAGTAGGCGTGTCCGCTGCCCTTTGGCTATGTATTGAGTGTTGTTGAAGAGGGGTCCACTTCTGCCTTCGCCTTATCAAGCAGAACAAAGCAAAGCAGGACGGCAAGTCGCAGCGTCGTCCGCCAAATTCAATTGCCAAGGTGGACGGCAAATTTGTCTCCCTCTGATTGCCCCCAAGGCCTCAATTGACCGACTGAATGCTGCTGGTAGCCGCCGGCTCTTTGTCTCTTGCGTCAGATGCAACCCACTCTAGCACCGCACCCGCTCCAAAGCTGGCTATGGCTTTTCTGGTCGCAGGGAGGAATCGCTAGCGCATCAAGCCGTAGAAGTTTCGGGGGCAAGGCAGAAGATTGAGAAACGAGTGGTACGTGGACAGCTGTAATTATGGAGTGATACTGGTTGCAGCCGGGAGTAGTTCATGGTAAGTTCGCTCCGCTCCGTCGGCGTTCCGTTAGAAGTAAGCCACTGTGGCTGAATACTGCCGCTTCCAGCCACTTTTATCCCGGCTAGCGCGGCTTTAAATCTAGACCCAGATCCTGGGACAATAATGGTGAATGGATGAAGATGCAGGGAGCCGTTCTTTTGTTTTTGATATTCAGAATTTGGAGTCCACACATTTTACAGAACAGGGTGTAAAGTTTAGTAACGCATGAATTGCAAACGCTTGCTGTATCCTGTATAAGGATTAGTATACAAGAATCGCTATCCTTTTACACTCCAATCCCATTTAAACCCGAATCCTATTTTGAACCCCGCATCTTGGACCTTGTTGCTCAAAGGCCAGCCGGCAAATAGTACTCTCTAAACCGATCCGTCTCATCCCACTGCACATCATAAACCACGCCCCAGCAAATAATCAACAGATTCGGGAACCTCCTCGTCCAGAAGCCAAGATACCCATCCGGCAACGGCCCAACATCCTGTTTCAATTTATCACTCATATCCTCGTAGTGGTTCTTCTTGTTTCTCAATGCTCGCAGAAGATCCAAGAGGCGAGTTCCAGTGTATTTCCGTTGCTTGCCTAAGCTTTCAACGAATTCTTTACCCAAGGGCTTGAGGAAGTCGGAGCCACAGACTAAGGGGGCGTAGGATTCGAGCTCGGTCAGAGCAGCGGTGGGTGGATCACGCTTCTCTTTCTCGAAGTGATCTGAGACGTCACAGAGGAAATTCAATCGCTTCTTCGGTGACCAGAAGAAGGGATGTGCCATGACTTGGTGAGCTTGTGGTCTTTGCTTCGGATCTCTTGCCAACATGGAACTAATAAGGTCCTTTGCTTCGTAGGCATAGTCGCCGAGAACCTCGAGAGGTGTCAGGTCGTATGAGCCCTTGCGGATGTTGACCTCACGCATGAAGCGGTCGCCACAGTCGAACGGATGGGCACCCTTGGTGAGGACGTAGAAAAAGACGAGACCAAGGGAGAAGATATCGATTGCCCGAGTTGCCCGTCGGTTGGGAAGAAGTTCTGCATCGATAACCAGAGACCCTGAGCCTCCATCAGTGCTAGCATCGACAACTGCTTGCTGTCCGTCTTTGGCATCATCGTCTAGGAGGAGTTCGGGTGCCCGCCAGCCAGAAGTACCAGCTGCATGAGCAGTAGTAGCTCGGAAAGACGATTGTTCTCCTTCCAACTTCTTACACAGACCAAAATCTGATACAAGCAGGCGAGGCTTGCCGTCTTTGCCCATGGCAACCAAAATATTTTGAGGCTTCAAATCCCGATGCACGATTCGAAGACCGTGCAGATGTGAAAGACCATTGGTGATCTGGTAGAGCACATTGGGTAAGTCTTTCTCTCCCGCTTGGGCGAGTTCTCGATATTTGATAGGCTTGTCAATGACATCGGCGAGTGAGGCAGGGCACAACTCCAAAGCAATGTAGAGGAATCCAGCGGCGGCTTGTTGAGCAAAGTATCGGATGACTATGAGATGATTAGTGTAACTCAAGTAGGAACAGATTAGAGAGCATACCATTAGGATGATCATCACTCTCTCTCAGCAGCTTCGTCTCTTGGGAAGCAATATCGAAGAACTGAATAAGCATTCTCTTGACGGCAACCTCCCGGCCATCAAATTTACCTTCGAAAACCATGGTACCATTACTCCCAGTACCAATGAGCTTGTCGGTATCGACTTCGAGAGAAGCAATTCTAATAATTGGTCCCGACACCTCCTGAGGATCGTTAGGAATCGTGATAATGTCGGGTTCTAGCTTCGTCTGTGGACCCATGTTTTGAGCATCTTTGACTGCATCATCAATGGTTGGTTGTGGCTTCGGAGCGTTGCCATCCTGAGAACCACCATCTGTAGATCCTGCTCTTCCCTTCTTGTGCTTGACACCTCCACGACGACCTCTGTGTGCTTTTTTCTTCTTCTCTCCTTCCGGTGGGGGCGATTCCTCTTCACGGGTATCGGTCTTGGCCTTTGAAGGGGCCAGACCCAGTGTGTCAGACTCCAGGACCGGGCCTGCTTGGGCCTTCTCAGCTTTCACCGATTCTTCATCAGACCCATCAACACCTGCGGTTTTGGCCTCATCCTTTTCTGCAACGGCGGAAACCTCATCTGCTTCCGGAAGACTCTTCGGTTCGGCCAGAGTAGAATACAACTTCATGTATTTTTCGCCCGTACGATGCATCCAACCCTTGATTTGTTTCTGGTAAGCGAATATGATCGCGACGAGCATGACAATGAAGACTGGATTCTGGGTACTATCTCGACCATATTTCGCAGCTATACTCGGCCATTTTCGCATTCTCTGAAATAGATCCTGCTCTTCAATCAGTGAAGGGCTTTGATCCATAATAGGATCAACAGTCTGGTTATCATTTGCTGGAGCAGAGATAGACAAGAACGGTTCCGATCGTCCATTATCGATTGAGTGCAGGCCAACAAGAGCCTCGTGGAGCTGCTGGCCATTCATCAGATCCCACTGAGGGCGGTGTTGCAACCATCCATGTTGATTGCATTGTGCTGGTCGAATATGCCCTTGAACCGCCAAAGGGTATGACTTGCCCGACAGAGCATACCAGCTACCATTTTCGGTATGATTGAGGAAGATCCTGCCAGCTCGGTGGCTTGCTGTTATCTCGTCTTCGTCGCTTGGTGGACTTGGTTGCGGAAGGACTACCAGTTCCGAATCTCTGCCCCCGTTCCACGGTTTGGCTACATCAAATACCCTGACCACTGGTGATGTGAACTTGTGCCTGAAGAGTGGGTGTGGTTCATCGGCGCGATTTCTATTATGATCGAATCCAATGACACCGCCATCATGACTTGTGTAAATGTACTTTTTATCGAGTGTTTCACGATATTGGCGTTGAAGGTCGGTGTCGTGATTGTTGGGAGTCCATTCTGAAAAAGTCAAGGTTGCAATGTGATGTCCATCGATTCCCGAAATCCTGACCCAATATTCTGTTCGACCAATAGTCAAGGTGGAAGTTTTAGGACATTCCTCCTTGCTGTCAACAGGGCCACTCGAAGCTACACATTTTTCGTCGTTGAGAAATGCACCTTCCTTACCAAAGAAGTTGAGGATTTTCCCGCTGTTGGCATCCACGGTGATGATATTCGTTTCCTTACCTCCGACATATGAAATTGGTGGGTCCTGGGACATATATGCGGATTCCTCGACCAACCTCTTCATGGTAAGGCCTGTGTTGACCAATCCCGGATTGGATCCGCCAGGCTTGTAAATGTAGATACTCCCATCTCGACTGGGTTCCACTATCCATAGGTAATCGTCAATTGATGTTGGGTCGTAGTCGTCGTCGACTGGTGTTGGATTGTTCCGGGTCTGGTTTGTCTCCACCATCGGCTTATGGTACTCCAATGACCACTTCTCCTTTCCAGTCTTCCGATCCCTGGCATGTAGTTTTCCATCGACGGTCGCCAGAAGCACAAAGTCTTCTACTTCCCAGTCCTCAAGACTCCGCGCAATGTGCGGCGAGGTTAGCCCGGACACCCCGGGCTGTCTTGAGGAAGGTGCTGCAACGGCAGAGGCTGCCGGAGCTAAAGTTGCGATGGCGCTCGCATCGTTCTTTGGGGGTAGGTTGGTGACGCTGAGGGTATTCTTTCGTCGGTTGTGTGTGAGGGGTGTTTCGACTTGATGGGGGACCTTAGTCGCCTCGAGAGTGTGCGAGGCTTCGAGGTCGATGCCCTCGAGGGGAGATTCGCGCTGTCGCTGCGGGACCGCCGGTCGTTGCTGCTGCTGAGCTTCGACGAGCCAAGGGAGGAGGAAAATGGCGGCTGCGAACAGGAGGAAGTTATTCATGACGGGAGCCTCTCGCGGTGGCCGCCGTCGCGGCATGTTGGAGCTTCAACGTTGCTGGATTTTGGGGGAGACAGAACGAGTCTGTCCAAAGGAACGTTGACCACTGCCGACGTAGTGCCGCAGAAAGCGACGACGCGGGGTGGAATTGATGCTGTTGATGTAGTGATCGTCCGAACGATGAAGTGAGTGAGTCTCCTGGCGGGGGAGAAGATTCTGATATAGGATGATGTTGGAGTGATGTTTCAGGACTGCTTGTCGTGGTCGCGCATTGAAAGGGAGGCCCGCAAGCGAGGGCTAGTTCGACGGGGCGGGTAAGCTAACGTGGCGTGGCGGGTTGAGGGTGGGCCCTGAAGGTTGAAGATGGGTCAACTGCCAAGTGACCAAGTCAAGTCTGCGGGTTTTCCCACCCCAGAATTCTTTTTTTGGCTGAGTGGAGGATCTGCTTCCTCGAATGAGATTTTCACAATTGCACCAGAATTGCGGCTGCGGTGCGGTCACCAGACACGCCCAACATATCTGGCGAGCTTCGGGTTTGCGGCCGGGAGACGATTCACATCCATCCCTTTCTGCTGCACGCACTCGGCTTCAGCCATGAGCCATCAACACCTCAGCTTACAGATATGGATCACTATTCGCTCCATAGGTACTAGCGTACTGGCTGGTTTAGATGTGCTGCGACTGATGAGTGTTGCTTCTGGACTCGCATGTCACCGCCGTCAGGCTGCAGATTAGCAAGGGGCTATGCTCTGCCTTTTGCTTGGGAACCTCTAGCCGAAACATCCCAAGAATGCAGAAATCCTTATCAAGCAGACGGTCGTGGTCAAGGTCGAGGTTACGAGGTGCCTTCGGATTGTGGCAATGCCTTTTATTGAAACTCAAGTTCCGAGATTGTTTGGGCACAGTAGAGGATGGGAGGTCGGCTTATTGTGACATGCCGATTCGACATCTCGTAAGAACTCTGTGCACCTGTGCACCTCGGTTGCCCCCACAGAGATTGATGATTTTGATGCCGGCATCCATGTGCCGATTTGAACAAGCCCACCGCCTTCCAAGCGTTCACAAAAGCAAAATGATCTGCCTCCAATCAGCTGTATTCTCACATGTCCGCAGATCATGAGCTCCTCCGATCCAATCTCTGTATTACCTTTCCAAAAGTTACACAAACGACCATCGAAAAGATTTTTGACTCGACGGTCTCGATTCATTCCATTCATTATTGAGTCTGCAATATGATCTATGGTATGTTACAAGGCCCAACTTTTCCCTTTATCATAATACAGAGAACTCCGTACCCCCGCTTGTTCGACGTTCACCTCTCACGCTTTCGTGGTGCGCTGCGAATGATATTGTCCACTCTCAGGAGAAGCTATTATAGATCAGCAGATGAAGAGACGATCTGGTTGGGGTGGAACTTACTTCTGCAGCCTCCGAAGCAGACGAGACGACCGCCTTCTTGAGCTTGTAGCTCTCGATGACCCCTAGCTCTCGCATATCCGCAATGCCGCCGCCTGGGGTGAGAAGATCCAAGCCGTAGGTCGTCATACCGTCGTAGATGGCTGTTCGGAGCTTAGCAACAAGGTCACTGGAGTCGTAGCCCGCGTTGTCCGCGAGGATGGTTGGCAGTTGGCGAAGAGCAATAGCGAAAGCCCCGACGGCTATTTGCTTCTTTCCGTCGACCTTCAGGGCAGCTCCTTCAACAGCCTTGGCCATCAGCATCTCAGCACAACCTCCTCCAAGAGTCGTTCTTGGCTCCTTGACAGTCTGTGACAGGACTGCAAGAGCATCGTGGAGAGATCTTTCGGCCTCGTCGAGAAGCTGTTCTGTCGCTCCTCGGAGAACAATAGTACACGCCTGACCAGCTGCCACCCCAGAGAACTTGATCAGGGTATCCTCGCCGATGATAACCTCTTCAATAAGATCACAATGTCCGAGCTTCACTTGCTCTGGGTGGTCGAATGTAGATGTGATCTCGCCTCCGGTCACCAACGCCAGTCGTTCAATACCATCGAAATCCGCATGCTCGATAGACATGATGCCTGCATCTGCGAAAAGTTGTTCGGGCCAGTTGTAGATCAGTTGTCGGTTGATGAAGCAGTTTATGCCATGTGCCTTGATCTTGTCCACCTTCGCCTTCATTTTGTCCTTCTCTGCCTTCTCCAGCTCTGCGAGCTTCCCAGTAGATCCGACCTTGACCCGAGCACCAAAGATCTTGATCTTGTCTGTGTCCATAGCCGTATTCGCAACCAAGATCTTGGCCTTCTCTAGCCGCTTCGGCTGGTTGACGCCGATTTTCTTGTCCAGAATGAATCCTTCGTCGAGATATGAATCATTGAGCTTTCCACCGGCTTTCTTGATAATCTGGATGTGACTGAGATCCGAAGAACCCTTCATCCTCAACACAGCATCCGCCGCTAGCTCCGCAAAGTGATTCCGATCCTGTGACAATACCTTCGAGCTCAGAGTAGTCCTCGCAATAGCCAAAAGATCCTTCTTGAAGGCTTCCGCATCCTTGCTGTGGTCCACCGCTGATTTCTCGAGAGCCGCCAGGGCGGCGTGACTTGCTATTCTGTAGCCTTCGATGATCGTCTGAGGGTGGATCTTCTTATCGACCAACTTCTCTGCCTCTCGTAACAGCTCTGCAGCTAATACTGTGACTGATGTTGTTCCATCTCCAACCTCATCGTCCTGGACTTTTGAGATGTTGACAAGAACTTTGGCGGCGGCGTTGTCGAGTGCTATTGACTTGAGGATCGTGGCGCCATCGTTCGTAACCATAATCTCTCCAGTCGACGCACTCTGCAGGATCTTGTCCATGCCCTTTGGTCCAAGTGTCGATTTCACTGTACTTTTTTAGCTGTTGGGCCTCAAAGAGCTCCAAAAATCATACCTAGGTCTCCCTACACCAGACTTCGAGTTAGCATTGTCTTTGAAGAATGGATTTGAATTACGTGCCACAGCGATTGCTCCCACAAACGCGCTAAGACGAGCGTTCTCTCCCTTCTCCTCAGTCGTTCCATCATCAAAAATCTGCGTGGGGTTGAAGGAAGCCATGGTGTTGTGTTTGGGGAACTCAAAATCGCGTCTCCAGATTATTTTCTCGCGACTGCCTCACGGCCTAAAAATCTCGCTAAAAGCGGCCGACCGAAAAACGGCAGTGGCTTTCAATGTACCTCAATATTTTGGAAAATTTTCTAGATTGAAAGAAACGAATCTAATATGCTAAAATTACACTCTAAAGTTTTAAGTATTTGAAGGCATGGAGACTTTAAACATACTATAAGTTTAGGAACATGTATAGGATAAAGATTCGAAATGTCTGACTTTGGCTTGGAACTTTGAAAATTAGTGCCGCTTTTGCAACCCACCATCCATCGCTAAAGACGAACCACAACCACGAAAAAAGGTCCTGGACGAATTCTGTCATCGAACTCCTCCCTTTGACTCAACACGACCTTCTCTGACTCACAACTGTCAACTACTTGGTCAGGGCAATACTGCTCTTTCTCCAGGCCTTCTTTTCGTCTCGAGATTCGATCGTAAACGCACGCGCACAATCTTCGAAATCGCACACAAACGAGGCAAGTGGGGTAAAATTCACACAATCGAAACCACGACACCACAATAATATTGAGAGAAAAAAGCTACGCGCACAATACAGAGGGAGCGAATCGATCGCGTAACCCGCAATCATGGCGCCGAGTTTTGACCATCTGCCAGACCCTGAGGACGAGGACTACGATGAGGATGAGGAGCTCGACTTTTCCGACCTGCGAGAACGATTCGAGGTCCAACTTGAGCAAGGCTTGGATGCATTTGTGGTTATCGATGGACTGCCATCAGTCACTGAGGAGACGAAGCCGAAGTTGATCAAGTTCTTGAAGCGGAAGCTGGATCCTGTGGGCAAGGTTAAGGAGGACTCGATATTCATGCCACTTGGACCAGATGGTACATCAGAGAAGTAGGCAGCACAATCCATACCCCCAGATTTATATGCTGACCGGTTTAGGTTTGCGTTCGTCGAGTTCTCATCCGCTGCCGAGGCACTCGCTGCGTGCAAACAACTTGATATGGTCCCCCTCGACAAGAGGCACACCTTGAGAGTCAACAAGATGACAGACATTGAGCGATTTGGCCGAGAAGGACGCATTGATGAGAATTACACAGCTCCAGCAATCCCAGCATTTGAGGAGAAGGAGCACTTGAGGTCATGGTTGGCGGATCCCAGTGGCCGTGGCCGAGATCAATTTGTGATGTACAAAGACGACCGAGTTCAGATCTTCTGGAATAATGAAAAAGACGCGCCTGAGCCCATTGTTGATCGCCAACACTGGACGGAAACATTTGTTCAATGGTCTCCCCAAGGCACATATCTGACATCTATGCATGCGCAAGGTGTTCAACTCTGGGGTGGACCATCATGGACCAGACAAAAGCGTTTTGCACATCCGTTCGTCAACTTGGTTGATTTCTCACCCGGAGAGAAATATCTTACTACCTGGTCCCACCGCCCTATTGTTATTCCCGAGGAGGGTCATCCCATGTTATCGGTTGACGATGATGGCAAGAACTACGTTATCTGGGATATTGAGACGGGCAAGCCACTTCGATCCTTCGCAAATCTCGACCTTCCAAGCAATACCACCGACGAAGCAGGTCAACCTGTAAAGAGAAAGATTGTTTGGCCAGCATTCAAGTGGTCAGCAGATGATAAGTATGTTGCACGTTTGACACAAGGCGCATCGATTTCCGTCTACGAGTTGCCTCGAATGGGACTTCTGGACAAGACATCAATCAAGATTGAAGGCGTCATGGATTTTGACTGGGCGCCTGCAACACCACACCGAGAAGGCATCAAGACGTACGAGCAATTATTCTGTTATTGGACTCCTGAAATTGGCAGCAATCCTGCGAAGGTTGGTTTGATGAGCGTTCCATCAAAGGAAGTCGTAAGAACCTTGAACCTTTTCAGTGTTACCGATGCAAAGCTTCACTGGCAATCCAATGCCGATTACCTGTGCGTCAAGGTTGACCGACACTCGAAATCAAAGAAATCTTTGGCTACGAGTCTGGAAATCTTCCGTGTACGAGAGAAGGGAGTTCCTGTTGAAGTTGTCGATTCCATCAAGGACACCGTCATCAACTTTGCTTGGGAGCCAAAGGGAGACAGATTCGTCATCATCACTACCGCTGAAGTCGTTGCACCTACCGCCGTTCCTCCAAAGACCTCGGTCTCATTCTACTGCCCGGAGAAAGTCAAGGGAGCAGGTGTGGGCAACTTCAAGCACATCCGAACCTACGACAAGAAGAACAGCAACGCCATCTACTGGTCACCAAAGGGCCGCTTCGTCATCGTTGCTACCGTGCACTCGCAACAAAGCTTCGACATGGAGTTCTTTGACATGGATTTCGAAGGCGAGAAACCAGAGAGTGACAAGGACCTCACCGCCAACCTGCAGCTCATGAACACTGCTGATCACTATGGCGTAACCGATATCGACTGGGACCCCACCGGCCGATTTGTCGCAACAAGCGCGAGCATCTGGAAACACGCTGTAAGCCCCCCTTTCCCCCAATCCTCAATCCCCAGTCCCCAATCATCGCCCGATACTAATTCACCCAACAGATGGAGAACGGCTACCACCTCTACGACTTCAAAGGCGAGCAGCTGCGCGAAGAGCCCGTCGAGAAATTCAAGCAGTGGCTTTGGCGCCCGCGCCCCCCACCCCTCCTCACCAAAGAAGAACAAAAGCAAATCCGCAAGAATCTCCGCGAGTACAGCAAAGTCTTCGACCAAGAAGACGCCGACCGCGGCGCGTCCGCTGATCTGGCAGTCGTTGAGCACAGACGGCGATTGTTAGACGAGTGGTTGGCGTGGCGTGCGCAGATCGAGGAGGAGGTCGCCACTGAGAGGGAGGCGCGAGGCTTGCCGCTGGATCCGATCGAGGGGTTGGTAAAGAAGACTGACGAGGAAGAGGATCAGGTTATTGAGGAGATTGTTGAGGAGATCGTTGAGGAGACTGAGGAGATTATTGGTTGAAGCCTTTGTAGAAGTTCTTTCTTTTGCTCAACGGGGCTGGAGTTTCTTACTTCTGCATTCACGGATGATTCAAAGCTTGTTTCGTGGAGAGACATGATGCATAGATGATCCAAAAGCATAGCAATACAAACACGTTCGTCATATCCTCGCCCTCTCCTACTCGTGAGTCGAAGCCTCCCCCGTGGATTTCCACACTGGATACACTGATTACAGTATTTACCCTCAAATTACGCTTTTGTCTGAACATTTGAAGCAAGAAGACCTTTCATCTAATACCTAACTTTATCTCAGCTCTTTCTAACTACTCTTAAGCCAAAGACTTTAGGTCTTATTGAATAATGCATCAATGTCCCAGGAATTTCTGGTACATTGAACTATTCCTGGAAGTGGAGAGTGGATACTGAATTTCGGAGTTATGGTTCTGTTGCACATCATTAGACCTCACCTTCTCTATTCTATTCACTTTCGAGTTCTACATCGAGAAGAGTTTCCTCATACCATCGTACTCCAAGTTGGAGGATATTCAGCTATTAATCAATGCTTCATTGCCCTCGAAATTGGGAAAGATTGTGAGAGAGTTTTTGATGTGGTTAAAGGAAGTGCTTCATGACCTCTCTTATTGTTCGAATCGAGCCACGTGTATTACTAGAATCTAGAAGTAATATTATAGATTAAGATGTGGTGTCCTAGGTGCACAATTATTTGTTTGGGGGGCATCGTCTGCAGCGTGTCCGGGGAGGCGAGAGCTGGAAGTGGGAGCGAGGTAGGGAGAGGCTTGGGGATGTTGACTAAGAGAGGATTGTGGGCGAGGAACTCAATGTGACGGTTTTGGAGACGAGGAAGTTCTCATTTGATAGCTATTGGGCAACGCCTTGCCTTGGTGTTTATTGTTTCAATGAAAGTAATCCTTATTGCACTGTACCACTCAAAACTTGCCCCAGCCATGTCAATTAACATGAGTTTGTTTTTTACTCCGAACACTCCCAACCCTTCCACATCTTCGCTGAAAACAGTCTCACAGATTTAGCAAAGGAACGACCTCATCGCCCCCTTAATACAATTCTGTTTGGAGATAGGGTACGTACTTGGTCTAAAATTTTGTGGAAAAGAAGGCTCGCATACTCCGTATCTCTCAGCTGTTACAATCGCGGAGCCAGGTGTCTCAGCCACTTATGGTCACCCTCGGCTTAAGACAGGCTCCACTGCTTATTGTTCATGTGATTCCCTTACTCCCCTTTATTTAGCTACATCGAGTAGCACAATCGAGTTCCACTTTGATGCCCTTGCAAGCGCGGCTGTCAATGACTTATATGAATTGAGAGAAGAGCAACCAAAATCTTGTTTGCCCAGTGTGTAGAGCGGCCGTTTGGAAAAATCCCCGATGCTCTCTGATATGTGTTGTTCTTATTAGTCTTCTTAGAGAAAATTTGTTGAGTTGACTGACCTGCAGTAAATGCTTTGCCCACGCCAGGCGGTCCTTGTAGAAGTATTATCAGGCCCTCCCCATTGCCGGCGATCATATCATCAAATTCTAGCGAGCCTTCCTTCTGTAGTTCGATCAGAGATGAAAAAGTCTTCTTGGTATTTGGAGGTAGAACGAGGCCTGCAAAGGCGTCTTCGTTGTAATCCACAGGCATCAGCCCTGAAATATGGAACAGTCCCCACCTTTTGGTGAACAACATGAATCCCGGCATCGCGAAATCGCAAATAATTAATTCATCATTGGACTTGTCTTCGTGCTCCTTCAAAACTGATCGAATAGTTCTTGAATCTAGAATGAACGCAAGTTTTGGATCACGGATGTCGTCACTGTACGAACTCTTTGCTGTCGATCATAATTCTGCCTTTCACCTGAGAATATCAGTAGGTATGAAAGGACGCTGAGCTTTCAACATGAGGGGTGACTTACATTGAATAACTGCCGATCTCTAGCATGCTAGCTATTGGGTTAAGCTATCCCATCATAGGTACAGTGGTGAGCGCCTAGCATTGAAATGTACTTCTTCCCTCGTTTCAGAAAACTGGCCCTTATTCGTTTGCATCTCGATAATACTCCAGGGGAAGAAAACAAGCTGGGTGAGGGGTCTGTACGCAGATCACGGCATAAAGTGACGGGACTACGGGGCATTTTGACTCGCTTGGGGCGCTAAGTGGACTACAGCGTGCAAATTGAGGGGTTGAGCTCGCTATGAAGCCTTACAACTCCAGGTTTCTTGCCCTGACATAAAGTGTAAGATATTTGCAGGGTCATCGAAGATTCTCAAGAGCTATCGGTCGGACACTGTGAAGGGGGTGATTTTACAAGCTTCCAAGCAAGTCCTATTCCTCAGAATACAGCCCTAGGATGGGAACCACAGGGAAGGAGTCGCGCTTTCGTTTTAATTTGTCTCAGCTTAACTCAACTCAACTTAATTTATCCTATCATCCTTTAAACACAATTGGACTCTCTTAGCGACTATTTATTCCTCTTTCGGATATTGAAAAGGTGGGTAGTACAGCATGCTCTACAGCTCTCATAGGCTGCCCGCGCCGGGCCCCACTTTCGAGCCCCTCGGACCGGGGAATTGTGTTTGACGATGGTTTATGGGCAAGCAGATTTGTCGAGCTCTCGAGCGTTCCTTCTCTTCTTATCATTGCCATGTTGTCTCGAGCTAGCCGTGAGACCTAGAGACCATGGCTAGTAGCCAGTTCGCTCGAAAGATCACTGTTTTGTTGAAAATGTTGTATTCCACCTCCATCCAATCAGATCCATGCCTTCCAATGCTCGGTTTTCAGCCTACGCATGCAGAGGTGTTGACCTCCCAGCGAGGCGAATACTTCAACATTTTGCTGTTATACTTTCCGGCTCCCAACTCGATAACCATATTTCAAAACCAACCCAGTTGTCTTGCTTTTCCAACCCGTGAGAAGTCTCGGAGCAGCTCTCTTCCAGTCCCACAGCGCGCCATTCCTCGGCCTGAATCGGAGACGACAGCGCGGCGATGTGGTTAATCAATACAACGTCTCTAGCTCTTGAGTTCACCGAGGACCCTGAAACCTGCATCTATGCAATCCTTTCACATACTTGGGGCGATGACGAGGTCGGTTTCCAAGACATGGCGAATCTCGAGCGGGCCAGGAAGAAGCAAGGATTCTCCAAGATCGAGCGCACCTGCCAGCTAGCCCATGACCGTAACATCGAATATGCTTGGGTTGACACTTGTTGCATTGATAAGAGCAGCAGCGCTGAGTTGACTGAGGCCATCAATTCGATGTTTCGCTGGTATAAGCAATCGCATGTCTGCTTTGTCTTCCTCTCTGATCTTCTCTCATTCGACAGCTGGCGGATAGGAGGTTACCTTCGCCAATGCAGATGGTTCACTCGGGGCTGGACATTGCAAGAGCTCATTGCACCTGAAGAGATCGAGTTCTATGACAGGGGCTGGAATCTGATCGGCACCAATGATTCCCTGCAGGGACATCTGACTGAGATTACTGGAATTGACGCGGAAATTCTCAACGATAGCGACATGTTACAAGCTGTTCCAGTGGCAAGACGAATGTCTTGGGCTGCATCACGGCAGACCACAAGGGTCGAGGATCTTGCGTATTGCATGTTTGGCATCTTCGACGTCAATCTTCCGTTGATATACGGGGAAGGCCAGAAAGCATTCATTCGGCTCCAAGAAGCTATTTCACGAGAGAATAACGATCTTTCACTTTTTGCATGGACTTGTCCAAACGAGCGCATGCTTCCTCTTCACCGGCGACGAAAGTTTCGGGGTATCTTAGCAGAATCCCCCGCTGAGTTCAGAGAGTGCAGTGGCCTTCAGCGTATCTCAGATCCTGGTATTATACCGGCGGAAGTCACAATAACCAACCAAGGTTTCAGAATCAGAAATATGTTGAGCGATGGCGAGGGGGAGTACCTCCTGAACTTAAACTGCATTGCTGGAAGCTACGATTCTGTGATAGGACTGACAGGAACGATTGTTATCAGACTTGCACGGACGGCGCATGGATATGTGCGGCACCAATTCAGTGGGCATACATTTGTGCACCCCTCTCTGGTTCAGAAGAGTGCAATGTCTTCTCTGCCTATCCCAAAGACTATTAGTCCAGCAGAGTCTCAATTAATCAGATCACGACTCAGGCATCGTTTCTCATTTGATTTTATCGCCGACGTGCCTTTCTTAGAATGCGAAATCCAAAGGAAACCTCTGCACCTTTGGGATCATGCAACCAAGAGTTTCATTACGGATGGCTATGAGGCTTTCACAGGCATAATCGAGATCAATGCCACAGGGAATATCCCAAAAATAATCTCAGGTTACGAGCACGATTGCACCTTCAGGCTCGATCCAATGCCAGTCGTTATATTCGGACTTGAACCGGTATCGATTTCGAACAAAAGCATCGACTCTGGGAAGGAACTTAAACCTTGGGCTGGAATTTATACACCAGAGGGTCAGGGCGAGACATGTCGCGCTATTGAAAAGATTCTGGCGCAAGAGAAGACGCATGGTTTTCCACACGTTGCACGCAAAGCTAGAGAGTTTGTGCTCTCCCGCCAGGACACTCCTAGCCCGCTGTTACCGAGAAAATGTGAACACAGAGCTGTTTCAAGAACTATAAACCTTAGTCATCTAGATCCTGAGAAAGAAGGTCAGGTAGTAGAATCTGTTTTGTCGACATATTTGGAGGAGACTTCAGACCTCAGTCTGTATAAGATGCGACTCGACTTTACGCGCCTGCTCGGCCTCCCCGTGCCCCCAGAAGACGAGACGATGTGGGACAGTATAAGAGATTTGTAGGAGATATCGCATTTCCAGTTGCCGTTCGGTCATATGGAATGATCTGGTTGTACAAGACGTCAATACATTCTTGGAAATTGGATTTGAATTTGTCTTATAGTTGCTGAAATGCGATCTTTTAGCCCATAAACTCTCTAAGTTTGAGCGGCACAATTATTTGCCAGACATAGAAGTCATGCTCTTAAAGTTGCATAGTTTCAAAAGGATGGCGATACTCCAAGTACCAGCTATTCAGTTCTTACGTCTTGCAGCATAATTTCCTAATAACAACCCCTCATTCAACCCACGCCGTGCTTCGTACAACATTCAATGCGATTTGCTGTCTCTTCTTCCACGTTCGCGTCCTATTACCAAACAAGTATAATGTCCGATAGTCGATCCCACCCCTGCAGTTGAAACTAGATAACATACTAGTTTCTCATATCAGTACCTTGATTTTGAGCAATCGGCAGGAGAGTAAAACATACCGGCATAAACAAGTAGGGAACAAGCTTCTCATACTCGGTCCAGCTCTCCCCATATTTTGCTCTGCACCTCTGGATATCTCTGCGAGCTCGGTGCAAGATCATTACCGTAAAGAAAACTGGATAAAACCAAGGAAAGGGGCTGTCAAATCCAGTCACCACGCCCCAAGAAAGCGCAAAGTAGACATCGCAAGTATAGTGTATTTTCCGAGTATATCCATACCAGCCATCGACAAGAATCGTATCGCCATTTTTGGTTGTGATAATTCGAGGATTTTGAAGTGTTTGCCATGGGAGTTGGGGAAATGTTTTCCTCGGCACAAATTTTCCACGTTCTCGTGCTCTGAACCTATTCTTTTGGCTACCGGTGGTGTCCCAAATCCAATATACGAAGAGGTATGATGTGAAGAGAATGATCAGAGCTGGAGTTCGCATCGCGGGAATGGACCAGTCTGATGAAGTGTCGAGGTGATTGGCGAAGTAAAGCGTGCAGTGGCAATAACTGAAAGGGACTCCAGCCAAGTTCCAGAAGATGAGCATGAAGCCCCATTTCTCATAGTAAATGTCCCTTCATTTTGTCAGCTTTGATTCGTGCTTGTCGGTTTGCTTAAATTCCTTTGGAAGGAGGAAGATTCGGAAAGGAGGAGACCAACCAAGTCGTCATGATACATTCCTCACCCTTCGCACATGCATTCGTGTAGAAGAAATGAGCTCCAACCAAGAACACGACTTCTGCAGAAACATGTCCATAAAACTCATACTGTTTGGCGGCCGTAGCACAGGATATTGCAAACAAAATAAACCACGGGATGCGAACCATGAAAAACATCTTGAAATCGAGGGGACCGATTCTGGGGTTCAACTCAGATCCCATGAAAAAGTCATACACAAAGTACCCAGTCATTCTGTGTTGAGCATCGCGACTCCGGGCAGAGATGTATGCAACAATCGCCACGAGAAACCCCGAAAGAATGGCGACTGAGAGTATCGGACCAAATTCGTCTATGATAGTGTAGAGCTTGAAGAGTCCTGTGCAATGTAAACCTGCAGTGAGTAGGATGGTGATATAAAAAGACCAGACGGCACTGCAATGGTACTTGAGCTGTTTTCCTCCTTCGTGATCTAGAGGCTTTCCAAAACCTTGAACGCCAGGGAGGAAGCAGTAAAACGCGGATTCAACGAGGAAGAACGACCAGTAGATCTTCCAGGCTCGCAAAGTTGGAAATGCATGCTCGTATACCAAATTCGCCAGGTGTCTGCAGAAGCTGGCAAAAGACTGAGTGGAAGTAGGTGCCGGGAAGTGTCCTTTGTAGAATGTTGCACCGATCCACATGTAATACATCAGCAACGGAAATCCGACCATCATGGCACCTGTTCCCCAAGAGCCACAGAACTCGAAATGGCCAGAATGATCTACTCTGGGGTCTTTCCCTGGCTGCCATCCATCTACGACAGATTCGATGTTCGGGTTGCTGGTCTTCAGGGAGGTGTTTCGTGAGAGAGGGTATGTTCGAGTAATATGTGTTGGTGAGTTTTGATATGTAGTCTGGTCTTGTAGATGAGATCTCGGGCCCAGTAATATCATTTCCTTTCTTTGTGCAAGTAGTGTCTCGTTAGCTTAGGAGAAAACTTTGAGAAGAAGGCTGTACCTCCGCAGATCGCCAGAAAAGGAACACACTTGAGGACCTGTAGACATGGTGACAGATGTGGCCTGGAACGAAAACTTGAACCCAAGACTCTCAAGATCGAGGGCGGAGAAAGTGTTTACTATTCTTCTGTTCTGGGGGCAAGATGCATATATGTATCCTCCAATGTCTTACCATCCACAAAGCTGAACGATTAAACCCCAGCAAATTATGGGATTGCTTTGAGCGCCTGAGATGATGGCTCCGCGCACTCCGCGGGAAGGCGAATCTTACTCGTTAGGTTACAAGCTTACACCTCACTACTCTTGAGCCTGAGATGTTGCCATAAATTGCCCGTAGATATTTTCTATGGCCCCACATTATGTAATAGGGGGTTCGCTTCGCGGATTCCGCGCGGGGCACGCGTCTCACGGCATCCGCGCTAACCAACTCTTCAATTTCTCAACTCCCGGTACCTTTGCAAATGTTCATCCCAATATCCAAAAGTTTTCATGTTCCATCCTTCAAGGAATAACCCAGATGGACATCTCAGCCAGGAACGGCTCCGCCGAGAGAACTAAAGCGACCAGGGTAGGAGACAGGGTTAGCAAGCCGTCCCGGCGTGACACCTCATTTCTCCCTAAGTCGGTATGCACTATTTGAGATCCGTTGCAAATTAGTCGGCTAATTAAGTACATCTTTGGGTGATAGTGCGGAAATTGCAGAATCAGAAAGGTCATAGACTGTCTATCAGCCACGTCGCGCGACCAGAGTACGGAAGCTAACACTTCTACAGATTCGTTGTGATAAGACCTCGCCATGCTCAAGCTGTCGAACTGCTCATTTGACTTGTGGAGTCACATCAACTGCAACTACGGCGGAAACTCCAGCGAATGTGCCTCCGGCTACCCAGCTTGCTCAACCAGCGTTCACTTCGTCTAGTGAAGAAAGCCACTTCAGCCTCATCCAGGAGACTCTCAACGAAATAAAAGACAGACTTGGAAAGCTCGAACAGAGTCAGCAGGAACCGAAATCACCCTTCGAGATTCATGTAGTGGCTACTGAGCGCAACGCTTCGTCCGGGGCGACCACAATTTTCCAGAATGAACCGTCTTTCAACAATCAGTCAGCACAAGCATCAATTTCAGCGGAGCTCTCAGCGGAAGAAGCGAATGTCACCGAATTTAACATGGAGATACAGTCGTCTTTGGTATCACTGAAGTCCCGCTTGCAAGGCCAAAATGTTCCGTCGTCGGTCAATCATCTTTATTTTCCTTGCTCATCTTCGAGATTGTCAACCCAGAATGTTGAACTCCCACCAGTATCTGTAGTTATTGCTGCTTTAAAGAAAGCGGCAGGTCAGTACCCAGGACTTAGTCAGCTCAAATTTCCTTAACTGATCTGTAACTAGTGAAACTACCTGCAGTGATCTTGCATAATGGCTTCAGAGATCACATGATGCTCGAGGATTTATGCAAGAAAGTCTATTTTCCCACAAGACCATGTTCAAAAGGAGAAATTACGCTCCTCAACGGCCTCCTATTCTATCTCCTCGATACTTACAGCCAAGAGAATAGTCCGGACCTCTCAAGTTCGGAGTGTGCAGCATACGCCAAGCTATGCGAGAAGAACTTCTGTGATGGGATTCAGGAGTACGAATGTCTGGTAACACCAACGTTAGAGAATATTCAGTGTTTGATGATGGGGGTGAGCCATGCTTCTGCCCGCGTTAATCTGTCTAACATTCCTTAAAACAGGCAATGAAAGCACAGGCTGATGCCCGACCAGCACTCTGCTGGGCCATCGTCTCCACCGGCGCCAGACTGTGTCAAAGCCTAGGTTACCATAGAGAAGCCGAAGTTGCCCGCGGCCCGCCTGAGCTCGCAGATGCCAAGCGTCACGTCTTCTGGATGCTATACATGATCGACAAGATCATGTCTCTCAATCTTGGCCGTGCATCAAGTTTCCCAGATTATGATATTGATGTGGAAATCTTCGTCCTCAATCGAGACCTGAGCTTCTGCGCTTGGGACAAGGTGTTGGTTGCATTTATTGAGCTTTGTAAGTTGCAAGGCCAGATGTATGATGAGCTGTACTCAGCGAGAGCTCGACGCCAATCGCCAGAGATCAGATCGAGGATAATTGACGAGCGGGCTTCTAGTCTTTTTGCTTGGCACGTTGGCTTGAAAAGGGTAAAGCCCACTTCCCATATAGTGATTGTACTCAAGGGACTGACTTTAATAGATTGATACACAACATGCACAAGATAGCAACGACTTGGACCTCATCATCAGCTGGTCTGACTTCTTCTATTACTATATTTTGACGCTCTTATACGGGGCGAAAACTTCACCAGCAGCTGCTACACACATCAGCTCCGAAAGATATCAAGCAGCAAGGATGGCTTTGCAATGCCACGTAGAGAATTGCGCGAAATTGTCTGCAAATAAAACACCAAGCATGCGAGTATATTCTGGTTGGTAAGTTCCCCAATCCTTTCCACCGGAGGCACAATACTCAATGTTTAGGGTTCTACTTTTCTCCTCCTTCACTCCATTTCTCGTCGTCTTCACCCACTCAATCGCATCACACAGCCAGGGCGACGTCGAGCTTCTAAGCCAAGTTCTGCAAACACTCGAAGCAGGGCGAAACATTTCCGTAGCAACCAACCAGTTATACGAAGACTGCAAAGCCTTCCTGAGGTTTGCCACAGCCTTCGTCCGGTCAACACAGAACTCTTTTGGATCCTATAACCAGGAAGATGATTCCATTACATTCCCTCTCATGGGTACAAGTGACCACAATACCATGCTTGAATTCGATGCAGCTGGCGGGTTCGAGAGTATGCAGGATGACTTGCTCCCCATGTCGGCATTCCTGGGGACGTATCTCGGGGAAAATCAAGTAATTAGTGGATTCTGGAACATGGATTTCTCGCAATCTGGGACTTTCTAGCACGGCTACCACTCCTCAGATCTGGGCGGGCTTTACTACTCAAGTCCATGCGATGCTCTCTGCTCAATGAATTATTATTACTCTGCTCTGATTGATCATGAGATTTCTACTTGCTCAGTCTTTGCTAGTGCATCTAACACGCTCTCTCGACCATACAGTATCCGCAACGAACTATTCCTCAATTGAAAACAGCTCCAGCAGGGCTAACCACCAAATCATGCTCCACAACCGCGCTGCCATCCTCCAACGCAGCATACTGCTCATCACTACAAGTGATATCAGCATACCACGTCGAGCAGATAGGCTCGGGACTCTTCGGCAGGACATTTCTCCAACCCCAAGCGTCGCCCGGACCCTTCGTCTGATATCCACAGCCCTTACCAGCTTTCTCATTGCCCGTCGCAACATCCACGTTCTTCAAGCTGCGTTCCAGAATCCTGTACACCGTCTCAGGCTGAGAAGCATGTGGGTAATGCCCAGCATCAAAGACCCGAACGAAAGCAAGGTTCTCAGCTTGTCGTGTGACACCACCGATGTAAATGCTGTTGACAACCACCTCTGCATATCCACTTTGCTTGAACCTTTCTTGCCCAGGGAAGGAGACGGACTTGGAGATAGCTTCCGCACCGAGCCAGTTGCAGCGGTAATCACGGTCGCCGTATACAAGCACGACTTTCTTGCCCCGCAAAAGCAGGTATTCGATGTTCGACTTGTTGCCACGGATACCGTCAGCAGTCTTCGCAAAGGCTCCATAGGGGTAGCTCCACACCGCATTCGAGAAGGCAGAGAAATTCAGTGGAACGCCGAGAGAAGATTGGACCCATTCGCGATTGAAGAACGTAGAGATGTGGGTGTAGGGATAGGCTTCAGGCTGGAAGTGCGAGATGTCGAAGGCGCTGCGATGGAGTGCGTTGGGGTCGGTGGCGTTCGGGATGTCGCTGCCTCCTTGCACGTCCGCAAAGCAGGTGAGAAAGGTGATATTACAGATGTCGTTGACGATTTGGTTCGTGCCGAGGAACTGAGGGTCCAGGAGGGCGGCGTTTCCTCGACACATATTGATGAGGTCTTTGCAGCCCTCGCCCGGAGTTGCGAATGCGTCTATACGGTCGGTGTAGTTCTGCTCCGTGATGAGGGGGAGGTACGTGTTGTTCAGCAGGTAGAGAGGGTAGAATGGTTGCTCGATGAGGGTGTCAACACAGCCGTTCAAGAGACCGAGGGTATCAACGTCGAGGATTGAGTACTTTTGGGGGTTGCTGGAAATGCTTTTGAGGAGCTCATTTTGTATCTCGAAATAAGCAAGTGTTGAAGGACCGTAGAAGCCACCCCACTAAATAAATCAGAAACTCGGCATCAGTGACGAGGGCTCAGGGAACCTACCGAATTGGCCCAAAGATTGATCTTCTTGTTTTTGGTTTTGTACTTCGGGAAACTTGCAGCTTTGTTAGTTGCAAAAGCTCGAAAAGGAGGAAAGTGCTTACTCATTAACAAAAGCCTGGGTAAAGTGATACAACACATGAGATGCATCAACCGAACTGTTTGCAGTTTGGCTCTCCATCTGGCTGGGAAAAGTTCCAACCAAGAACGTAGCATTAGTCTCAGGAACACCAGACGAGAAGTCAGCTACAGAGTATCCACCCGGTTGTTGCATTTGATCGAGGGTCCCATTGACGAGTACATCATAAGAAAAGCCGGTCTGTACTGGCTGGTCAATGTAAAGCACATTGGCCTCGTTGTTAAAGGACCAGGGATTGAGAGTGGTGCTGTTGGCATCGTCGTTGATGTAGCAAGGTCCGCCCATCATCGTGGCACCGAACATTGAGCTCTCGCCAACACCACCAGCGAGGTAGATTATCAGGGGAGCGTTTTGGGGATTCTTGCGAGCTTCGAAGTACCAGAAAAACATGGAGTTGTTGTATGATTGTTGGAGGACAGAGGCTGGGAGGTGAACATAGCCGCTGTGTGATTTGACTCCGGCTGTAGTCTCGCAGAAGTGTGTCTAGATTCGGTCAGTCAACGTGTGACCAGTACCAATGTCAGAGCTTGCGCAATTGTAATTTCAAACGAGATTTGGTAAGCATCAAAAACAGTCCGAGCCCGAGCCGTCCCAATGGGAATTGCAAAGAGATCGGGCAAGCATCGGAGGTTCGTCCCAACTGAAAAATTGGAAAAGAAGAGATCGCAGAAGAATCACAGACACGTTAGAACATACCTCTTTGTAAGTGATCGATACACCAGGAGTTCTCTTAGAGTTGACTATAGTCACACCTTGTGGCTTCGGAGGGAAACCACCCAGTGCTGTGGCGGCCAAGGCCAGAAGGAACCCGAAGAAGACCTTCATAACGGGGGCTCCGGAAATCGAAGGAGCGCTGTCAAAAGAGTTGAAGAATCGTCCACCTAGTACAGGAATCGAAGGGACGATGGAAGAACAGGTGAGGAGTTCTTCCACTTCGTCCAAGGGTCGCGAGGGGGAAGATGTATTTGTGAGAAAAGAGACGAGTGTGGAAGGAAAAAGACGAGGAAAGAGAACTCCAAGAACAGTATCGAACACAACATACCAGAACCCGTCTTGAAAAGGTGAATGTTATATATCACTCCAAACATCGCTGACAGAGAAGCGAGCGGTCCAATTAGGAACACTCTCTCAGTTCTACTCCAGAACCCCAAGACCTCGGCTTTGTCAACGAAGAACCGATGAACAGAATGGATCCGCGAAATAAGCTGCGCCACTGCTGAAGGTCAGTGAATCCACGGGGACGCACTGCCCAAAGGCAGGGGCCGGGGATAGGGAGTGCTGTGCTCGCGGAGTTCGGAGTTCATGACTTGGTGGATGGTTTCCTGCCAAAAGCTATGATGGCATCACCAAACATTGAGTTGCACCTCGTGCGGACGTCATGCAGCTGCAAGAATAAAGCAATAGAAAGGCAAAACCCAATTTGGCGCAAGGCTGAGGAAGAAGGTCCCTGTCTGTAGAGAAGCAGAGCTGTTGTGAGACGTAAGCCGAGTATGTGTAAGCATCCAAATCAATTGGCATAGGCCAGTTCGCCAAAAGATTGGCTTAAAGGCTTTGTAAATTAAAATGTACAACATTGCTGCGAATGATTGCCTGGAGCAAGGAGGCTTGGCAAAGTATCAACCTCGACATCTCATGAAGCAGGTAACTGAGTTCGGAATGACTCTGACTGCGGCTCGGAGTAGTACTTGCCACAGAAATAAGCGGATTCTAATCACAAGACGCGAAAGAAGAAAAGGAGTTACCTCAACAAGCTCATCAATTCTGAATCTGGTATCCGACGACATCCAAGGCTGAATAATTATCCCTGTACACACGAGCCAAGTCAACCTTACCCCACTCTCCTTGCTTTCATATCAGAATCTATGAACATTCCTTCACCCTCATTGCCAAGCTCATATCCAGGAGCTCCAAATCTCCAAACATACAAAGTAAGCTCACTTAGGCATTGAAAACTTGTACCCAGTAGTATACTTGTCAACCTTCTTCTCCCCTTTCTTCCCATACTTTTTGACCTCCTGCTGCGTCGAGCTTCGATACGCCTTCGGACTCGGCAGGCTAACCTGGCTATCGCCATTCGCCAGGCCCTCAATCATCGCCGTAAGCTCCTTTTGTGCCTTGGATTTCTCGTCCTCGTTCTCGGAGGAATCCTCGTCCGACGAGTCCGAGTATTTTGCTTTCGGCTGAGATTTCATTGCGAATTTGGTAGCTATTGGTTTCCTCGGTTCTTCGTCAGAAGAATATGTGCTCTGTTCATCGCTTTCCTCCTCCTCCTCCTCCTCGCTTTCGCTTCCATTATCCATGTTGACTTTCGGTTGCTGCGAACTCTTCGTCGTAGTCGAAGGCTTCGTGGTCTTCGATCCGAGTGGTTGTTTGGCGGAATTCAAGCCTGACAGGCTGGCTCCCACTTTGAACGCCGGTCTAATGGCACTTGAGGAAGGTACTGCAGAAGAATTGATGGCCGAGCGGGCTTCATACACAGAAGAGGTTAGTTGTTGATCGATCTCGTCTTGAGTACTCAATTCCTCTGGTGTGGTAGAGACCTTACAGTTATTGGTTTGAGTTGGCTTTGGCGCTGATACTTTGGCAGGCTTGGCCGCAGGGAGAATCGGAGGACTGGACTTGGGGACTTGGACTTCAGTGCCTTCGCCTTCAGACTCAGATGCAGATTCCTCGCTCGTTTCTTCCTCTTCATCATCCTCCATCTCAACGTCCTGGGCTTCAGCTTTTGCGGCTTCAGCTTCAGCTTCCGAATCTTCGCTTTCTTCACCTTCCGCATCTTTTATCGGGACTTCCCTTGACTTTGGTTTCGGAGTTGGCTCGTTAAATTCTTCTTCCGAGTCTTCCGAGCTGCTCTTAGAGGATTCATTGTCACCGCCGTCCTTTCCGATGTGGCTTTCGAGCGCAGGTCGCAAAGCAGGCACTGGTTCTGTCTTCGTGTGTTGGCTGTAGATGACTGGTGACCGACTGTCACGGGTCGAAGGATTGTGACTCTGTGTTTCATCCTCATCAATCTCTTCTTCCTCTTCCTCTTCCGACTGTTCCGTCTTAGCGGCAACCAGGGTGGGTAAAGTTGGTTTTGATGACAGAGAAGTGGACTTTGCTAATTTGGCAGGGCTGACTACGGCAGGGATATCTTCTTCAGAATCTGAATCAGAACTAGCACTATCCTCGATTACAATCACTATCTAGATGTTAGCCGCGTCGACAACCAACTTGCAAAAGCAACGAGAATAACAATGCAGAACATAAAATATGGCACAAGCAATGATTGGAGATGTTTTCAAGAGTGTAGCAAGACCGGAATGAAACATACGCTTTTCAGGAGGGATCACAGGTGTTTCACTCTTTTGTGATGCAGAACGAGTTGGAGGAGTGATTTTCGTTCTAGTGATCTGCGGAGATTGCACTTTGGGCGGGGGTATCACTGCAGCACGTCCAATTGGCGTTATGCTCCGTTCCAAACTAGATCGTCTCAAAGCGGAAGGGACCGGGATCGGGGTATTAAGGTGCTTCACTGGTGCTACTAGAACGTGAGCATGGTTAGCCATCTTGGATAAAAAGGATTTGAGGTGGTTACCAGATCCTTGCTGTGAAAGTTTCCGTGTCAAGTCTTTCGAAGCTGGAGTTGAAACTTTTGACACTGAAACTTTGGGTGTCGCTGATTTTGTTGGAGGTAAGATCCTGGTTGGTGGTTTGATCGCTGTCTCTTTGCGTTCATGAAGATCGAAAGAAACCTTTCTGTTCATTTTCGACGGCAATGGCATCTGGGCTTCAATACCAACGCCTCGAGATACCTCAGGAGAGCTTGGGGATGAGCTAACGGCTTGAGAAGATAGTGAGAACTTGAGAGCTGATTTTCGACCACTCGGAATATACGGTGTAGATGATTGGGTCTTGGCCGCGGATGAAGGAGCTGCTCTAGGAAGAATGGGTGATGAATGGTGCCTTTGTCTCTGCTCTTCGGGTGACGCTGAGTTCTTCTTTAGTGCCTCTTCAGCAGCTCGTTTTTCCTGCATTTTTCTCTCTTCTACCATACCCAGCTTCTTAGCCTCTTCAGCCTGTGTTTGCCGTTCTGTTTCTTTCTCTTCTCGCAGCTTCTTTGCCTCAGCCTCTGCTTTCTTCTTTGCAAGCCGTTCTGATTCGGCCTTTTCCTTAACAACTCGCTCCTCGGCTTCTCTCTTCTCCTCACACTCCTTTTGCAAGCGAGCTGCCTTTTCAATCACAGATTGTCGTTTGGCCGCTTCTCGTTGGGATTCCTCGACCTCAAGCCGTTCTTGCTGTTCTCTCTTCGCCCGTTCTTCCTTAGCAATGCGAGCTTCTTCAGCTTGCCGCGCCTCATCCGCCTCGAGTCTTCGTTGTTCCGCAGCTTCTGCTGCAGCTCTTCGCGCTTTCTTAGCCTCGTCCGCCTCACCTTTCTCTTGTTGTCTCTTTTCGCGTTCTTTGCTGTTTGGAGTGAGAGGCAGTTCGCCAGCTGAAGAACCTTCCCGGGATCGAACCGGGCGTCGGGTTCCATTGGGTGGCGTATTGAATGTGTTGTTGGACCAAATTGAATCAATTCCAGGAAGACCATTGCTCGGACTATTCCGCATCTTCAACGACGACTTCTTCTTTCTCAGAATCGCAGCGCCCTCATCCTCTGACACAATGCTGTCGTAGATGGTATCCTCATTCGTCGATCGATTTGCATTTGGGCGTGGTTTTGGTGGAGGGTCAGTTCTCTTGCGCTTGTTCGCTGATATGAGGCCATTCTGAGTGGGGGTTTGCTGGTCAACAGAAGATGGGCTGGTGGCTGCAGTGGAGACTGACGTTCCGCGATCCGCAGGTCTCGAAATATGATAGCTCGAACTCTTCGCTCTTTGTGAACCGTTTGATTGTGCTCGTTCCGAAGCTTGTACGAGGGGACTTGAGTTCTGCATTTCGGTACTGTGGTTCGAGACACCATTTTGACTCTGTTTCTCGGACTTTATGCCATGCTGGTCAGCGTTGCCATTCGCAAGTTTTGGGGAGTGTTGCACTTCTGGTGGAGGTGATGGAGAAGCGGTCTCTGGGATTCGAGGAAGGTTTTGTCTTACTTGACGTGAAGGGTTGAATTGCCTAGGACTCGGTCCCTCATCTTGTGAATCGGGGATGACCTTGACTTCTGGTGCACGACCATTCCTCCGCTCAGGTTCATTTTCTCGGGATGGTAGAGGTTCGTCTGGATCCAGTTCCGATACCCTCTGTCTCTTGTTGGGTTTCCAAGCACTTGACGGGGATGTTCCATTAGGTCGCACACTTCCCTCCCTTTCCCTCTTGCGAGTTACGTTTGGATCGAATCGAAGGGCCGATGTTGGAGGAACAGAGTCGCGGATGCTGGGGTTCGCAGCAGCTTGAATCACTCGGATGGTAGCCGTATTCGTAAAGAGATGTCCTAGAATCTCGTTCTGTGTGATATCAAATTCCTGGTCGTCTTGCACCTTTTTGATCGCAAGTGGCCTGTCGAGCGTTAGACTCGGTGCCAGAGGGGTTTGAGGAGCTTGCGCAGAAGCAGAACCTACTCTCCATAGTTGATCTCATGAATCCGTGAAGCTTCCTGGCAGAATTCCCGTATCGTAGCCTCGGGATTGGTAACAACTCGAAAGCATCGTATCGGCTTGTCGCCCAAGGCATGCGCAAGTGGTGAGAAGAGCTGCACGCGGAGTGAGTAGCCTGGAAGGACTGGAGGGCCCATTGGGGTCGCCATTTTGCTATAAATGACGTTTGGAAGGTGCGATCGCAAGCTCTCCTGGTCGAGACTGCGATGGGAGAAGTTTCATGGGAGTTGAAGGACGCATCGATAGCTTGGGAGGGAAGTCGCGTTCACGGTGGAAAAGTGAACGATAAAAGCTTCACGCGATCCGCGTTAAATTTTAAGGTTTGGGCTCGGCAAATTAGCGGCTGAGCCTGCTGAACAAAGGGGGGCTGGGGTGAGACATCTTCCCCATTGTTTCTCGGGACTTTTACTCGAAATTTATGAAACGTTGTTGGCTGTCTTAATTCGACTTCATGGTAACCTAAGTTAGGAGTTTTGTGAGTTAAACCCGTTCACTTCACACCCTCTCTTCTGGTCAACTTTGATCAGAAGCCAGTTCCATGGTATTGGTAGCATCCCCTGAAGAGGCTGACCTGCAATCTTGGAGTGCCGGTATATTGGAATTCGTAACCCCTTTCTCGGTAGCATCTGCTATGACTGGACACTTCTATTCATACACATCCATATATTCGTTCTTTCTTTCCAGCTTTCCAGCTTATGCAAACTCCAAAAAACACCAAGTCCCTCCTTCCCATCCGAAGTCCCCGAATATGCATCAAAATCTCCTTATCGTCTGGGCTCCCAGCATCAAACTCCCCTTTAACAAAAGCCCTCCCTTTTCTTCCCCATCCTCCCTTAAACCTCCCTATAATCTCCATACATAATCCCCGTCACTCTATTAATATGTAATGGACCAGGCTTCCCAATCTGATCCCAATTCCTCCAAATATACCCCACCCACCTCAGCACGCCCACCACTCCAAATACCGCCAACACCGCACACGCAACCAAAAACACAACAACCCATTTCCTAACTCGAAAGGCATCGTCCATCTCCGCTTTCATCATATGTCGTTGCTTTGTGTGCCAGTGCCATGGCTCTTCTTTCTCTTTCCCCTCTTTGGATAACGAGGATTGGGAATTGGGTGATTTGATGTAGGAGTAGGGAGATGACGGCATCGATTGGTACACCAAGGAGTGCAGGAATTCTTTCACATGCCCAAAGACGGTAGAAGGCGGAAGACGAGAGTGGGAATGTGAATGTGTTCGTAGAGAGTGGTTCCTTGAGTCGATGAGCGCGAGGGAGAGGAGGAAGGAGATGAATGTCAGCGGTGCGATTAACAGCTATTCCATTGTTAGTCAAGGTTTGGTGGAAAACGCAGTAGACGTACCCGTGAAACGGCACCCTCCTTCGGTGCTTCGGGCGGGATGGGGGAGCTGAATGCTAAGGCGGGGGATCGGGCTGGAGACGAGCGTTGGGATGCCATCTCGTCTCTTCTTCTTAAATACTCAGAAGCGCAGACTCTTGGGATGGATTGAAAAGATCAACCATAGTTAAGAAGAGGCGAACGGTGGAGGCGGAGGAATTTGGGTAAAATATGTTTGCTTTGGACTCGTGGCTCGCGAGGCTGTGCCACGATCGCCGCGCCGCCTCGGCTTTTTCGGAGGAATAGAGTTTCTGCCAAGATGCAAGGGACGTCATCAAGGCTGAGCAAGGGGTAGAAGTACGGATACGTATCAGATACGAGACGATCGTCGAAATACGCATATTACCCGTGGTTTGAACCAAGAATTTGTTTGGTGTGTTATTTTAAGAGAGCTGCATAAGGTCCTTGCAAGATAGATTTCTCTTATGGCGTGCACCACGCAAGGCTGAAGGGCAACGCGGTGGCTTTGGGCTTTGGATTTAACCTGGCGCTATAATTTGAAACTCGGTACGGGTCTCAATTTGTTTTCGACAAACTTAGAGTCTCTAAGAATTCAATTATAATCTACTTAAGTTAAAGCTTCTTGTCCGATTTCTCTGCAATCCTTTTTGCCACCCCCTTCGCTTGAAAAGTGGGTTAGGTTCTCCTTTCCACCCTCGCTAAACGTCCAAATCCTATTCAAAAAAAAATATCAAAAAAAATAGGTGGTTAGACAGTCGGCTAATGATAACCCTTGACGATGATGCACGAGTTCTACTCAAGCCAGAATGGGCAAGAGTCTCTCTATGGTCAAAGTCTGCCGGTTTGTGAGAGCCCTCAATTTACTCCCCTTCGGGTGGTGAACAAGACATGTCCCGTCATCCAGGACCGTCCTTCTCTCAGAACCCCTCCGCCCTGGGAACTGTTCGGCTGTGCTGGACTCATTTGCATTCACCCGTCGACCAGAAAGTGCGACTTCACCACGAAGCCATTGCACCCCGCCAGGGATCGGTCTGCAGCTGGTATCCAGTAAAGCGGGTATCGAGTGGGCGCACCAGTCATCGCAGAAGAGATGGACTCAACTACTCGGACCCAACATCGAAAGATAAGAAGAACTGCCGCGACAGCCTTACAGACCACTCCCGTCACACCATCTAACCTAGTATTGGCGAAATTCTTATTCTAAACTATATTATAGGGAAAGGAATTTGTGCCGTAAGCGAGACGTTGCGAGGCTGGCTCACTTTCGCTGAGAGGGAGGGGAAGCAGAGTCACAGAGTTCAACTGCTCTTTCTAAAATCTAGGAGTTGATACTAAGCTACAATATCATTCATTCTTCGTCCCAGGCCAGCGTTCCTCGCCGTGAGGCTGCAGCAGTCATCTCATAAAAGGAGGCGAAGTCAGGATATTTTGAGAAAGCTAAACTCTTAGGAGATAGAAATATTGGGGCTTCAGCCGCCACCTCTCTGTAACAAGCAAGAATGCAAGAGACATCACCGTTTTGCAGGGCGATGTCAATGGCGTCTGATACACGTACCAATCGCTGAAAATCCGCTACTTCAAGCAAGAGTCGAGACGAAGAATAAGGACGGCAAGAACGAAAACAAAAATACGATGGGTAGAAAGTCTTCTAGTAAACGAAGTCAAGACTGACAGATAAAGCATCATCATACCCATTGACTTTTTTTCTATCTAGTTCATGTCCGATCCCAAAGTCAACCACTGATCTATAGGGTATCCGCAATCCCATATTGCGTCAAATCATCTCGTATTCGCTATCTCCAATACCAAGATATCCTGCGCCCCAACTTCCGTCAGCTCATCCATAACCGTCGCAATCTTCTTCTTTTCAACCATTGAACTGACAGCCACCCAAGCGCCATCGCCTTCCAGTGCGTTCACAGTCGGTGCTCGTTTTCCTGGAGTGATTTTCGTCGCTGCTGCAAGCTTTGTTCGCTCGACGTTGTATTGGCATAGGACGTGTTTTTGTGCAGCTTGAGAGAGTCAGTAAGTAAATGTTTAGGATGCAGAACAGAAAACTTACTAATAACCCCTCGTATTCTTGCCGCAACCAGTTCAACAGTATCAACATTCGTAGGATTCTTCGACTTAATGAGCACGGCGGTACTAGAGACAACAGTATCAATGGGTTTTAGCCCTGCTGCTTTCATTGTTTCCCCAGATTCTGCCAATGTGAGTGATCGAGCTTCAACGGGGAGAGGTGTACTTACCAACAAGATCCACAATTCCGTCAGCAACACCAAGGGCGCATGCGGCCTCAACACTCCCACTCAATTCAATAATTTTCGTCTTTAGTTTCTTCGACTTGGTCCCATTCGCGGCTTCCGCTTCCGCCTCCGCCTCCAGCGCAGCAAAATATTCCTCGGCCAAATGAACAAAGCTCGTCCCAATGTTCTTCCCAATCAAATCTGAAGGTTTTCCATATTGCCCCTTCTCAGGAACCTGCACCTGTAATTTGCAGGAGCCAAACCCCAAGTCCATAACCTCAACACAGCCACCCTCATCTTCTTGTGGTGTCGACTTCCCAGACTCCGCTTGTTCCTTTCTCAACGCAATAACTCCGGCTTCATGTTCAGCAACTGTATCTCGTCCCGTAATGCCAAGACTAACCCGACCCTCGCCAACGAAAGTGGGAATATCTGCCGCGGGAAGGAAAATGAGAGCAATGGGGAGGTTCTTCACAAGCGCAATATCGAGTCGATTTTCTCGTCGGAACTGGATATCTGCACCTTCAAGCAGATTCAATGCCGCTTGTAAAAGTCTGCCCTCTGTATTCCTCCATCAGTCCGCGTAAACTCAAGTTTCCAAGGTTGACTCACTCTTCGGCACCGCAAAGAGCAACCTCCCCTCTAAACTTTCAGCGCAGTTAGCAGTGACTCCCTCCAACTCTTCAGCAATAAAAGACGGCATCATGGACTCCTTACTGATTCACAAGATCCATCGTCGCTAGAATTGAGCTCTCTCCTCTTTTGTACGAGTCAGCAATACGTTGGCTATTTCTGGAAGGCTGATATACCCCGCGATCGGAGCCTTCTGTATCCTCTCTCCAGCCTATTGATGAAGGGAAATTGCGTCAGGCGGAACCTCGGTGTCACTGCGCAATGCACAAAATCACCGAATGAGGACTACACACGAGGCGTTGGGCCACAATGTATCTGCGCCCTTTGCGTGCACCGCAGATTCTTTTGCGGAACTCCCCCCACGTTTTGGCAATTTTTGTCCCGCGTCATGCCCGAGCATTGCGCTTTGCCTGTTACGTCTTAGCGGTGCTGCAAGGCCAATTCTGCGCTAAGGATTAGCGAGCTCTGAAATCCCACGACGATTTTTCTCGAAAAGAGGCATAATTTCGACGACATCGACTCCAAGCCAAACCACACCGAAATCACCTCGAATCCACGCGCATTCACAGTCAGTACATCGATATTGCAGGAACGAGGAGGAGACACTGATTGGAGCAGATCGCAAACATGGATACGTCAAAGGTCCCCGTTAAGCTTGTCAAGGTCACTCGTGTTCTGGGTCGAACTGGTACGTTTTCACGGTCGCGAGGAGGGGCGGAGATGGGGAATGGAAGGGAAAGAGGCTGATGATTGCAGGTTCGCGAGGAGGTGTCACTCAGGTCAGAGTCGAGTTCATGGACGATACCACCCGAAGCATTATCCGCAACGTCAAGGGTCCAGGTACGATTCCAGCTTTTCTTCCACATCATCGTCTTGAAATTTCGCAAATGGCTGCTTTCCCAAGCGGTTTAGAAGGAAGAGAGGAGAAATGCTAATATGTGGGTCCACAGTCCGCGAAGACGACATTCTCTGCCTGCTCGAGTCCGAACGTGAAGCCAGAAGATTGAGATAAGGGGAGGCGGCGTGCACACTGGGATATGGAGTGCGGGAAGTGATTTCTTTGATTCGTGAAAGCATTTGCTGCGGGGCTGTTTGTACCACGAGACGTTTGCTGAAGGGAGCCAAGGCACTTCATCACAATACAAGGCTCTTTAGGGAATATTTCGATATGTTGGCTGTGTGTGAGTGACATTCGAGTACAGCTAGAGTGGGATTCGGACTTGTTCGCAGGGTGGAGGTGGATTAAGGCATTCCTGGGCGTAAGAAATGGGGAAGAATTTCTCGAACTGAGTTTCAAATGGCAAGGAATAGCTTGATCAAGTGGTCTCTCTGCTTCTCAAGCTGTGGCGGCAGGGGGCGAAAGAGGGGGGAAGATGCATCTCTGTCCTGAGGAGCTTTCGTTCCGAATCCCCTGCCCTGGCGTCTCTCCTCCGGATATAAAGAATTTCCTTTTTCAATTAGAACCATTTTGACAGGCTTCGGGTTCCTCTTCAAAGCTCACTAAATACTGGCTGTTTCCCATCCATTCCAGCAATAACCAAAACGCTCTCGAGACTAGAGTCTTCAAGGTCCTTTCACACTTGCAAGTCATGGCACTCATCCTCTACACAATGTACCTCATCTCGCTTCCTGTATCACTCGATTTGCGCAAATATTCTGCGCCTCCAAACACTCATTATGCAACACGCACTCCTCCTTTCTCCACGCCCTCTTCGCAACCCTCGCCTCCGCCAAAACCCAATCTCTCTGTATCACGCCGCTCCACCTAGACCGCCTCCGATTCTTTGCATCCTTAATACACCCTTACACCACACGCCCTCCTCCGTCCAGCCCCTCTTCTCATCCAACCATGGAAACGAGGTACACCCTCTCAACGCCAAGCACTTCGGCAAATCCTCTAACGGTTCCAAATCTCCCAACTGTGGCATCCCCCTCACATTTGCTCGAAGATTTTCATCCTCGTCTAGGACGTCTGCAGAACTCAGTCGACGAGTACCTCTGTTGCGACTATCAACCTCATAATCCTCGCTCTGGACCCCAAAAACAAACTCGAGCATCTTCCCCTCACCACCATGGATCTTTACTGCCTCCGCTCTTGCTTCTTCGAAACTAACATAGATGCACTCTTTTCTCGAACCCCTTCCCTTGACACGCGGATTCAAAATCGGCGTATAGAGCTCGCGAAGAATTGCATTCTCAATTTCCTCCAAAATCCCAAAGTATCGCTCGGCGGCGCTGCGGAATAGAAGCCCGAAACTCGGATCCTCAAACACACAAGGATAACAAACCCTCCCTCCCTTCAAAATCGAAAAATAAAGACTGAAATTTCCACATAGCACACGATATCGGTTCTACCAATCCTGTAAAGATCTTCGCTATCGAGTGATGGTGAAGGGAGTTTGTGGCTTTGAGCGCTCTCGATGCTTCTCGCCATGGCAAGATCACTCTGTTGGAGGCGTACAGTATCCTCCCGAAGATGTTTGACTTTCCACGACGTGGCAATGGAATCCATATGCCCTCTTCTTGCGCTGTCCATCCCATGGAGTTTGATTCTCGGCAACCAAGTAGGGCGAAGAATAAATCAGGTTTTAGAGTTCCCAGCATGTATACGTTCGTAGATAGCCCTTCGCTAGTCCAGCTCATTTTCGGCGAACCAACCCTTTCAACTGTTCCACTCTTGGCAAAAGCGGCTGCAGACGGTGCGAGGGCGGGGAGGAAAAAAGTCTTCTGCGGATCAGGATTCTGAGGCGTTTCCCACCACGCAAGAAGGCTCTGGTCAGCGAGCCCCTGTCCAATGATCTCTTTTTGCAGCCGTTGGAAAGCTTTCGCACCTTCTCCATACAGCAGAGGCATTTGGACATCAAAAATACCTAGCAAGCAATATGCCTCATCTTCAAGAACGGTGGTAGTCCGCGCTGATGCCCATGACATCCTGACGGCGATTGAATAGTTCCTCAGAGGTTTAGGATCGTCCGTAAGTGCGTTGCAGTCTATATGCGCTGTCCGTGATATTGACTCTGCAGTAAGGCCCTGTCTGCAATATACATCCACTCTTGCGAATAGAATTGGACTTTACAAGGCGCCAAAAGCTCTTGAAGAGTCCATCCTCGAGTAACATTCGCTACGGAGGAAAGCCGAAGCCCCCGCCCCATTGATACCATTCAAGTCCGGAGAAGGATCCAGGCCATATCGTTGTAACTCATCTAAATCCGACCGAAAGAGCTGGGGCACGTCGTTTAAATAAGCATAGCAGATTTGAGAGTCGCGATACCAGGAAAACATCGAGTTGATCGCCTCTGACAGCTCAGCCGAACTCGTTTTATCGATGCAGTTGGTGTCGCACCACAGATAGTCGAGATTGTCACGCTCGGCTTGTTCACATGCGTGGATTATCTTAAGAAATCCCTTTTTGTGCTTGATTTCGTCGCGGCTATGTTGCCAATCATAAAATGAGACCTCTTGATCTTCCCACCTATGCGAGAGAATGGCATAGTGCGGGATGTCGCAGCCATAGTGCTGCTCTAAATCTCGTGTTTTGACATTGATGAGACGCATCCTGCAATAGTAGCAATAGTAGCAATAGTAGCAATAGTAGCAATAGTAGCAATAGTGGCAATAGTAGCAATAGTAGCGTGTAGTGAGAGACAGCCTTTTCAAAGATTGGGATGGTGGTGACGAAGGGAAATGGGCGAAACGACAGCTGGTTGTGGGTGGAGTCCTCCATTTTACTTGTTATGACCTTGGGGCATCGGAGGGGGGGCCCGCGCCGCGCCGAAAGAGGCTGCCGATCCGAACAGGCGAAACCACCCCATGCCAAGACGGGCCGAAGACGGGCACGCGCTGATCCATCCCATCTGTCAATACGAGCGGTTTGGAAATCGGGCGCTATTTGGGCTAAGCGAGGGGCCCGATTCGCTAATAAAAAGGCCTAATTTTAAAATAATATATAACTTTCTAATAAAAAGCAAAGGCTAAATTTTAATTAAATAAAAAACATTAATGCTTATAAGAAACTTAGAGGAGTATCACCTAGATTAAATTCTATTAAAGATAAAAAGATTTATATAATTATATATTTTAAAAAACTATTTTATAATTAAAATTATATATAGTTCTAATAAAAGACTTTAGCTAAAATTACTTAAATAGTATTATTAACTAAGTCATTTTTAATAGATCCTACTAATAGAATTTTATTAATTTATTAATTTGAAAATATTATGATATTTTCAAAATTCGCTCGTATCCGACCTCGGATTTATGAACCGGAGCTCGCTTAAGTAGACGATTAAGCAATCGGGCCCCTCGCTTAGCCCAAATAGCGCCCGATTTCCAAACCGCTCGTATTGACAGATGGGATGGATCAGCGCCCTGGTCAGTCGTGATACACACAAATCTGGCCCGAAAATCAACGTTTTCTATAATAACTCCTATAATAATTGCAATTAGATTTTTACAATTTTGTGGAGTATAGCTTTATAAACTACGTATCGTTTGATATAAGTTTTAAAGGGAAGCCGGGTGTGCTGCTGTTAACAAATTAATCGGGGGGGTTAAGTTTCAGGTTCGATTCGCAACTAAATTTGGCGGGCGTGGACGGAGCATCACAATGAGATTGACGAAGGTGCGAAGGCAGCTTTACAATTGGAGTAGCAACGTATCAGCGAGCGAGCCAATTGACATTGCCCTCGCATACGTCTCAGACTTCTTCGCGCCTGAAACTTCTCTCTCTACAAGTTTATGCAGAGTAAAAGTCGTACCGCCCTAAAGACCAACCCCCTGTAAAAAATAATCCCAAGCGATGTATCCTCGGAAGCCTGCAGAAACTCTAGTATGAATTCAAGTTCCCACTGATCATTTCCTGGAAACTTACACGTGAGACGTGTTTTGTAAAACTCCTACGAAGCTGGATACCATCCTGATTGATGCCAATCAATGACCGCCGTAATGCGGGGTATTCCATTTGCGTCTTGGGATACCAGATGTTGCTGCGATGCAAATCAGCATGCGTGAAGACAATGGGGATGTCATCAAGTAATCCGGAACGCCAAGGACCTAGGTCTACATTTAGACCCGGAGGTGCACCCCTCCTAAGCGTCGCAAGCCAATCATTAAACGCTGCAACGGCTGTAAATGGGCCGGCTGGGTGCCTGAGTTGGAACATGACATCAAGCAAAGGCTCTTTCTTAATGTCTCCTACAGATGCGGCGAGCCTCTCCCTATTGGAAATTCTAGTTCAGCGTACCGATGAATGGGGAACTTGTATCTTGTTTGAGCAGGCACAAATTCTCGAGAAAGTTATATTAAGAGTAAAAGAATTAATTAAAGCTCGCTGGAAAAGAGCTCTAAATAATGTTTCCTGTAGAAAGCGAAATTGGTTGCGTTTGAACTTTGAAAAGTCTCGGTCGATCTATGCCAATCTGTCTGCAACTATGCCCAATTATTATTTTGAACCTCTGATAGCCGGCTTGCAGGACCTCATCACTTCACCTTCCCATCTAAGGGATACTCCACCACAAACCAATGGTGGCCCTTACCACCAATCTTCCCCTTCGAATGGAAGATCCCCTGCCCATCAAACCATTGCTCCTTCTCCTCAAGCGCAGAGCAATAAGCCAACTGGTCTCGATATTTCTCACATGCTTCCCCCGCGGGTTCTTGTTTGGAAAAAATACCAATAACAAACAACCCACTACCACTCCTATCAACTGCCAGATACATTTTATCATCTCCTTCTTCTAGAGCTGTGAATTCCTTAGGCAAGACCTTAACCCACGCCCCGTCAACTCTAATCTCACTCGTCCCATTCTTCCAACTCCTCCTCATCACCTTGGATCTATGCCCAAAACTGCTCTGGATATCTACAATCTCGCTCTTCCCAACTCCCCACCTCCCAACATATCCTTTTGCACATTCATTCGCTCTCTCAAGCTCGCTATACACTCCGACGATGCCCTCCAAACTGTCCGAGTCCCCTGAAACTTGAACGACATATCTGAAGGTCTGCTGAGGGAATTCCTCAGTCAATCCCTGGAGCGGTGATGTTGCTTGGGGTTTGGGCTGTACTGGACTCGATAGCGGCCGACTCGACAAGGGAGCCGCACTGGGTACTGGTTGAGTTGCAATAGCAGCCGAGTTCGATCTCTTGGTATAGTTTCGTGGATTTCTCTTAATCTCCCTGGGCGATGCAGGGGTGGCACCAAGCTCAGCTCTCGCTTGAAACTGTATCGCCTTTCCCCCATCTGCGATCTTGGGTAGTGGCCTCAAAGGAGTATATACCGGGAAGGCCAGTGGACACTTCGGTTGAGATTTCGACGGTTGGGACTTTGACGATTGAGATCTTGAAGGCCTATTTGGGACATTGATCGGATTTGTTTTGAAAATCTGGGGGTTGAGTTTGGATTGAGAATTAGCAGCCTTCGTGTTCGTCTTGTTTAACTCGGCCTTCGGGTTTGAAAGATGTGGAGAGGGACTAAGATCTAGACTCCTCATTGAGGCCACAATATCTGCTGGAGATGCCATGATAGCGGTAGGAGAATTAGATAGATTTTTCGTCACTTAAACAGATAGAGGATTATAAGATAACGAGCACCTTGCAAGAATAGAGGTTGAAGTCAAAGCTGATAAGCAGATCAAGAAGTGCTTGTGGGCAACATATCGAAAAGCGGGGTAATGCTAAGGCCAAAACCAATCCTCAGGCAATAGAAGCCCGTGACGCTCCAGCAATCACGACTGTCGTGTGACAAGACCCTCAGGCAGAAGTCCGCACTTCAGTTGCACCTTACGGTGGGAATATATAAAACGAACCCCCCCGCCCCTCCGGGTGTCGATTGGGGCATCAATTGGGGGGCAGCGTATTTAGAGACCTTAAGTTAGATTTTCAATATAAGTACACGCTAGTATATTATAAACTTTATAATATAATTAAGTATTTCTGAAATTATAATAAAGAAATTCCTAAAAATAATATATATATTAATTAATTAAGTTCTAGTTTTAAAGACTTATAAGGCTCTTATATCTAGTTTAGGGACTTATTTGCTAAATTTCTAAGCTTTCTTAAGCTTATTTTTAAGTTATAAAATTTAACTTTTTCAACTTTTTTAGTTTAAAGAACTATTACTATTTAATATTTTATAATAAAATATGTATTTAAATAGCGCTATAAGAAGATAAAGAAAGTATTAACTTTTGTTACTTTCTTATAAAGTAAAATAAATTTAAAGAGAAAGCTAAATTTTTGGTATTCCTGTCCGAGCGCCTCTACTTTGGTCCCTCCAGCCCCCAATCAACACCCGGGGGTTTGCCGTTTTACATTTTCCCAAATTTTGAGTGATCAAACGTAAGCTACTTCGTAGTGAGGTGACAGTGAGCTGAGAAGCGTGGTGAGAAAGTGATGTGGAAATGGAGGATTACTAGACAGGGGCGGAAGTTGGGTGGTTGGGAACTTAGTAGTACAATAGGTCACAAGTTCCCTGTTTGGCTGACCCAACTGCAGATTCCAGGCGCTCCAGACCCTGTAAGTCGGCGCAGCCGGCTCCACTCCCTGCAGCAACTTGGTCTAGCAGCCAATGAAGCCTGACCGTGATAATGATGAGATAGCACACCATATCGCACCAATACGGAGGTAGTCAGCCTACAAGGCTCGGCCCTAACACGACTGCCATCCGCCCCCGCGGGTGTGGCGGGCTGGTGGCGGGCTGGCGCGGGGCCAAGGACAGCGTTTAGAGGCAACAATGCAAGTGCAAGGAGCCGCTAGAAGATCTGCATGCTTCCAGGATCCAGGTTTCCCTCCAAGGATTGTTACTGCTTGGTATTAGATAAGGCCCTGCATGCAACTACTATTAAACTTGCAAGGTCCGCAAACCCTTCCTTCCTTCTTTCCTTCTTCTCCAGACCTCAAGGTATCCCTCGTATCTTTAATATTTGATACCATCCAACCACACCCCAGCGATGTCTGCTATTCACGAATACCCCGCTGAGAGTGTCGACAAGAAGGAGAAGAGGGAATACGCGGTCGATGGCCTTGAGGCCGGCGATGAATCCGATGGACATCTTTCCTTCACTGCATTGATTCAAGAAGGTGAGAATTGATGCAAATTCCTAAACATAGAGCCTCACTGACAGTTATTGTTTATAGACCACAAACATGAGATCAAGCTCCGGACGATGTCGTGGCAGAAAGCCGCGTGGCTCCTCGCCGGAGATCAGGTCTGTCTTGCTATTATGGCGCAGACATGGTCACTCTCGTAAGCTTTCACTGGTCCAAAGCTCAAATACAAAGCTAACAGATATCTCAATAGCGTGTTAGGATGGGTTCCCGGCATCATAACCATGGTGGGAGCTGGCATCCTCTTCTGGATCACCTCAATCACTATGCACAAATTCATCATGAAAAACCCCCAGATCAAGGATATCTGTAAGCGCATCCCATTTCCTATGCACCTATCTACAAGACTGATAACATTACCCCAAATAGGTGACTTCGGATACGAGGTATTCGGAAAGAGCAAAATTGCCTACGAATGGACCGGATTCATGCTTCTGGCCAATAACATCCTTCTAATCGGTTTCCATGTTCTCACCGGAGCCAGGGTCCTCAACACCCTATCAGATCACTCGCAGTGCACTGTTGTCTTCTCAGTCATTTGCACGCTGATGGGTATTGTGATGTCCCTGCCAAGGACCTTGAAGCATGTCTCTTTTATGTCGATGTTCTCAGGTGAGTGGATACAACACTCGCCCCTATCCACCCCAGGCTTGCTGCTCACTAGTTGAACACAGCTGCTTGCATGGGTATAGCTATCCTCCTCTTCCTTGTCTTTGCTGGCATCGAAGACGCACCCCTCTACGGCTACAACGGCGACTACCCCACCGACGGCCTAGTCCGCACCTACACCTTCCCTCTCCCGGGCACAACATGGGTGAACTGCATGAACGCCGTCCTCAACATCACCTTCCTCTGGGTCCCGCAAATCCTCTTCCCAACCTTCATCTCCGAGATGGAACGGCCCCAAGATTTTCCTAAGTCCCTCGCAGTTTTGACCGGAATCTCTGTCTTTCTATTCATTGTTCCCCCGTCGATTGGATTCAGATACCTTGGCCAATACTCCACCGCCCCTGCCTTCGGTTCCCTCGGAGTTGTGGCTTATAAAAAAGCTTCCTTTGCCTTTGTAATTGTGCCTACACTGGTGATTGGTGTTATCTACGCCAATGTTAGCGCAAAGTTCGTCTACTTCCGTATTATGGGCAAGTCGCACCACGCACACAGCAACACCGTGATCGGCTGGGGCGTCTGGGCCGCCGTCATGGCCGGAATCTGGATCATCGCCTTCATCTTCTCCGAAGTCGTTCCCAGCATGGGAGATTTCCTCTCCCTTCTCGGCGCTGCTTTCGATTCGTTCTTCGGATTCATCTTCTTCGCTGTGGCCTACTGGGAGATGTATAAGAGGGAGTTGTTTAAGGGGCTTGGAAGGTCGATTATGACTGTCATTCATGTGTTTGTTATGGCGGTTGGGTTGTTTTTGCTGGGTCCGGGATTGTACGCAGCCGTTGAGGCTATTATTGGGGATTACTCCGGTGGAACGAGACCGGCGTTCAGCTGTGCTAATTTGGCTATCTGAGGAATGAATGGATTAGAGTGAAAGGAATACATATACCCCGCTTACTTGAACTAGGTTCGAGAAAAGGGAGGATTAAATATTTTAGAGAAAGTAATACAGATAGCTCGAATGAGGGAACGGTGGAAACAGTCTTGAGTCAACACTCGTGTTGCTTGATATATCAAGGGGATCATCACAAAATCTCATGGCCAGGAACTACAGAAACTGGATTTGAAAATGGAAGCCAAATCTCCTCTTCTCTCCGGAATCTGACGCTATTTGCGCTCCAAAATGGATATACGCCCAGCTATTCAACCTCTGTACCTCCGACGCCTGCATATTCCATCGACCTCAGTTCCTCAGAAACTCCTTGACCGCCTCCCCCCACACAACCCCCCTTTTGTAAAACATCATCTCCGGCACACTCCCTTCCTTCAACCCATCAATCGCCATTGCCAACTCCTTACCCATCCCCTCCTTCTTAATCTCTCTAATCGGATACATATATGTCTTGAACGCAAACACCAGTGCCCTACTCTCTGGAAGTCTATGCAACGTCTGCCGCTCACATCTCAGGAAAGTCTATTTCCCGTCAGACCAGCATTGAGGGAAAGGGGCAAACAAACATTATTTATATCCACCACCTCATCCTCCGGCACCTCCCCTTCATAAAGATGATTCCCTCCACCCACAGCATACAACCTCTCATGCGTCGTAATACTCCAATTGCTCCTCAAAACCACCTTCCCCACCTCAAGTCTATCAAAGAAACGATCCATACTCTTTTCTAACTTGGTTTTGTAGCCTGGAACAGGAGCGTGGATATCCCTTAATTTCTTTCCGAATTTCTCGAGGGTGTTGAAGCCCGCGGGAAAGCAGGTTACGTAACCTCGGAGTTTATACCCGTCTCCGTCCTCAGAAGGGAGGAGGAGGAGGAAATCTTCGTCCAGGTTTTCACCTAGGATTTCTAGGGTTTTGACTGGGTCCGAAGGAGGCGCGAGAGCGAGGGAGAGGGATGTTGCGGTATTGTATAGAGAGGCTGGGAAGAGAGTAAACAGGGTGGGAAACCGGGTTGGCAGGTAAGTGCCTACGAGCCAGGTGTACAGTTCGTTTACTGCGGGGGTTATGGAAGGATGGGCTTGGATTGCTATCTCTTGGTGATCTCGTATGATCTGTTTGCGGAGAGACAGGCGGGAGAGATAGTTGCAGTCTATTTGGATGAGTTCGGAGAAAGTTGTGTTTGTGAGGCCTGTGGGGGCCGTTAATGAGGGGTCGTGCGTGGTAATAGAGAGGTAAGAAAGGACGACTTGCCCATTGTTAGATGGTATTTTGATTTGAAATTTCGGAATTTTAAGGGTGGGGTTGTGCGCCAGTTGAAGTCTAGTAGGGGCTCAATATGATAGGGCTCGATAGAGGCATCTTTGCTGTCGAGTGGGGAGTATTGAGTGATCTGTTGAGGAAGTCAGCGAACTGCCGCTCAAAAGGTCCTTATTTTCCGAGAAAAAGTTGAGACTTATGTAATTGATCGAAATGAAGGAAAAGGCGAAATTCCATAATGGTCTCGTACCTCATATTTTAGCCCCCGTCGAATTAAAGACCTGAGATGATAGTGGCGAGACACCCAGATGGCAATGATGAAAAGTGAAGCCATCGCGAACCCCAAATGTAGGAGGTCCATGACGTAATGAGTATCCAAATCATCGACCTGAAACAGAATGTTGAGGCGGCTTTAAGATATATATTCTTGACAGTTGAGTCAATTTGGCGATCATCTGAAGCTATGAGCGGAGGATGTTGCTCGCATAGACCTACCAAATTTGGAATTCAAAAATGGGGGGATCATGTGATCATGTGATCATGAAGGTATATTAGTTGCGAATACCTTCCCTCTAGACTCGTGGAATGCAATCTTACAATCTTGAAGTCTTCCGTTCTGGAAGCAGATTTTGAAACAATAAACTTTCATAAATTCAAAGAACCATGGCTTCTCATCTATCCGGGCTTCATTTACACGTGTTCTTCCCCTTGCCTTGAGAGCACGACGAACTCGTCACCGGCGTCGCCATCTTCGCCTTATCCTCCGATCTCGCACTAGTCGTCGTTTTCAGTTTATCCTCACTCTTCGTCGTAGTCCCAACCGTCGTAGACTTCACCGTAGTAGCCGTGGTACTCGTCTGAAGCGTTGTTGGGGTAGTGCTCGCCGGTGTCGAGGACTTCGAAGAAGACGGAGGGTTCTTATAATAATCATCAAGCGCCTTTTCAATTTCGTGAGAGTCAGGATATGCGTCGAGATTTTGGAAATAGGGGAGCAGGACATCTTTTACTTGGGAGAGGTCGGTCCCGGTATAGGTTTTTGAGCGGAAGAGGGATGCCATGGGGTCGTTGAAGGAGATTTTTTGGGGGTAGCCGTAGGTGGAGAGGTCGACTTGGGAGACGTTGAAGGCGGCCATCATGTCGTGATCTTCGTGGACGAGGTTATGGCAGTGAAACTAGATGAATTCTCAGGACATTGTGGGGAGTTTCACGAGCTTTCGGGCTTACCATGTAGACCCCTGACCAAGGAGCAAAGTTTGCAATGACGTCAACTTGTTCTAGTCTCTTTTTAGCAATGCGGTTCGTGGGTAGGACTTGCGAGCTTACCATTGGTACCCAAGTAGACCACGTCTTTGAGGGCGGCTGCTTCGTATGGTGTGACTCCTTGTCGACCCGATCCAGTCCGTGCAACTACCTGAAAGTCGATGAGATGGATATGAATTGGATGGCTCCATCCTATGACCCGAGTCAGTGTTGACCTCAGACATCTATCCAGAAACTCTTGGAATCTTACCGCCACCCTTGTTAACAAGACGCCATCGCTGGGTTTTACCTTGCGACGGGTATGCAATGACACGATTCTTCACATCTTCAAATCCAATACCATTGATCAACCATTGGCCGCCACTACCTTTCCCGAATTCAAAAGTCTTATCGACTGTAGTCTGCGGATTTGGAATGACAAGATCAGACAAGAGACTAGGAATATCCCCGTTCCCATTCGAAGAGCTCGTACTTGTCCCGACCACGAATCGAAGAACTTTGTCAGTGGCCGGATAATCTGGGTTTGTTTGGAAGTTGCGATCATTCATCAGGGTCATGTTTTGACCTTTGTATTTATCGAAGTCGATCACGATCTCGTATCTTTCGGCCATGGCAATCACCAGGTTTGTGGTGGGTACTGGGTGATCAAGATAACCCGCATCAGCACCGACGACTGTGAAAGGAAGTCGAGTCTTGGGATTAGAATCAGCTACAAGATAAAGGCTGTAACTCCTCGAGATTGATGCATCCACTAGACGGAATTTGTACTTTCGATTTTCGACATTCATGTATGGCCATGGCTGACCATTGACGGTATTTACATCACCAAATAAGCTGTCTCGTTCATTCTCCGGAGATAATAGTTTCCCGCTAGGAAGGAACTGCTTACTCGCCAGCATGAGAGGCACATCGTAATCACCGGATGGGAGTTTTAGTTTGTCTTGAACGGTGGAATCTGAGAGAATGTAAAAGCCAGCCTGCCCGAAGTATGCGTTGACGGCGGTGATGCCAATTGCATGGTCGTGATACCACAAAGTCCTGACAGGTTGGACATTTGGGTAATAATAGTCTTTATATTGACCCGGTCCTGTGACGTCTTCAGCCCATCCGTCAAATGGGGTTCTCGAGTAAGACCTTTTAATCTTGAGCAAAGTCTCGTGCCGCAAGGAAGGGACTCGGTGACATACCCATGAAGATGAATAGACGAGGGCCGATCATATTTGTTGACGAATCGGACAACAGCCTCTCGGCCGCGTGTCATATACAAGGTAGGACCAGGTGCGATTCCATTATAGCCCACAAGGGTTGTGGTCCCCAGATTTGGATAGACCTGCTTTTCAAACGATCGAATATCAAGTTCATAGAAGTCGATAGACTTTCCGGTCGTTTCATTGGTATAGGTTGCCGATGGTGGTAAAGGCGGAGGTATGGGGAGAGGGAATTGGAATATGTATTTGTATCTGAGCAAATGTCAGTGATCGGTCGTGATGTGTTGTCCAAGCTTCGACAGCCATGAATCAATTAAAATCAAAAGCCTTTGACAACTTGGGGAGAAAGCAAAGGCGCCGGCCAAGCTTGGGCATAAATGAAGAGACAGGGTTAAATCAACAACTGACGTACTCAGGCGATACCCAGGAATTGATACCTGCCCTTACAGTACCCGCCAAGACAAGACCCCAGAGAATCGAAGCTTGACGAAGCATGGTGAGCTGGTTTGAGTGAGAAGTCTCGTGAATGAAGCCGCAATATCTGAGCGAACTGATGAGACACTTGTCGAGTAAGGAGAAATTGAAATATATACTCGGCCAAAGGAGCCAGAGCTACAGCATATGGAATACTTCCAATATCATGGCGTATCTAAACGTATTCCATTGTCATGTTCTCGAAAGCTTGATCCACAAAAATGCTCGAGATTCGAGCTGAATTCTTGGCCCTGGCCGTGCCGCCGGTCTAGGTGCGCAGGCTGGGGAGAATATGCTGTGATTTCCCGTGTCTGGAGGTTTGCAGACTTTGAGACAAAATATTTTCCTCTCCAGCGATGCATGCAGAATGAGATGGCGATTGCTAGCAGGCTCGCCAGCCGGAGAGATTCTGGTCCGTCGGCTCCTCCCATGGCATCACAGTTCCTGACATCTCAAAATAGGCCGTACCGACTGCGGTGGCGATAGGGAAGGTGTCGGCTGATGCTCCATGGGGTCCTTGTGGGTCCAAGAAAGGTAGAGTGCGTCTGCAGTCGAGTGGTTTTCCGGGCAATTCACACGATTCCCAGGTTGCAGGCTTGCAGCAGCCATGCACTTGTTCCAATAGCTTGCTGTTGATTTTAAAAGTAGTCTTTTGAGGGGCCTGTCAATGGTGGTGGGTTGTTTGTTCATGATGCCAAGTGGTCCAGAACTCAAATCTTTCCCTCGAAGCTAACCACTCCAGGTTTAGCTTGGGTTATGTAATAAACGATATTTTGACGTCTTGGTCACGTCCCCCCATCACAATCCATCAACAACAATGTCGTTGGTGGTTTCGACGGCCCAATTGATCATGATGTCTCGAGTTCTCGCGTCCACGAGACTGCCAAGCTGCGCGTACGGGGAAGTCTCTCGATATTCAGACGCCGACAGCGGGCATTCAAGCCTTGATCCGGATCCGGCCTGGACGTGACAACCTTTCATACCACGGTGACGTGAACAGTCCAGATTCGTGGCTGATGGATCTGAGGCAACGTTACAGATCTTTTTCTGACTCTTTATAATTGTCAGGTAAGGCATTTTGAAAGCGTCATAATCTCATTTTTGGCTTGTATACAAAGCTGTCTCAATTCCTCTGTAGGTTGTGAGCAGCTACTTCCCTCAAGTGTCAAAGTATACGGCAGATCCACATTTCATCATGCATATCAACTTCTTCGTGGGAGTTCTGATTACTCTCGTGTGCGGCGTCTCTTTTGGTTTAGGACAAGTTCCATATGATCCAACGCCGTTCAACATCGTTGGCACTATCAATGGGTGCGTATCAAATTTGTTGGGGTCGCCTTCTGCTAACTTGGGCTCGATAGCATGACATTAAATGCAGGTGGTCCCTTAGCAGGGGGTTCGATCATTGTAGATGGCCAAATGATCACGGTTCCAAGCAACCTTCTTGCCACGCTTCCGTCAGTCAGTGTTGCTTGGGGAGAGCTCTTCAAAAATGGAGTCGCAAATTTACCGGGCGGTATCTCATGGGAAGCAAATGCGAGTTCTTGTGGACGTCTCATGAAGTTATGTGCTAACAGACCTAGGTGATTGGGAATCGTGTCAATGGTCAATTCATCGCGGGCTTGGTTTACATTTCCCAGCGATCAACCCAAACAGTCCAAGGGTTCATCACCTCAATCGATCTCTTGACTGGCCATTTCAAAATCAACGGCGATGCAACAGGCTCAGGGGGCATTGATTGCGTGATTAATGATCCTGTTGGCCGTTACGGACGTCCCTATACTGCAAACCCTCTTTGGGCGGCGGACACGGATAATCCAAGCATCCACGCACAGAATGGTTTTCCGATGTGCATTCCTAGAGACAGTTCCGACCTGCTCTGTCCATCCAAGAATCGTCCGCTGAACTCAGCTGGTGCTCCACTATCCATTTAGTAAGTTCTGGGTCTTCGACAGAGCTGCAGATGTATCCTTATTTCTGACAGTCAACAGCACCTTCAAAGACCCTTCTACTATTACAAGCTCTGATCCAGATGCCCGGTTGATGGCTCCTCTTCTTGTTGGAGACTATGTTGACCTTTCCGGGACTCTGACAGGGTCCGGGCTCCTTGAAGTTTACAGTCTGAACGCCAATCTACAGTTCTTCACCGCACCGGGCAAAACGCCCGCATATCTGTGGTGTGAAGAAGCAATCTACGGCCTTGTCACGAATCAAGGAGGCGAAAATGGGGAGACTCGAGCGGTGGTATGGACCTCTGACCCCACCACACCAATTCAATGGTTTGCCGTCGATGTCGACCCTTGCACCGGAAGCGTGACTGAGCGTAACCTTGTTCTGCAACAACCTACGACTGTCGCTCCGACAGGCAGAGCCGTCTATCGACTTGGCACTACCAACGCCAGCCCTGCAACACGGCAAGTGGGCTTTCGCCTCCGCACCGGGACCTCACTCACATCCAATAACATCACTGCAGGGCAATATTTCCAGCCCATCTTCGAATACACTTTTCCCGAACTTACAGCATTTGGGACCCCGGTTTTCCCGAACCTCTTCGATGTTATTCCTTACCTTTCTCAAGGATCCGGTCCGTACATTCCAGGATCCTTTGAAGTACCTCCTCCGGCAAGTGAAGTGATTGTAGGACAACTGAGCCCTTGGCCCGGTGCTTCGGCACCCGCAACTACGTCTTGTGCACCAAGGCCAACTTCCACGATAGCGCCACCTTCTACTCTGACCACAACCACCTCAGCTCCTGCCACAACCACTTCAGTGGTTCCCAAAGACACAATAACAATTATTTCGGCGTCTCAGAGCTCCACCAGAGGAGTAATTACGGTGACGGCCAGTGCGTCAAGCAACAACCCTAATGCACTGCTCTCGATGGCTGTTGCTGGTTCCAACCCAATTTCCGCCACGGCGATGACCAAAAGCGGATCAACATTTAGCCTGAGTATCAGTGTGAAGAGCAAAGGAACCAGCGTCACGATCACGAGTCAGTTCGGAGGATCAACAACAGTTGCAATCAAGTAGACTTAGGTGTTTCAACAATTCTCGTCATAAAAATTCAGCCTTTCAACTTCGCTTCAGCTTGATTCCTTGATTACCCTTTCTGTTTTCCTTACTTATCTTAGGGCCTGTGTCTCAACCTTCAAATACTAGCTTTCAACTATTAGAAATAAAAGCGTTTTATATATATTTATATACTAGTAATTATTACTTTTATAAGATTTATATTTGATTATAAAAATTATATTTGATTATAAAAATTATATTTGATTATAAAAATTATATTTAATTATAAAAATTATATTTAATTATAAAAATTATATTTTATATAAAAATTAGTTTTAATATAAAAGAAAAAAGTAATTTTTTTAATTATAGTATACTTTTATAATAAATAAATCCTAAGCTTTAAAATTTGTAATTAAAGCTTATTTTATTTAAATATGTCTTTAAATATTAATAATTTATTAATATTTAAAACTAATATTTATAAGATATAAGTACTTAATAATTAATATAATTATAAGAGTTTTAATATTATTTCTATTAACTTATTTATTTTTCATTTTTAACTTTATTAATTTCTTATTTTTCATTTTCTAATAATTAATAATACTTATAACAATTAAGTATTAATGTTACGTGGTACCACTGCACGTGACTTAGCGTGTAGCCAGTGCTTTTAGCCTGGCAGGCAGCCTTCAGCTCAATTCAAGCTCTTTACCACCACTGCAACATCACCTTATCGTGACAATTAATATCTTGCAAAACACTTTTAATCTATATACAAAGTATATACGAGCTTTGAATATCGAGTATTAAAAGCTAGTAATAGTTATTGGTAATTACTAGCAATTAAAAGACATATGATCGTACAAAACAGGCCCTTAGACTTGTCTCAAGTTATTGGCGTCCAGTCCCCAGGTTATGGTGCAAGGCACCAATCGGCGTGTCAAGATATTCCTTGTTTCTTTCAGCCAAACTTGGCTCTCCGAGTACTCAATACGAGGATGCGCATGAGATAAGGATGGGATGCAAGTCCCTAGCGAGCGATGGCGCTTTTTTGCAATCCCAAAAAGTCAAGATTTCCCTTGGCGGCGCCGTGCGCGAGACCTCGCCAAGTGCTTGGCACTCGTGGCTTGGGACGGAGGAATGTCAAAGTATTCCGTTTTCGTCTAGTTATGCTTGGGCGGACCTGTCATATCCTAGTTCCCCTCACCAAATATATTCATGCTCTCTCAAGCCGGATCTCTTGGACCGTGTTTGGGAAGCCTCGCACGATTTGCGAATGGAGCGGCTGAGTTCAGCACCAGGCCAAGCTTCCACCCAGTCCCATCAATTCGACGATGGCGAGTTTCTCGGCTTCCCTTTCACAAGCTTCGCGATGGACGGGAAAGCGGCCCTCCTTTGCAACATTCCAAGTCAAGCTGGGCAATGCAAATGCTTCCCCACTCAATGTACACATGCGATATTGTACCTTAATGTCTACTCCTTTCAGTTGTTGTTGGAAATTCTAGAATATCAGTTCCTGCACCGCTAGAGTTCAAATGAATGCCCATGGTTGACTTGGGACATTGAAAATGAGTACCGATTCTTCTGTCCACCCTTTCGGGTCCTTGCGGGGTCCTCCAAGACGTGATATGCAGCATTTAGCGCAATCTGGATTTACCCGTTAAGTAAGTCCCGGATTCCCTCAGGAGGGAGGATCGCGTCGATCTCCCGTTGGTGATACTGGACTTGGTAGCCTGTTGTCCCGTCAGACAGGTTGTGGGGTCCCGACCGAAAGACCTTCTCCAGTAACTGGAGTTGTGGCGACAAGCTGACCCGGGAACCCCGCATGCCAAGCGTCGAGACGCCCCACAGCAGCCAATGCTCAGCAAAGTTGGGAACGAGCCGATTGGCACAGCCCTCCACTTCCAGTCTGGCTCTTTCTATGGATCTTGTTTCTTCATCTTGGGGACGTGGCAATCGCTGTTAAGGGACACTGTGAATGGATCGTTGGGCAGGGCTACGAGCTATTTCTTCTTTCTTTCTTTCGTTTCCAAGCAAGGTATTCCAGCATTCGTTGATTCTCATGTTTTAGTCAAGCTTTTCTCTCGCCTCCGAGATCTGCGCAAGGCAGGTCCCCGTCACAGTCCTTCCCAGTGGCGGCACAAGAGCGGCTGAACACTTGGCCCATGACCCACATTAGTGCCGTGGGGTCAACGCCAGTCCTCAACTAACTTTCTTGTCAAGCGAATCGAATCGGACAGCAGGCTATGGAGGCTAAGATGGCTGAGGAGAGAAGCACTGAGGATCCCATAAGGCGAGGGCATCGAAGCAAATCGAAAGCAGGCGAGCTTACGACAACACCACCTCAGTCTTTCATTCGTGACCGTACAACATGGAACCAAGACCTAATTATTTCCCGTTGCCTGCACGCGGAGGTACTCAAGGTGCTGGCTGGGATGTAAGTCACGCCCCTCAGTTTGTTACTGCTTTGCTAATCCCACACAGCACCAATGGAGCAATTCCGCGTTGGGTTGGGAGATGTCAAGATCTATTGATATTCCACTTTTGCAATATACAACGGCAGCCCTTGGGTACCCGCCAGGAATGTCATACACCCCACTCGAATCTCCCCACTCGAATTACACCGCATCTCTACCATCGATAACCAACAGTCCAAACAATGCAACCTTTCCATCTGACGCAAGATCGGCTAGAGTGGAGCCAATTATTCCTGTTTATGATGGCCGATATCCACCATCCAACGCCCCATTACAAAAAGTCGATCGCGCCGGCAACTGCGACGATGAAGAAATGGTCGAAGTGGATCCAGATGATTACTCTTGGAGCCCGAGTTTAAGGAAATGCGATCCTGTTCCGAAATTGACGTCGAGACCGGCGCATCGGAGAAGCAAGTCTACGACCGAGGCCTCGCTGAGTAATGCAAGGAAGGCACATACTGTCGTGGAGAGAAGTATGTTCCATCTCCGGCCGACACTTGTCTTCACCTCCCACTCTATAAACCCGCTCATCCTTCCCTCGATGTATTTCTAGTCAATTCCAAATTGCTAACAGATCCCCTGTAGACTATCGCGACCGATTAAACGACAAAATCTCCGAGCTTGGACTGTATCTCTTTGAAACGCCTGCCGACTGTAAGCTCCCCTGAACCCTTACCTCTTTCCTCCCCAAACTAATTCCTTCCCACACTCTCTACTTTCAACTTCCAGTTATGGAATCCACCCAGCTAACATGGTCAACCAGCACGTACCAAACCATCAAAATCCCTCATCATGACCCGAGCCAAAGAAAGACTACAGCAACTTGAAGCTCGAAACGATGTTCTAGAGAGGGAGGTTGTAAAGCTGAAGCAGCATATTGCTATTTTGGATCATATTGTTGGGAGGCAAGGAGGGGTAGGTATTGCAGGGGAGTGAGATAGCTCTTGTCTGTTATCCGTTAGAGAATTACGCTAGCTCTCTGTATAATATTGGGACAGGTCATCGTTACCTTGTTAGTTATTTTCAGGCTTTGTGCTCTTTTGCTTGGGAATTGGAAATGTAGGGCGCTCTGAAGGACTGGAAACTGTTGGGACAATTTAATTCAGCGAAATCTTGGATGTTACATTGTACAGTGTTATACGATTCAAAAATAATACATTCCCCCACACAAGAGGAACTTTAAGAAGAATGATTAGTTTGCGGGCGAATTCAAACCCCGTTGTGCCCCTTGAAGCTTCACGTGCAGTGGCCGGAAAATGCCCTCTAACAACCTCGGCCTTTCTCAATTCATAATCAAGCGGGGCAATCCCCGCCCGACCCTGACCTCCCTGTCTCTCAACAATTTACTCGGAAGTTGACACATACAAGTAGGGACAATGTTCGTTACATTACCATGGGTATTCTCCTCTTCTCCTTTCTTCTTCTAGTCTTGTCGTTTCTGTTCTTCCCAAACATGGCTTCCAAATCCACGGTCTTTGAGCCGCGAATGGTCAAACGGCCACCTTTCACCGTGGAGGTATCAGGCAGCCCTCAAGTCGAGGGCGAGACAATACCTAGACGCAATGCCAACTATGCTAAGAAACTGCTTTCTCGGCCCGAAGAAAGCATCGCGACGATATACGACATAGTGAAGCATGGAGCCTCCAAGTTCGGGGACCAGAAAGCGATAGGATCACGGACTTTAATCAAGAAGCATCACGAGACCAAGAAGGTCAAGAAGATGGTCAATGGAGAAGTGCAGGATGTCGATAAAAGCTGGACTTATTTTGAGCTGAGCGGGTATAAGTATCTGAGTTTCAAGGAGTATGAGACGCAGGTGTTGCAACTGGGGGCTGGATTCCGGAAACTCGGTCTTGAGGCCCCGGACAGGGTGCACATGTTTGCTTCGACGAGTGCACATTGGCTCGCCGTTGCACACGGTGCGATGTCTCAATCCATGGCTATCGTCACTGCCTACGAAACCCTCGGTGAGGAAGGACTCCGGCATTCACTGCTTGCCACGAAGGCGAAGGCTATTTTCCTGGAACCGCAGTTACTGAAGACTTTGATCAACACCCTGAAAGATGCTAAGGACATCGAAGTCATCATTCACAACACAGATAGCGAACATGAGATTCGACAGGAGGATTTAGATGTCCTCAAAAACTCTCACGAGCATTTGACGGTCATCAGTTTTGAGGAGTTGCGTCAACTTGGAGAATCGAATCCTGTCCCTGCAACGCCGCCGAAGCCGGAAGATCTGGCGTGTATCATGTACACTTCTGGATCCGGCGGGACTCCAAAAGGAGTGGAGTTGAAGCATGCAAATGTTGTAGCGGCTGTCGCCGGAGGAAACAGTGTTTTCGGGGAGTACATAGGCCCCGGTGATTGTTTGCTATCATATCTCCCTCTAGCCCACATATTTGAATTCGTGTTTGAGAACTTATGTATCTATTGGGGTGGAACAATGGGCTATGGCTCACCTCGGACCTTGTCGGAAGCCAATGTCAGGAATTGCAAAGGTGATATCCAGGAGTTGAAACCGACGTTGTTAGTTGGTATACCCGCTGTTTGGGAGACTGTTAAGAAGGGGATTATTGCGAACGTGAGTCGAGGGGGAAGGATTGTGGAGAGCCTTTTCTGGTCGGCGTTTTATACGAAGAGGTATGAGACCCCTTTCTTTGGAGAGCAATTCTGATGAAGCCAGGTTTCTCATGGCGAATGGACTTCCTGGAAGTTTCTTGTTAGACTCCATTGTTTTTAACAAGGTCAAGGAAGCAACGGGAGGACGGTTGAGATTCTGCTTCAACGGTGCAGCTCCCATTGCAAGGGAAACACAGGAGTTCATCTCTTTGGCCGTCACCCCGATGGTCAGCGGATACGGATCGACTGAGACGGCGGCGTACTTATCCCCCCTTTCCTTCAAATCCGGCGCTAATTTCTGGCAGAATGGGTGCACTATGTGACCCCAAAGCCTGGACGGTCGATGCTCTTGGCGGCATTCCGGCGTGCATTGAGATCAAGCTTGTCGATTTCCCAGATGCGGGCTACTTCGCAACAAATACCCCACGACCGCAAGGAGAAATCTGGATCCGAGGGCCTAGCATCACGGAAGGATATTATCAAAATGAGGAAGAGACGAAAGCTGCGTTTGAGGGAGGATGGTTCAAGACGGGAGATATTGGGGAGTGGGATGCAAACGGACATCTCAAGATTATCGATAGGAAGAAGAATCTCGTGAAGACGTTGAATGGAGAGTACATTGCCTTAGAGAAGGTATTTCAATTTCTCCTGCCTTTTTCGATATGTGGGAGTGCTGATTTTTGGACAGCTGGAATCCGTGTATCGCTCAGCAACCGTGGTGGCCAACATCTGCGTCTACGCATCGATCACAGAAACGCATCCCATAGCCATTATCGTTCCTGCTGAGCCTGCTCTGAAGAAGCTCGCTGATGCAATTGGTGTGCAGGGCCACGGAATCGGTGATCTGGTCTATGATGAGAGAATTCAGCAAGAAGTATTGAAGCAGTTGCAAGCCGTGGGGAGAAAAGCTTCCTTCGCGGGTATCGAAATTATTGCTGGTGTGGTGGTTGCGGATGAAGAATGGACGCCTCAAAATGTAGACCCAGGCGCCGTCTTTCCCGAGTTCAGTGCTAACAGTAAACAGAACATGATCACCGCAACCCTGAAACTGAACAGGAGGGGCATTTTTGAGAGGCATCGGAAAACCATCGAGATGGCGTACGCGAAGAACAAGTAGGCGATGGAATAACTACTTTCGTACTATAGGTTCCTTTTATCGTTGGAGATTGGAGTCGACCGTTTGTCCCGAAATACTTTTCGTGTTTTGCAAGGAATACTAAATACCCAGTTGCTCCAGGTGGCCGCCTATCGGTTCCTCCGGAGCCTCAACTCTGCATGGAGGTGGGGAAATTGTTTTAAAGCTTAAATACCGCACTCTTATTGACCGCCAATCGTTTTCAGAAAAAAGCGACAAGTTGATGCGGGTGCTTGGCTGGGCTCATCTCCCCCCGTTCGCCCCAGCCTCCCTCGTCTGGGTGCCTGGCCCGAATCGAGCAGTTTGGCGTCCATTCAGCTCCCTGAGTTTCGCGAAGTGGCGCCCTTTGGGCTGATTATGAGACAAAAGTAGGCCCAGTTTGTCGGATGGCTTCGCCTTACTCATGCATATCTCAGCTGACCAGGCTACCAAACAGAAAATTTTAAGATGAAGTGATCGTCTCATATATCCTAACGGCCCATTTAACCTTAAATCAGTCTCTTCTTGCAACTGGGGAAAGCATTATTCCGACCTGATCTCGCCAACCGGTTGTACAATTTGAGTCTCTTCCCCCCGTACGTCAATCCCCGAATCGCGATGCACGCGATCGTTTTCTGGGTATTGTTAGGCCTTGGCAGCCTGTGCCTCGCCGAACCAGGCACAATCTCTCTCAGAACATACAGAAACCACGAGAAGCACGCCCAGGCTCTTCGGAAGCGGGATATGGAGCGTTTGGGAAAGCGTGCTCCATTTACAGTGGATCTCGGAAACGTACCCTTTCTTGGCGGCGGATTCTACTATGTCAACGCCAGTGTAGGAACCCCGCCCCAAGAGGTTGCATTGGACATCGACACAGGATCGTCGGATGTGTGGATGTTCGGAGTAAATTCTTGCGACGGCACCACATCTACGTGTTCTGGAGGAGAATTTGATGAGACTGCATCTACTTCCCTCACTCTCCTCAGTGAAGGCACCTTCAAGATCCAGTACTTTACCCAAGGCTCTGGCGTGGAAGGAGATTATATTGCAGACACTTTCAGCATCGGACAGAAAACGGTCAAGAATCTTACTATGGGAGTTGCGTCCCTGGCTGTGTCTGTTAATACGGGAATTATGGGCATTGGCTTCAACACAAATGAAGCGCTCTATGCCTCGAAAGTAGCACAGGGCATGGACGCCACGCCCTACCCCAACCTACTGGATGTTATGAAGAGTCAAGGATTGGTCGGTACTCGTTCATACAGCTTGTACCTGGACGATCTGGATGCCGCTACGGGATCCATCGTGTTCGGGGGCTATGACAAGGCCAAATTCCAGGGTGATCTTGGCATCCTGGACATTCAACCAGACGCCCAGTCAGGGCAATACACTTCTTTTGGAGTTGTCCTGAGCTCCGTGGGAGTGACCGACAGCACGGGGTCAACTGTCCTGACGACTAGCAACATGCCCAACATTGTGATTCTCGACAGCGGCACTGCTTTCACCATCATTCCTCAAGACCTTCTCAGCGAGATCGTAGCTTACCTTGGTGCTGTGGATGACCCAACTTACTCTTGGGTCATAAGATGCGATCTCGGTGGCATGACAGGAACTCTCGACTATCAGTTCGCCGGCCCAACTGGACCCGTCATCTCAGTACCTTTCCACCAGCTCGCCACTCCTCTTATCAACTTCAGGACCGGAAACCCCATCACAGACTCTAAAGGCAACGCAATCTGCAGACTGGGTCTCTCAGCGCCCTCTCAACCAAACGAGCCTTTGCTCTTAGGAGACACGTTCCTGCGCTCCGCATACGTCGTCTATGATATCGATAACCGACAAATCGGCATTGCGCAAACGATCTTCAACGTAACGAGCTCCAACCTCGTAGCCATCACCGCAGCAACCGATACCCAGGACCTCCCTGGCACTATTGCGGTTGTGGCTTCTACTCCTGCTCTGACGGCAACGCAAGATATCGCTCCTCAGCCAACGGTCATTAGCGGTGTTCCCACCTTTGTCGGAACGGCAATTGGAACTGGGAATGGCGACAGTGCACTGACGGGGTACAAGACGACGTATTCTAACCGGGCTACGAATCTTGTGGGTACGGGTGCGACGACGACTGCGAAGGGCGTTGGGTCAACTAGCACTGCGAAGAAGAATGCTTCGGCTGGAAGTGTCAAGGACTTCATGGGTGGATGGTGGAGGGGATTGTTGGTGCAGGGGTTACTTGTCACCGCAGCTTCGTTATTTGGCGCGGGACTCATCATTTAAGTTAATTGATGTATTTTGAGAATTCTTTGAAAATACTTGAACAGATGGTTTCATGGGCAGGTATCTGGTGCATTTGTGGGGTTAGCGGCAGGCCATTTTCAGTGAGTGGCCTCGAAAATGTAGACAGGAAGACATCTTCTGTAATATAAATTCACTTTTGCGGCTGTGTACTTGTGAATAGTGACAAATGCTTGTGATATCATTGCAATTGCTATCCTTTTAAACTAACATGTGTTCAAGAGAAGATGTTGGACCATGTCACCAAATGACTAGGTTACTGCAACAGTGATGTATGTATTACTTGATGCGGGTCGCATCTTGCGATGGAGCAGATATACTTTTCAGAAACTGCTCACACTATGCGAAATTCCATTTCTTGCAAGCCAAGCCTTCTCGCCATTTGAATCCCTTTGCCATTCTGAAACCCATCAATAAGACAGTCGCCACAGACAAGATTGTAAAGTGGCGTTCCAGAAGTATTCCCGAGGACTGGTTGCAGAATAAACAGGGCTCGTCCACCGTATAGAGCACACACTTTAGGCTTGTTCTCGTAATTCATATATGGAAATGTAACAGCAAGACAACCTTTTACCGTCAAGAGCGTACGAGTAAACTTTGTTGATCTCGGAATAGATAATGTCTTACCATCTCGCCACATATGTGGCATATCTAGAAATTTCTCAGCGGTGCTTTGAGCGGCACTGTGTGGTCCACAGGGAAACAATATAGAATTTTCTTCCCGGCCCTCCGGTATGGACTCAATCCACTTCTTTTGTGAGTCGCGGTCATAGTAGACTCTTGGGGGAGCTGGCTCCTTGATGGTGTCAATCGTGAAACCTCCAACAATTAACGTATCTCCATCTCGTCTGCAACAATGATCAACCCAATTTCTTTGTCTATGCTTCAGCCTCCCACCAAGGGGATTAGTCTCCGTAGTGTTGAAATTCAGGGACCCGCTAACTCCGCTCCAATCTGTAGCCCAGGAAGGAAGTATTGGATAATCAGGCGATGGTTTGACTTTACCGTTATTGTACCGCTGTTGGGCTAAGATGCCTAAGCTTAGCTCTCGTCGGAGGCACCAGGCGACAAAGTCTTTGTAAACCTCCGGCGCAGATAAGTTGTAATCGGCGCTCAGTCCAACCATCGACAAAGAGCTTTTTAGTCCAAAAAGCGCGATAACAGCATATATCTTGTCATTCGGAATTGTTGCCTGGCAGCAGTGTGCGAAAAAAATTAATCACATTAATCATGAATATTCATGAATAAGTTGATTAGAATATAATTAACGTAATAATTAATCATGAATATTCATGAATACCTTGATTAATACACACGTGACCGCAGTACCTGATAGACTAATCTAATTAGGTAAGGATCTAGCTCTAGCGCTCCTAAATAGTCGAGAGAAAAGCTCGCTAAGTCAGTGCTAGAGCAAGATCCTTGCCTAATTAGGTTAGTCTATCACCTGACCACCCAGTCACGTGTGTATCAATCGAGGTATTCATACATATTCATGATGAGCTTAATCAATTCGTGAATAGAATATGACTAATGAGAATATTTCATGATTAGATTAGATTAATAGCCATTAATCTAATCTAATCTATTCATTTCTCACACTGCCTGGCAGTTTTTGCACATGAGAGCCACCACTGAAGGAGCAATTGGGTACTTTGACCACCGAGCCCATTTTCTCAGCGTTTCTATGAGATAAATCATAGAAATTCCCGACTTTGTGCTCTCGCTATACTGTTGATGGAAGTATCGAGTATAACAATCATCTGAATTAAGTTTCAGTGCAATGTCTGCTTCAGAGTTTGTGAGGAATCTCAATGCAGTTATTGCGAACTCCCTCCAGAGCACGCATCGAGAGCCGACCTGGACGAAAAGAACTTTTGCCAGTATTGCTTCCTGAACAACCCAGATCCATATGAACCAAGGGCATTGTACAGCGGTTTCAAAAGGCGAACCAGCAGGTGTGGCTGGTCTTTGAGAGATGTTTCTAGAAAGTGATGGAAGTATCTCTCTGATCTCGTAGTTTCTTTCTCTCTTAAAGCAGTCGAATAGATTCTCAAACTGAGGCCTCTCTCCAAGTGATAAGCTAGTAAAGGATTCCCCTAGGCCCATTCGGATCTTAGAGTGCAGCCATGAGACTGCATCTAAGGCAGCACCGGTCCGATCTTCGCCAAAGAATGTTTCTGGCCCCAGCCAAATAACGACACGCTTTGCGTTTTGATAACCTTATATGCTTCTCATTATTGAGACTTGAAAATTTTTCTCGGCTTGATCGGCTTAATTAATGCATATAGCATCAATCCATAGCACAGCCCTTGGTCTAGCTTCCGGAGATCCTTGATAATCCCCATGACATTTGGCGTAACTCCAAGCTCTTGACCATCAACAAGTATGGTCTCTGATGGTTGTTGGCCTTCCCATGCATAGGAGATAGCATCCCAGTCCAAAAGCATTGCAGCCTCGTCATTTAGGTCAATTCGGGAGATAGTTGAGAGGATACCAGTTGTCTGACTTGGCAAGTAACTCGTTCTTCGAAGGCTTGTGATAATAGGAGTATCTGCTTTTCCTCCCTCCACAACCAGGAGTCTGAAATCCGAGCTAGACAATGGTGCGTATTTATACAGAGCTAATGTAGTTTTGCCCCTTTCGACTTTGTCGCCGCTCTGCATTTTAAACCACAGTTGCCCTTATAAGATAAGTAAATAGCTCAAGAGCGAATAGAAGGAAAACATTAGTTACATCAAATATTAGCTGCGAAGACAGAAATAGTGTAAGTTTGGTTTAATATCGGTTTCTGAACAGCAAACGTGAAACTAGAATGGCAGTGCCATGGAGTAATGTGGGCAATGTTTGTAGGGAGAGAAAGTGAGCAGTTATGTGTTTGGGAAACCACCATCGTGGAGGTATTTGTTTCCCTTTCTTCGGGCTGTGCGCAAGCTGTGTGCGGGCAGGGCTAGAATTTGATTTTGTGGAGGCAGTGCAGCTGCAGTGTTGTGTGATTTCATACTGCCTGCAAAGCTACTAAAGCACTAGGAAGACAAATCAACAGGAATGAGGCGTGTTGACGATAAGGCTGTCATTGAGATACGCGTACGGCTGCTGCCGACGAGTGGCGCATGCGGCATTGCCACCACCAAAAGGACCATATGTTGCAACCAAAATACAGGAGCGCGAGGCAACTAACCACACCGAGAAAACGTACTACTAGATAGGCTTTGGTCTAAAAGCAAACATACAATTACATTAGCGCGATGTTATCGTCTATAGGCCAGAGTTAGGTCGTGGACTGCGACTCTATGCGCTAGTGCTATTATTTAGCCTCTAGAGAGCCTAGGGCTCTATATAACCTCTAAAAAAAATATTGGTACTGGTTGTTCCAGACAGTGAAGCAGGTGGGGGCTGGCAATTTGGGGCCTTCATTCTCAAAGATAGTGAAATTGACATGAAGGTGGATGAGGAGGCGAAGGGTTACATGTGGTTGGCTGCAGAAGAGGCAAAGGGATTGATCCAAGCTCGAATATGGCAAGAGAAAATAATGGGCCTCATTCTATCCACCATTGTGACAAATTATTCCTCGCAAGACTCCCTTTACTTCGAGAACCCAGATCAAACATTCAGGGGCGTTCTGAATCTTGTAGTTCTCCAAGTTTCCGACTCTCCTTCTGGTTGACCGGCCTCTGGCGTGGGCAATCTTGGCCTGCTTTCGTGATTTTTCATGCGCCGAAACTTTACGAAGAAGGTGCAGCAAGAGACAAGGATGCTCGTCATGCCTAGAATTGCGCCCACAACGGTTCCCACCAGCGCAGGTGTGCTTAGATCATTGGATGAATGCGTTGCAGAATTCCCAGTAGAAGGAGTCGGGGTGACACCCAATGTAAGATTACCACTGGGACTGGCAAGTATTTTGGATGAGCTCGTACTTGTTGAATCTATAGGACTTGACGCCGGAGTTAATGTCGCTGAAGAACTTGCACTTGTTGTAATGGGACTTGTGAAAGTTATTGATATTGAACTCTTACTTGTTGAGCTTGACGTTGAAGAAGGCGTAGAAGTTGCCGTGATGATTGCAGTTGGGCCCAAAATGGTTGCTGCAAGTGCACGGAGCGCGTCTACGCCGTGTTGTGAAACTGCGGCGCAAGTATCCCCCGTTGTATTCTAAACTGGCTTAGCCACATTTTGAGGAGGAAAGGCAATCTTATTACCGGATTCAACATGCAAAAAGTGAGGAGAGAAAGTTGATTCGCCTCAGATGCCTGTGTGTTCGCAACACCTGCAGCAATGTATGCCAACGCGGCGAACACCCCAAAAACAACAACGAAGATGAGTCCAACAAGTTGGAGGACCGAACCCCAAATGAATTCTACCTTTGAGGTGGTCGAAACTTCGATGAGGGCAACCATTTGCCGTAGCTCAGCAAGTTGATGCCTCGATAGCTCTGAGAGTATCTCAACAGATGAAAGCTGGTCGCGAGTTGCCTTGGAAAAATAATCATGTGAGATTGGAATTGGAGGGTCTGAGTCTGGGCCACCATTGCTTGATTTCTGTGCCCAAGGATGTGTTGCACCAGCTTGAGACATGATAGGCCGGTCTGTTTCGTTGATCTCTGTGGAATTTTCCGGTTGATAATGGGGAGCTCGTTGACTCTTCTCATCCTTAATTGGGTTCCCGCTGTGTTCTTCGGACTCTCCTCCATTGAATGCGGCAACAGAAGGAACCGGGGCCTCCATGCGAGGATTTTGATTTATCTCCTGGCTAGTCGCCTCGATTCTTGTCTGAATAGTCTGTGACATCTCTTGCGCATGACTTGGAGTTGCCATATTTTTGAGAGTCAATCTGCGGAGGTACACATAAATTGAGTCTCCCAACCAGCGACCGTGGGAAACAGAGCCTTAAATAAAAAGGGTTTGCCGCAAGGCTCTGGCAGTGGTGAGTGTCTCGGCGAAAAGGCAAAAATTGCAGTGATAGCTGAAAGCCTCAAAGCCACTTGTGCTACCTCAACTTTCCCGTTCAATAGTTGCGGGAAAAAGTAAAACGGCCCCCCGCCCCACCCCCTGGTGTCGATTAGGGGTGCCGATGGCAGAATCTTTTTTTGGCTTAGCGCTTGGCATTTCCCGAGTTTATTACTAAGGAACCGATACAGCCTTAGAATCGCACACACGCTCCCCAAAGGCCCCCCAACTACCGCTGGTATTAAATAGAAGTATTAACAGATTTTAGAGTTTTAATAATATCTAAATAATTACTTATAATAGTCGGACTTGACGTCGCGCTAAAGGGGCCCTTCCCTTTAGTCGGGGAAAGCGAGTTGGCCCGCAAAAGCGGGATGGCCTGTACTAAACCAAAATTATTATATAATAGATAATTCCCTATTTTATAAGTAATTAAAGATATAATATTTTATTATTCTAATATTATAAAATCTGTATTTTAAGCTATTAAATTAGATAATATTATTAAATTAGATAATAAAAAATATAAAACTAATTTTTTTTTATTAATTTTATTATTTATATTTTCTTATCTAACCTCCCAGATTCTACTAATATTACTTTTATATAATAGGTTTATTCTAATATAAGTATTATAAGATTAATAGAAATATCTATAAAAATTATAGGGTTTTTAGCTTATTTCTTAGCTATTTTATTATAAAGTAATTAGTACTTAATTTAAATAGCTTTAATCTTATTTTTTATAAATTCGTTTTAGGAATTATAAATTAGTATTAGAAGCTTAAAAGAAATAATTATCTTAATTTTAAGAACTTATTTTCTAGCCTATATTTCTAGATTCTTTATTATCTTTTTTCTTTCTTTTTCTATTACTTATTATAGTTATTATAATATATAATACTAGTAGGAATTAGACTTAAGCGAGGTATTTAGTATCTGAGTATAGTATCTGTAATTACCTAATAGTTACATGTGACCCCGAGCTTAAGCTAGTATATAGGCCCGTATATAGCTTGCGATTATTTAGATCCGAGGCTCCTTCGAGATCCTCTTCTTTCTTTAGCTTTGAATTATTAAAATAGAAATAGTCTAACTATGCCTTCTAGGCCTTAGATCTTATACTCGTAATATAATTTAAAGCTTATTTACTTCTTAATTCTATAGAGAATTTAAATAATACCTATCTAATTAGTTTTCGATAAGTATAGATATAATATACCGTAGCTACTCCTGTACTAGTTAACTAATATTAGAATAAAAGAAAGCCCTAGAATAACTAGGCAAGAAAGCCCTAGACTAGCTAGATAAGTAAATAGGCTAGTAACTTTATTACTAAATAAAGACTTATAAGAAAGCAAGTCCTAGAATAACTAGGCAAGTTAGAAGAAGCTATAGTATGAGATACTACTAGTATATTACTAGAAGGTAAACCAGAGCCTCTTATTAAGTTTTCTAAGAAGTCCGAATATTTTATTAATACTTATAATAGGAAAGATACTTTTTTTTAAGAGAGCCAAGAAAGAAGAGAGATCTGCCCTATTAAAGGCAGACTTCTAAGAGTTATTCCGAAGCCTAGAGGCTTTATATAAGAAGATTATTAAACTAATTCTAAAGATATATAATATTCTTATTTATAGTAAGAATTATTATAATTAGCTAAGAGAAACTAAATAAGCCTTATAAAAAAATAAAGCTATTATTAAGAAGCTTATTATATAGCCTATAGAAATAACTAGTTCCCCTATTTTAGAAAGTAGATATTTAGTTAAACTTCCTGACTTTTCTATTTTTAAAAATATAACTAAGAATAGTATTACTTTTAATAATTAGTTAGTTTAGATTAAGAATAAGCTCTATAATAACTCTAATACTTACTAGATAGAGAACTTTAAGATTATCTATATTTCTGGCTATATAAATAGCTATATTTTTATTTAATCTTTTCTTATCTAAACCAGAATAATTAATATATATATAAGACTATTAGAGAACTATATACTTACTTAGAAAAGCTATATAGTAACCCAAATAAGAAATATAATACTCGGTAAGCCTTTAAAAAGCTATTTATAAAAAAGGGCCAGATTTTTTAGGAATTCTATATCTTATTTCTAAGATATATAATAGACGAAAATATTAACTTATAGGACTTTAAGAATAATCTAAATAATAAGCTTACCTGAAAGCTCTAAAAAGCTATAGCTATATACTATAATAACCCGGCTATTTATATTATAAAATTCATATAATACTATATTATAAATAACTAGTAAATCCGAGCTTATTATAAAAAGAAAGACTAGATATCTAAAAAAGCTAATAAAAATATAAATAAGCTAAGTTTAGAAAGTGCCCTTTATATAAAGCCCGCTCTTAAGATCCTAGTAATAAATAAGCCTATTATTCTAAAGCCTAGATTCTTAGATCTCAAATACTATAATTATAATAAATTTAATTATATATCTAGAAATTATCTAGAGCCTAAAACCAAGTATATAAAGCAAGTCTTAGTAGCTAAACTAGTAGTACTTATTATAAATAAGCCGTCTAAAAATATAAAATAAGGAAACAAGAACTTTTAAAGAAAGTCTTCTCTTTAGGGCTATATTATATAGATATAATAGAAGTTAATTTAAGCTAGCTATTAAGAAATAAAGCATTTATATTTCTTTATATAATTAGTAATAATAAACTAGGTATTAAGACTTCTTCTTTTATTAATACTAGAGTAAATAAATATACTTTTATTAATTCTAAGTTTATAAGAATAATTAAATAATTTCTAGATATTAAGCTTACTTAATTAATATTATCTTATAATATAAGAGGGTTTAATAGCAAGTAGGCTATATCTATTACTTATTATATTAAGCTTATATTCTTTATTAATAAATGAAAGGTTCTAGTATTTATACTAGTTATAAAACTAGATAAATATAATATAATTTTGGGATAATAATAATTTATAAGTACTAGTATTCTAATTAATTATAAGAATAGAAGATTAATCTGGCTAGATAATTAGCCTAGAAAAAAGAATTAAGATAAGGTCCTAATTACTATATATAAGAACTTGAAATCTAGGAAAAGTAACTAGTACTAAAAAGATATAAATAGAAGAAATAAAGCTATAGCCAGGAATAAGTCCTAGAAACCTTAGCTTATAAAGAGAAAATCCCCTTATTCTTTTTCTAATCCGGGCTCAGAAAGCCATATATAATAAAAAGATTAAGCTTAATATTATAGAAAAATACAAGTAGCCTTAGGGAATATAAAAGTTTCTCCTAAGCTAGAAATAAGAATATTAAAGCCATATTATCTAAAGGAAAGCTCTAAGACCTAGTTAAGGCTTATAGTTAATATTATAGATATCTTACTAGCTGTTTTCTAAATAAACCTATAGAAAAAAAAGAACCTTTTTTTTATAATATCGTTTTTCGAGATTAATAAAGAGCTAAAATTATAATAAGAGAACGAGTTTATTTCGGGCAAGTAATAGCCAGGAGAAATAGAGCTATAATAGCTAATAAGAGTTTTACTAAAGGAATTTAAGAATTTTACAGATTTTTTTTAAAGGAAATATTAAATATCTTATTCTCGTATTAATTATATAATTATAAGATTTAGATTAATAATTCTAAAGATCCAGAAAGCCTAGAATATTTCTTGCTTTATTAATAATTAACTTATAAGCTATAGGAAGTCAAGTATTTCCTTAAAAAGAACCTCTAATAAGGCTTTATTAAGCCAAGCTAGTCTCCTTTTATATCCCTAATTCTTTTTATAAAAAAGACTAATAGAGCTCTCTAATTCTATATTAATTATTATAAGCTAAATAACTTAATATAAAAGAATTATTATTCTCTTTTCTTTATTTATAAAACTTTTATATAACTAGTTCAAGCCAAGGCCTATATAAAGCTAGATATCTGGCAAGTATTTTATTAGATTCAAATAGACTCAGAATTAGAAGAACTTATAATATTTTATATAAAATATAAGGCCTATAAGTATAAAGTTCTTTAGAAAAGCCTAACTAATAGCCCTATTATATATTAGAGATATATAAATAATATTTTCTTTAATTACCTTAATATCTTTTATATAGCTTATTTAAATAATATCCTAATTTACTCGAATAATTTCCTAAAATATAAAGACTATATATAAAAGATTCTTTAGTAATTATAGAATATTGGCCTCTAAATAAATATTAAGAAATTAGAGCTTAAAATTACTTATATAAAGTATCTAGGCTTTATTATTTCTATTAGAGGCATTAAAGTAAATTCAGATAAAATAGTAATTATTAAGAACTAATAATTACTAAAGATAATTAAGGAAATATAAGGCTTTCTAGGCTTTTATAATTTTTATTAATACTTTATTACGGAATATAGTTATATAATAAAGCCCCTAATAGCTCTAATATATAAGGAAGTTCTATTTAAATAAATAGATTAGTATTAAGAAGGTTTTATAAAGCTAAAATAAGCTATATTCTCGATACTAATTCTATATTACTATAACCTAAACTTTCTTATTATAATTAAAACAAATATATTAAATAGAGTTATAGCTAGTATTCTCTTATAGTAAGCCCCCTAGATAGAACTCTAGTATCTGGTAATATTCTTTTCTAAAACTATATAATATGAGAGAGAAACTATAATAAGACAAAAACCTATATAAAGTATACCAGAATATAAAACATAACTTAATAGTAAAATAATAAATTAAAAGCATAAATAGTAAAGTATAAATAGTATATAGTATATAAAAGCTTAATTAATTAAATACTTATAAAGAATTATTCTCTAAGTCTATAGAAAAACTAGCTTTCTTATATAATTTCTGCAAGTTAT